CTTTCTCGGCCTTTCGGCTCTTTCTCGGCCTTTCGGCTCTTTCTCGGCTTTCTCGGCCTTTCGGCTTTCTCGGTTTCGCGGGCCCTCGCTTTCCTGATTCTCGTTGATCGACACACTGTGGCGACATAACCTGCCGACTTGTAATTACATTGTGTATCCGCCACTAGTCTGGGCAACAGCGCGGTCTGCACACTGCTTAACGCTGCTGTGCTCGCTTTCAACACTTCTGCATCTTCCTTCTCCCGGTCCGTCAAATTTTTTTCCAAGCTTCGGATAACTTCCTGCATTTTGACAAACTGCTTTTTGTATTTCCGTTTTCTTTTGTTTTCCTCCTTTTCCAAAACTCTTCTCTCCGCCTGGATCCGACGCTCGAAAAGTCTCTTCAAGTCCGTGTCTGCCGTGAGCGGATCTTCATGGTGGTAAAAAGCGGGAGGTTCTTGTTGAGAGCGATGAGACACGTCTTGCTGTGGCGAGCCTCGGATATTTGAAGCTGTTTTACTGTTACTGCTTGTCGGCTGCGGTCCCGCTCCGGTAGCATCATCGTTTTCCTCTTTGTTCATCTTCCCTCCTGCTCGCAGCTCTTCTAGCAGCGCGTTCAAATCCGCTCGGAGTTCGGCGTTTTCGCGCTGCAGTTCCTCCATGTCATTTGTGACACCGGGCGCGGAGATCGAATCGACGTCGTCGGCAAGCACGGGGAGCTTGCCGATTGTGTTTGCCTGTTGAGACGATGATTCAGTCTGCCCAGTCGCTGCGGCTGCACTACCGGGTGGCGGCCGGCTCCGGCCACGACGAATACGCTCAGCGAATTGCTTCATTATATTTTTGGAGCTCTTGTGCAGCTAGCTTCTACACATTTATTCCGACGTAATAAGATTGCCATTTGAGCTGCAAGAACTGCTCACAATGATCTACACAAGATGAACCAGCATGGCGGATCTTCTCACTGAAATTCAACTCCTCAAGAACGACAGTCGCTAAAATCTCTTCTACAAGTAAAATATTGTCCACAGACGTGCTCCCGGAAAAATTTTGCACGACTTGCATTTTGTTGCACGGAAGACCTGTACTATTGTTCTTGCCTCTACTCTCGGTATCGAACGACGGTGACGGAAGAGACAGAAGTAGATGAGGAGACACGACAAAATGATGTGCGGCGGATAGCAGGCACACAATTCCTCGCCCATTAGCTTGAAACTGCAGTGCAGCCAGTGGCCAAAAGACTGCATCTGTTGCAGCTGCGCAGAAGTACTACAACTGCCATATTTACATGTTGTGTCGCTGTGTCGTGATATTATGCTTTTTTGCTTCGCGTCTCTTGCGGCGTCAATGTAGTTTATCACATGAATCACAGAGAGTACTACGTGAAGCTGCCTCGCGCATCATTTCAAAACAACCGCCAACCTTCCGGGAGCGGCCATTTCCAAGGCGGTCGGCCGTGTATTCGGCATGACCTCCGCCACGCCGTGAAACAAATCCCTACACTTATTGCCGAACACCAGAGCATCGCCGGACTTAACCGTGACCAGCAACTGCCGGCCTGAAGGGCCGCCCGCTCCAATTGCTCCGCCCGCTTTGCTCGCCGCTAGTTTCGACGAGGACGTCGGCGTATTTGTTCCCTGCTGGTCTAGCGACTGGGTTAATGTGTAGGAGATCTTCACCGAGTCGCCGATGTTGATGAGCACAACGGGCACGTCCGCCGTGTCCACGATTTCCTCCTGCCGTACATCCACCGTCGCTTCGGCACCGTGGAATTCCGCCCAACAAACGTCGGGGGAGAAGTTCGGAAGTTGCTCTGTAGTAGTTGTTATGCATTGCAAAAGCACCCCACTGCACTAGTATAGATTGCATCACAAATTTTGGCAAGAGGGGAAGTGGAATTTGTAATGCTGCTTTCCCTATAGGAAAAACATTTGCCACGCACGACATTTGCAATTAGTACGAGTGCGATACTTTTGCACAGGATAGTTGTCTTGCTGATGCTTTTGGTCGTACTCACAGCAGACGTACTCGTGTCTTTCTTTCCCGGAGTAGTGGACGAGGCTGCTGCCAGTAGAGCCGCGGTATTTTTCTGCTTTTTTTTGCTATTTTTCTCGGCGTTTTTTGGCGAAGGTGCTACAGGGTCTTTCTGTTTGAGCAGCACAAGATCGTCCACCCGCTCTTCTTCTGACCCACTTAGAGTTTCTGCGTAGGGGACGAACCGGTCGACGATTTTGGGGATCGCGTTATTCGCCTCCTTGACCGCGTGCTTAAACCACTTTTCCAACAACCCCTTCGAAATGTCCCGAATTTCGTCCCCCGCTTCCCACCGGTTGAGCCGGAAATTGAAGACGAAGCTACCGTATGAAATGTAAAAGTGTCTGGGTCCTCTGGAAGAATGCAACTTGTCATGCTAAATCTGAAGCATGCAAAAATTTGTGTTGCATGATTACCAAAAGGTGTCCAGTTTTGACCAAGTCGGGAGGGAGTTTCTCATGCAGGATAGGCATGAGAGAGATCGCGCAGAATCTGTCATGCTAGGTCCTGCATTCCGGACCTCATGGGTCATGGAAAAGCTGCATGACAAATCGCGCATTTTTCCAGACCCAGACATTTTTGCATTTGATATACCGAGACTCATGCGACAAACCTTCGCGGTCTTGGTCTTCAGGAACTTCTTGTTAATATCGCTCGTTGTTGTATCAGCTTGATGTTGTTGTGCTTGTTTGTCAGTTGATGTTGTCGTGGTGGTCTTTGAAGAAGAACTACAGGCTGTCGTACTGACGTTGCTGACCTGTTCCACGAAAAACCCGCCGTTGTTTCGTTGTGCGTTGCAAGCATCGGACTTCGCAGCTAAATAGTCGATTATCTGCTGTTGCTCGTTGATCGGAATCAAGTCGTGCAAATGGATAAAACTCTCCGCCAATCTGGCCGACGCCGTGAAGTTCGCCTTAAAAATTTTGTTGTTATTACGCTCGAGTTTTGATGCTGTTGACTCGGAGTGGTGGTCCAGCAGGTTTTGGTACAGCTTTTGGTCCGATTTATTTTCTGCACTCGTGGTGGTCGCAGCTGCTTTGCTGGCGCTGTTATTTTCCGCTTTTGTCACAGCGTGGTCTGCACCACTCGAGGCCGGTCGCTCCTCTCGGTAAATGCCGCCGGTTTTTAGGTCAAATCGCAGATCATGTCTGGCTTCGAACTGCTGCGGCAGGCCCTGCGCCGGCCACTTCACCGGGAGCAACGCTTTTTGCAGCGTTTTCAGAGTGTCTCGCGGTATGTCCCAGAACTTGTGGTCGCCAGACATTTTGCAGGGGACCGCGAGCTTCCGCGGGGTTTCCAGCCAGAAGATGTAGTCGGAGCTGTTTTCTTCCAAGTGAATGTCCTCTGCATCGTCTAAATTGTCTTCCGCCGTTCCTGCGCTGCCTGGCTCCTGCTCACCTCCATCTGCATAATTCGCCCCGCTACTACTTTGGTCGTTCATCTTCACTTTCCGTATCCCAAGCAGTTCCTGCTTTCTCCTCACCTTGTAGCTTTCGTTATCCTCAATGGACACTAGATCGACGCAACCGAGGATGCACCCGCTCGGGTAGCCGAGGCCGGATTCTGAAGGAAAAAGTGGGAGTTTCGGGTAGTTTCCGTACAAATTTTTGTAGTAGTCCTCCATTTGCGACACCGTTTCGTCCTCCACGTCCTTCATCGCGGCGTGAATCCACAATCTCCCGCGGTTGAAATGCTTATTTTTCCCGTCACTGTTCCACCCCCGCCCTTCCGCGCGCTTGAACCCGGCGACAATCAGCGACGCCCAGGGTTGGTGCAGCGAGAGACACTTCCCTTCGTCCAGCGCGTCCGGAAAGAGCGGCTTGGGGGCCGGGAAGTCCTGCTGTGCTTTCGTACCATTTCTACTACCTGGGTTGTCCTGTTGATCGACGTCTTCCTCTCTACTGCCGGCAGGATTGTCGTTTCTATCTTGGTGGTTGCTGTTTTTATCTCCAAACAGCGCCGCCTGATTCAGCGCGTCGTCGAATTCTCTGTCCTCATATCTTGGTCGATAAGCTGCGGTAGAGGAACTGGAGCCGCCTTGCTGCTCTTGCCCTCTACTTTTACTGCCTGTTGCAGCGGGCCCGCCTGGAGAAGACGACTTGACAACAATATCCTTCAACTCATCCGAGTACTGTGGCCCCCCGGCAGACGAAGAAGTGGATGGGTTTTTATTATTGTTCCGCGCGTTATCGCGCAAACTTTTCTGCAACGATTCGTACAGGTCCTTTGCGGGACCGACCAAAGCGGGCACGGAGGCCCCGTGCACCTTCTCGTAGTCGATTTGCTTGTTGTTTCGGCCCAGCAAATCCGTGCTGTCGAGAAGCAATTTCGAGTCCACGTCGATAAACTGCTCCAATTTACTCGCGTTGTCGGATTCCAACTGCTTCCCATCCGACGACTCCACGATCGTCCGGCCAAAGAAATCAACCGTGAGGTGGATTTTCCGCTTTTCCAGCTCCCTCTGCTTCCGGAAAATTTTCTCTTGCTTCTTCGCCTGCTCACGTGCGGACTGGGACAGCCAGGGGTTCTGCGCTTCCAAATACCAATCAGTAGACTCGTCGAACACTTTGGTTCTCTTCTGCGATTCTCTATCGAACTGCACCAATTTCTTCGCTTTTTCCACGGCTTTCTGCAGGGAAGCGATCTCCTCATCCGTTTTGTCAAATGCGATTTTGTCCAGATCGTCGAAGATCAGCTCGTTGCCGCAAAAAAGGCAGGGTCCGTAGCCCTCCTCTTTGCAGTTAATCTTCCCGCAGTGCAGACAGTTGGACAAAACGCCGTGCTTCATGCCCTGGCAAAGACAAATGCGCCGGTTCTCTTGCTGCTTCTTTGAAGCTTTGGTGTGGGAGCCGGAGGTAGAAGAACTAGTACCGGTGGCGGGGGCGCCTGTGAAGGAGGTGGTGAGGGAATGTTTGTAATACTGCTTGAGCTAGGTCTGGAACTAGATCTAGAAGTATGAGGGAACTGGAGCAGCGTACATTCATCGTGTTTATTGCTTAGCCAATTTAAAGAGCCTGCGAATCTTTGATGTTTCTTTATGTTTTATCCCGTATCAGACTGAAAACTACTCGAGAGCGGGACTGAGATCCTAGGTCATCGTCTCCACGCAAAGTTTGTCTTGCAGAAACTGCAAGACAACTTAATACCCGGAAAGACGTACCAGAGACGGCCTCTCTTTCACAGTGTCTGTTGTAACTTTGTGTTGCAGACGATGCAAGACACTTACAACGGGCATGCTGGATATGCGTCAGAGGCTCCTTTCGTACGTGTTTTCAGCTCCTAGCTACGCATCACAGGTTTTCTCCGTCATGCAGAGCAAACCTGTGATGCTGTTCCTCCAAGAAAGTTACACTTACACAGTTTTTTCCTTGCATAGCACATTCATCGTGTTTATTCTTGCGTAGCCAATTTAAAGAGCCTGCGGATCTTTGATGTTTATGTTTTATCCCGTTTCAGACTGAAAACTACTCGAGAGCGGGACTGAGATCCTAGGTCATCGTCCCCAAGCAAAGTTTGTCCTGCAGAAACTGCAAGACAACTTAATACCCGGAAAGACGTACCAGAGACGGCCTCTCTTTCACAGTGTCTGTTGTCATCATGCGGGAAATTATTATTATAAACAAGCGTAATACTACAACTAGTGGGTGCTTACTACGTACAATTCTACATCAGCACTCTAGACCGCAAAAGACGCACAGGGCATCTACTTTGTTAATATGCCCATGCAAAATACAAACCACCAAAATTATAGAAGTACCAGTCGCCAGCGCTGTAGCCTGCGAGCTGCAGAAGAAGTTCTGGCTCGCCCGCTCCTGCCGCAGTTTCTCCATTCTTTCCTTCTCCTGCTTCAAGGCAAATTCGTGTTTTTGCCGTGCCTATCCTGTGCAAAAGTATCGTACTCGTAGTAAACGCAGTTATGCATTACAAATCTAGTTGGTTAGGTAAATCCGCATTACACCTCTAATTTGTAATTATGCTGAGCCAATTTGTATTGCGATTTGTACTAGTACGATACTTTTGCAGTGCATAGTGCCGTCATTCCCTTTAATTTCGGGAAGTTCGCCTCCATCTCTTTTGTGTGCTGTTTCGCGGCGTGCTCCTGTAGAAGTTCAATAGGCGAGAAGAGTTTTTGTACCACTACCACGGAGCGTTTGAGTTTGTATTCTGATTCTGACTGTGTGATCATGATTCTCATCATGCAGCCATCACAGGCCGTCGAGCGAGGTTTCAATTTACTCCTGGATGTCATGAAGGTCGTCATCTGTGTAGTGTTGTAGATTGTAAACACAGAGTGACTACGACGACGAGCGCGAAAATTCATTTCTTACCTGGATCACTTGCGCCTCGAATTTTTTGTGCACCAGATTTTGACAGAAGGTGTAAGCCTCTCGGTCTTCGACACCAAAACTGACCAAAAACTGCTGCAGGTCGTTGTTCTCCTTTTCCAGCACCATCGTGACCACCTCGTCGCCACAATCTCCCACCATACGCATCAGCTCCTCTTTCGCCCATTTCAAGACGGGAGGTGGCAGGGGCTGTTTGCTCGGGTCGGTCATTTTTTTCGTGGTTTGTAAACGTCTCCGGTTGATGTTGTTCTGATTGTTTTATCTGGCTGGAAAGGAAATGACAGAAGCCCGAGGACAAAAATTAGCGAGGAAAATATTCAACGAGAGGAGCAATTCGGTAAGTCGTAAGTGGCTAATTGTGAACAAAATCAAAGGAGCAATTCTTTCATAGCAACCAATGGTAATTGAAATTGTGAGCAGAGCGACGAATATCTTCCTAAAATGCTATAATAGAAATGAAGAAAGATACACACCAAAAACGAAACTTTTACTTCCTACTTGAGCACTATGTATGTAAAAACTTCACAAATTTCAGAAGAAACGATTGCGCCATGAACGAAGGGACTGAGATGAAATTGGATCGAAAAAATCATTGAGCTCGGATGCTGTCTTGAATTCTTCAGAACTTTGTCTTTGAGTGAGGCGACCCGGCACACTACATCTTCCTTGCAGAAGTTCCTGAGATCTTCACACTTGGAGCATAAGCAATTCATCTTGCTTGTTTCTTGGCCGTGCATTGTGGGATGCGGAACATGCTACATTCCCTATGAGAAGTACTCACGGCTGCGCTGCTAGGAGCGCATCAAATATCCACTTCTGCCTTCGCGGAAGCGTCAATCCTAGGCTAGAAGCACAAGAAAGTGGTGAAAAGAAATCAAATTATTCGCGGAAACGGAAACTGTTGTCCTGCTTATTTTCATTCTACATGGGCATCTTGTTGCATGACTTTGTTGCCGTGTCGAAGTAGAGTCCTCTCATTGGGGAAGTGATGTGTTCGCGAAGATAGATTAGTACTGTTTACGTAAGTGGAGAACTGAAACGACCGGAAATTGCGAAACGTTGTTAACAGCAGGAGCGTGGTTGTAATGGTATTTTCGAACATACGAAGAATTGGACTTCACTGTAATTAAAAAAAGGCACTCGGGTGAAAAACAGGTTAGCTTGGAGGTTTGGTGAACAATTTTGTGGAAGTTCCAAAAGCGGTAATAAGGGGTATCAGTAACAGGGTACGCAGCTTGAGTTTTCCTAGCTGATTTGTCAGCGGGCAGGGTCGGTCTGGAAGAACTAGATTAGTTCGTGTTGAAGAAGCAAGCAGGGTGGATAAAAAGTTGGTTAAAAAAAGGTAAAAAGGATTCTTCATCTCGCTTTCGTGTCGGAGGTGCGTGTCGGTGGAAAAATGATACGTATACACAGTTGCTGTAAAGAGGTTAAAAACGTAAAAATCAGGGCGAAATAAACGAGGCTCGACGCCGACGCGGCCGTGATTGAAACGGCGAAAATAAATATGTGGCATTTGCAAAGCGCAGTTCAAACGCTGAAACGTGTGAGATCTTTCCGAATCGTATTGTAAATAAATCTGTACGTTGAGTATGTTCGATACATTTAGGTGAGCAATAGCGAGGTAGTGAAACTGATAGAACCCCTAATTTTATTTCTTCATTTGATGCTCGAAGATCGAGACCGCGGTACATTGGTATGTAAAACTTCTTGCGCTTGACACCTCTACTATAAAGATCAAGCGTCTTGTTGGTCTTCCTCTTCAAAAGCAGCAGCAACGTGCTTTTTCATTTCGCCTGTTCTGTCGGAGAAGATTTGGTCGAGGTCACAGCCAAGCCGGCTTGCTGCAGTTTCTATCAAATGCAAAAATGTCTGGGTCTGGAAGAATGCGCGATTTGTCATGCAGCTTTTCCATGACCCATGAGGTCTGGAATGCAGGACCTAGCATGGCAGATTGTGCGCGATCTTTCTCATGCCTATCCTGCATGAGAAACTGCCTCCCGACTTGGTCAAAACTGGACGACTTGCTTTGGTAATCATGCAACACAGATTTTTGAATGCTTCAGATTTAGCACGACAAGTTGCATTCTTCCAGACCCAGACACTTTTACATTTGATAGTTTCCACTCCTGGTCCAAAGGTTTCTCTTGCAAGACGAGCTCGAACGGCCAGCTCACCCCGATCTCCACCATCTTTCCCCTCGACAGAGCGTATGCAAGAAAAAAACTGTGTAAGTGTAACTCTGTGATGCAGAACGGGCAAAAGAGTTACATCTGTCATGCGTCACAGCCATGAAGTCCTCTTTTCATGTGTGTTTTTCCTTATAAGCCGCACATGACAGGTTTTCTCTGTCATGTAGAGCAAATTTCTGATGCTGTCAGCCAAAGAAAGATACACTTACACAGTTTTTTTCTTGCATAGAGCGGACGACCCAACTAGTACATCGGAGCTGTGGTGATCTCCGCTGTCAAAACCGCCAGGATCCCCCTTGTAATACACCAAGTGAATGGTTTTTCTGGTGGACCCGAGCGACAAGCCGCCGACGGTGCTGGAGACAAAAATCTCGTCGCCGCCGTACCGAGCGTTCCTCTGCAGCTCCTTTATCACACAGAAAAAAGCAGGCAAGTCACATTTGTATATGCAAAAGCAAACTAACAGACTAATCTGTCATGGGCGACCCCACAGCATGCATGGCGCTTAGGACATGCAAGGCAATTTTTTGTTTTTTTGTCTGTTTATTTTTGCATTACAAATATGACCTGCCTGCTTTTTTCTCTGGGTATCCTTCTCAAATTCCATACAGTCGTCGAAATCCCACAAGTTGTTCACGATAAACTCAATTTCGCTGTCCTGCACGTAGGGGTGGCGCCCGCGGATGGAAATCTGTAGTTCCCAAGATTTTGTTGTGATGCATGTATGACAACGGCGCATATGTGTGACGCACACGATGTGTTGACCTCATAGAAAATGCAAGAGACAGTGCGTAGAAATTCATACTCACACGGTGCTGGTCCTTGTGCTGCGTGAACAAACTGCAAATGCAATACCTGTAACGGATCGTATTCGATTTCTTCATCCTGTACGTCTGACAAGTCGACAAAACCGCTGCTGTTCTTGTGGTCTGTGCAGTTGTTTACAAAATTCGCCTCATTCTGTTCGCCTTTCTCCTCTTCCGCTGCGACAAAAATGGCGTCAGCTTTGCTGTCTTCGTTTTGCGCCGTCTTGGTTCTGCTTACCTGCAAGATGTTCCTTTCAAGATTGTTACAATCGTGCTTGTCGTCGTAGTCGTTTTCGTTAACCCAAAAGGTATAATCAAAATGAGCGGTTTCATTTTGCGTGCGTTTGCCAAACAACTGGAAAAAACACCACCAGCAAATCGATAATGGTCTACTTGCAATTATATTGTAATTCCACAAGAACACGCATGAAGAATCAAAGTAAGAGCACGAGTACGTTCTCCGCACGGCTCGTCGGTGAGATCACGTCATCACCCTCGGCGTGGTTCGCTTCTGGCGTCTCTCCCTCTAGTCCCGCAGCAAGAACTACATCCTCCTCGCAAAGATTGTCGCCGCCTTCCACAGACTCCGGCTTGGGGGTTGGAAATTCGTCCTCCTGCTCCTCTTCCTCATCCTCCACGACTACAGGCTCATCTTGAGCCTCAGCATCCGCAGGTGGATCATCTTGTTCGACGTCCTCACTTGCTGCTGCACGAGCAAGCTCTTCTTCTCCCTCTTCCGCAGCAGCCGAGGCAGTCGCTTCTTTCACTGGATCCCACGGCAACGGTTTTAGCAATCGCTTCATTCCCGGGAAATACGCATAACCGGACTTCAATTGCGGGAAATTCGTTGAAGGAGTTGATGTCGACGTTGCTGCAATGGTCTTTGAACTACAAATGGAAGATACAGAAGGAGCTCCCAAGCGCGTTGATGTCGTGAAAGCTGTCGTCTGCGCCAGAGGGACAACATGCGATGCTGTAGATGGTGAAGACTTTTTGACACCTGTCAACGCAATCACTTCAAGCGGACTTTTCAACGACACACCATCCGCGACGTCTACTGGAGATTTCGAAGCAGTCACTGCGTCGCGAGCCGTGGTCCGGAGCTGGATATTTTATTGAAGTTATTTGACTTTCTTTGTTACACGCAGCTCCACCTACACGAGAGTCTCTAAGTCGCTGCATCACAATCAAAATTGTTGCCTTTTCATCCTCCAATCGGAACAATTATCTTCAATCAACAGATTCATGAGTACCTTTTCCAAAAAGTTTGTCTGCAGCAACTCCGACGACCTAGCTGATGAGGTATTTTTCGAGGCGGCCGCGCCGGCGCTTGTACAACTGGAACTGGTGCCCGCTGTCACGACTACGCTACTAGACAAACTACCCATGGGCGCCGCCCAGGGCAACGCGCTCCGGAGTTTTTGCGCTGGATTCGCCTTCGTGCTCTCAAACACGTAGTTGTGTAAATTCTGGTGCAGCAACACCTTTGCCTGTTTAGTCGAACTCCTACTGCACTCGGCGGTAGTGGGGAGGTCGGGGGTTGAAAATGGTGCGAGAACTTGTTCCGCAGCTTTGTCCTCACCGTCTCCATTCACAGAAGATTCCGGCGGAGCAACAGCATCAAGATGTTTCGACGCAGTAGAAGAAGAGTCCCCCACTTCAACAGGAAGAGCGACATCCTCTGTCTTTACCTGTGTGGAAGATGTTGTTCCTGGAGAAAAATGCAGCGACGACCTTACTGGCTGTGCGGTCGCTATGTAGATGGAATTCCACGGGTTGTTTTTTGCTCCGGGCGGCGGCAAGAGGAGCTCTCGTGGCAAAACCCGGCCGGACAGGAGTGGCGACGGCTGCACCTGGATCCGCGTCGGGGAGACCGCGATCGGAGTTGTGACACCGGAAAACATGGCTTAATTTCTTCTTCGGACCACAACACGTTTTTATCCGAACGCACCGACGGCCGGAGAGGCCACCACGCAATACAGATGACCGGTTGCGCGGTAGATCCGAGCAGTTGTCGGTTATACACCTTTTATCTTCGTGCGAACGTGCAGCACCGTGTGCTGAGTAAATGGGTGTTCGATGCAGACGCAGGGTCTTCACACTCACACTACCCAAGCAATCTCGATTGGGCAAATGCACAGCTAGTCCATCTCACAAGAATAACCACAGACTCGCTCAACGCTCAACGGATACACCAAATACATCGCTCCTTGCGTTTTTCCTTACAAATGGGATGCGGAAAGAACGAGGAAGAATCTGAAGACCGAGTGAGAACAGGAAAGTGCTCATGGGCGAAAATACGCCTTTCCACATGACTGCGGGCTTTCATGTGGAACCAGCACTCCCGTTGCTACTAGTTCTTATTTTCAAAACTGTGTACAACCGCAAAACAACAAAAAGATCAGAATCACCTGGCTGTCGTGGTCGGCCGGCTGCATCTACTGCAACTGAAGTAAGTTGATACACCATGATCATAACATATACTTAAGAACTTGCTTCATACTTTCTTCCACACACATATAACATTGCTTCGTGTTTTGTTCGGCTTGGGTACAAGTCATGTAGTATACTAATTTTCAAAATACTATACTGCTCTATGCAGCTCGCTTGCTAGAAGTTCAAGCTCTCCCCTCATTTGAGCGGCGGCGGGCCGCTACTTGTCGCCGGCCGTAGCCGCGAAATCAGTCGCGTGCTTCGCATACCAACTCGCCAGCACATCAGCCTCGATCCACTCCTTCGCGCCCCGGTTCTCAAAGAGATGCAACGTGCTGTCCGCCTCCGCAACTGACATGACGACAAACTTCAGCGGTTCGTCGGGTTCCAGTTCCTCACCGGCAACATCGGCAGAGCGAGGGATTTCTTGCGCCGAGTCCTCCTGCTCCAACGAGGACGTGGGACGTGCAGTTGCTGCAAGTCCTCCTCCAGTGCTGCGGGTCCCCGCTGTTCTGGGCCGCTCCTGCGTTGTAGTCCTACTGCTTTTGGCAACCAATCGCACCGCCGCACGGACGGCGTTCCTCACATGCTCCACGTCTTCATCTTCGACGGCCAATATGGCGCGAATGTTTAACCGGTCAGCCCACTTTTCGCAGCGCATCAGCATGTGCATCTCGGTTTGGAAAAGCCAGCGCCGCAACCCCGCCGAGGACGTCCACGAAAACCTTTCGCGAAAGAGAAGGCTCTGATTTTGCGCCCAGGAGGACACGTCCACCACATCTGCCAGCACTAGCACTGGCATATGACCCGGACCCAGGTCCTGACGCAGATTCGTGATGGCGCTCGTGGTAGCCTGACGCACCATGCCACCAAGCCGGCCCTTCCAGCCGTGCGCGACGCAGCCCGCGTTCTTTAGTGCGTATTCTTTTGCGACGTCCCACATGTGTACACTTTCGCCCTCCCCCGTGCACTCATGCCTCTTAAAGGAAAGCGGCGCCGCGGCAACAACGTTCTGGCGGGCGTCGGCAGTCTTGTTGTAGCCCTTCCCCGCCTCGTCCATCTGCGCACGCTCACCACCGGCAAAAGCAATCCCCTTTCGTTCCAGGAACAACGTGCCGGCCAGTTGCGCGTTGGTGAAGAGAATCGCAGAAACGACATGGTAAATGGCTGCCCCTGCAATCGCCCAAGGGCGTGGAAAAGTCAAGTCTTCACTTCTGGGCCTCAGCAGCTCAAGAGCTCGACTGGCAACCGTAGTCGGCGCGACCGTCTCGTTGGTATGTTCCTCAAGCAGATCCACAAACCACTGGAGGGCCGAAAAGCCCCAGAAACCAGAGTCCGCAGGAGGCGAAAGGCGGGAGCGCGCTTCCAGGGTTGATTGCGCCAAGGCGTAGTACTTCTCGTCCAGGTATGGTGGGTCAAACGCTTCCACAAATCTATACCACGGCCACCCGGTATCTTTCTTGCCAAGCGAGGACACTGGACTGCGCTTGATCAATTCCCAGTATTTCCGTGCCAGATTCCGGGCCTTCACTTCATCCACGACTGTGAGAAACTGTTCCCCCTTTGCGATCCTCTCCGGCATGGACGTTGCTTCCTGGACGTACCACTCGGAAGTAAAACTAGTGGACGCATTGTACATCGGGCGAGGAGACGAGGACCGAAGCTGAAGATCCCTGCCTCCACGCGCCGGCACTAGGTGACTCGCAGTATTATCATCATCTCCACGAAGTGCATTCGCTGCGAAAACAGTTGCCACCCAGCTGAAAGGAGACCCGGAGAAGAATGCCTTCGGCGAGACGCACAGGACAGAGGTCCGCTGATGCCCCTTGATTTTTATTGTTTCAGATGATGAAGCTGCGTCTCTACTAGTATGATCTCCTCCTGCAGCTGCTGCCTCTTTCGCCGCCTGCAAGTCAGCACTGGACAAAGTCCCAACCTGGACGTCGTCGCTGCTCTGCTCTTGGAACTCACAGTTGTCCGCTTCCCCCTGCAGGACCTGTAAACTGATTTTCGCCGACCTGTTAAATTCGCGCGCGAGCTCTGCGTTGGCGATCCGAAGTTGCTCTGCAATAGGATTTATCAACTGCTGCAAATATCGTCGTGTCTGGGTCTGGAGAAATGCAAATACAGGACAAGTTGAAGTTCTTTTTCATGCCCGCGTCCAGAATTATTTAACGGCTGGGCCTGGGCCGCGACGCCCCTTCTGCTTGAAAAACCCGTAAAACGGTACTTACTAGCGGCACTAGCCACCTACTTAACAAACTCTAGCGGGGCGGAACACGTTTGGCAAACTCTCGGCGGAACGCAGGAGTTTGTCATGTTGAAAGGCTGAGGGCAGGGCAGGGCGCAGGAGTTTGTCATGCAGGTTTTGGACCCCCACCACATTAATGCATGGTGTGGAATTGTGCATGCGACAGCGCTACAGGTTTGGCGCAGGAGGCCTCCTGATGCCTGTCCAACATGAGAAATACGCTATTTGCGTAGCAGTAAATGGACAACTTTTCTAGGCGCTCACGCAACTACACAAGTTTTTGTGTATACAGAGGCTTTTCTTTTCTTTTTGTGTGGTTATCGTCACGCCCGATCCCCCCTGTACGAGGATGAGTCGGTAAGGCGCGACGGCCTTTATACAACTGCGACTGAGAGCTCGCCTCTTCTGCATCATAAGTTTGCGCCCACCTTCCAGACCGAGACAAACAATTTCCAATCCATAGGGTTTTTCCACCGGACGAAGTCGCAGATCTCGTTTTTGCACATGGATGCAAAGTCAGTAGTTGCCGCTTCACTCGTCGTCCGTTGTGAAGATCGTCGACTTGTTGCTTTAGCGCCGGCCAACAAGAGAGGACCGCTTTCGACGTACGCCGCTGGCAGCGGCTGTTGATCCTGCTGCCCCTCGTCGCTGGACGACGCCACTCCTGCGGCTTCATCGGAAAAGTACACGGACTGCGCGCTCGCGCGGAGATGATGGGGGTCAAGGTCATCCAGGTGTAGTTGCTGACCATCCAAGTTGTAGGCGCGTGGTCGTGTGGTCTCACCTTCCGCGGACTCCCGGTAGTTCTTCCTCGTGCTAGGCGGTTCGAGGAAAGCTACGCCATACTGGTCCACCCCGACAGCGACCTTTACGGGAGAACTTTGTGACGTTCTTGCAGCGTCGAGCGCAGGTGCTGGCGGTAGAGAACCGCTTTCGACGCTTTGCAGCAGCACTGGGCCAGAAACAGACACAGAATCGCTCTCCGTGCTCGAAGATGATGATGGTGAAGTGCTTGCTCGCGGCCTGAGCTTGTCATGCTTTTCTGCAGCCTCTGCTACTACACAAAGACAACATGTCTCGAAGCCACCGTCTATCTCACGGTCCTGGAGACGAGTGGTCGTCGCAAAAATAAATGCGAGAAGTGGCGAGATGAACCACGGTCGGTGAAGGTGAGCAGAGGACAGCATTTTCATTTATTCACACAAGTCGGACTCTACTTCATCGCAGCGCAGTGGTGGCCCCGACAATCAACATTGAGCCAAAGAAAATGGCTACTAAGTATTTCATCTACATCTATTTTGGAGGTAAACTACTAGTACTTCGAGATATTAAAACAAGATGAATACTATCTAACTAGCTTCACGCGTCTCGACGTCCCGCCGCCACCAGGAACTTTGTATATTGGTTTCGATACCCCGGCAGCGGGAGTTGTGTTCGAGTCTTCGCATAACAAGACCAGTCCGAGCACCACGAACAGCTTTCAGCCACGTCGACTTGTTCCCTTACTACACGACTATTCGTCATTCATCTCGGGTACGAATCTCTCCCGCGACAAGCGATCATACGACCCACGACGCGTGCGCCTATAAGTACGATTCTTCTTCGGAAGCGTCAAGTGACGACCCCAAATCTTCGATGGTTCATGGACGACGACAATCAATATTTATACGACGTGAGAAACTGAAACAGTAGCTATCCCGGGGGTCGGGGAATCTGCGATCGGAGTTGTGACATTGGAAATAAACCTGGTTTTTTTCTTCCGGACCAAAAGAAAAACACAACAAGGTGCATCTTGCGCAGAAGTAGAATGTTGCAAAAATAAAAGAGCCGCGTGTGTCTACAGCAGAGCTTTTGCTTTTCTACGATGCGGACAATTATGAGTTACTGGTACTAGTAGCGACCGGTAGCCCGCTCTTTTCATATTCCAGCCAACTTCCATCGAAAAGCGACACTGTCGGTTTTGCCTTCCCCTCATGCGCGCACACCACCTCCGCGGCCAAGGCAACAATACAGGCTGTCATGCCGGAGCCGCAGGTAACGACGAAGGGCTTCTCTACATCGACATTCTTTGTGTTAAAAATTTTTTTCAATTCTCCCGGCGATTTCAATTTCGTTCGCTTTGTCGGTGCAGATGATATCATCTTCAGACCGTCCTTCGTAGAAGTTGTAGTTGCTTCCTCGTGGTCCCTCACGTCCAACAACTCCAGAAACGGCACATTTGTTGAATTCGGAATGTGTCCACTCCGCATTCCGGCCCTCGGCTCCGCCGCTTCTCCCGTGAACCGCCCAGCCGGACGGGCGTCCAGGATCGTCGTGGTATCTTGTAGAGAGGTTCTTTCCTGCTCGTCAGTAGTGCAGCTGGTGATTTCCTGAATATCCGCCAGGGATGCGACGGATTTGTTTTCCTTTTCGGCGTTCGTTTGTTCCGCAGATGAGGTTGTTCCTCCAACAGTTGTGTACTCCTCCACTGGTTTCGCGACTGTGGTTCCAGTTGTTCTGGCAGTTGTACCAGCTACACTCCCTTCAGCAACGTCACCCCCGGCCTCCACCCACTCCGGCAAGCCACCGTCCAACACAAAAGTGTTCCTATGCCCAAAGAACCGCAGCATGTACCAAGCCCGCGCCGCCGAAAACAAGCCGTGCCGGTCGTAACAGACGATCGAGTCTTCCGTGCTGATGTTCAAAGACCGCATGTAGTTTTCGAACACGTCTCTACTCGGCATCATGTGGGGTAGTTCGCTTTTCTCGTCCGCGCACTCGTCCAGGTCGAGAAAGGCGGAATTTGGTACTATTCGGTTGAAGTTTTGGTAAAGCGACTTCGCCGACTCGGCCGCGAACGGGCAAGCGAAGGGGGAGTTGGGCAAATACCACGTCGCATCGACGAAGACGAGCGTGGGGGTATCAAATGTAAAAATGTCTGGGTCTGGAAGATTGCCAGGTTTGTCATGCACATTTTGCATGACTCCTGATGTCTGTGATGCATGCCCTAGCATCACAGATTTTGTGAGGGCTTCCTGATGCCTATACCGCATGACAAATGCTCTTTCCGTGTAGCAAAACTTGGACAGGACTCTCTTTGCTGCTCATGCAATACAGATTTTTTTAGGATCCAAAATCAGCATGACAAGTTGAATCCTTCCAGACCCAGACACTTTTACAGTTGATAGGGGGCATCGCGGGTTGATGTAGTTCCAGCAGGAGACGAGGCAGTCGCAGACGCGGCCATGGAAGCCGCTAACTTTTCCTTTGCCCATTGCACAGACACTAACGGTGAGGACCCGGGTGGGGGAATGAGCGAGGACGTCATTTTTTTCATCATCGTGATTCTTGGCCTGCGTAGATGAGCGAACTACGAGAAATGAAGTAAAAGTAAGCCGAGCACGAGCATGGTCATTGTTCACACTTGGGGCGGCGCGGGAGGATAGGTCTGACAAAACACTTGATAACGGATGGAACTACAGAAAGATTGTACAAATTGGTACCTACTGATCAGGATCGCATTCCCCATCTACATCTCAACAAGTTCATCATAATGCCAATCAGATCGAGGCTGCGTATGCATATCGTAATCGGCTTTGGGTTCGACGTGCTCGAGACGTTAAGACATTGATATCGAACTCGTTGTCTAGTCGAAGTCAATAAGTGTGAAGGCGCCAGCACCGGTGCTGCGCATTCTTGGCATTGTTCCTTCAGCTTGCTGGGGCTGGCGGTGGGCACCAACGTCAATATATCCTTGTTGATATTGGAATTTGGCTGTTTGCGTTGTAGAATCCTTGCATCTACGACCGCATTCATCGAGACATTTACTTTCCCGTCTCCGTTGCAATGATTCCATCGAGATTCATCTACTTCTTTCAAACATCTAAGCTGCTCGTCACGCTGACGTAATTTGAAATTGTAATTGAATACCCTTTTGATGTCAAAATAAAACCTCCATGTCCATACTGTAACTATCGTACGTCTAATAGTCCACTACCACTATCCAACATCATTCTTCGCAGTTCTGTAAAAGAAGTTGATACTTTAAGTGTACTTTTTGAGGGACCTTATCAAGAAAAAAACCGATCCATCCGTCCCAGGTAAAAAGATTTGCTGATTCATTTGTGATTTATGATTTCTGTTGCTTAAATTTCAAAGGAAACACCCTGACCTGATAATGATAAAATTTTGGTGAATACTAAATACCCCAGTTGCCGTGCATCCCGCCTACTCAGAACAGCTTCAGCCCTTTCTGCGTCTGCTTCCGAAACACGCTCTGCGCCAAGCCACCACGCACAGTAGATCTAGCACCGCCAGCTGAAGAACTGTTCAAACTACCTTGTTGCGCCCCCACGGCAGCTGCTGCTCTTTGCTCTTGCTTCCACGCCTCGCTAGTGAGAATCCGACTCCTTCCCGGCATCAGGTGATCCTCGCTCCTTTCCGGAAGTTGAAATTGCACTGAACTTTGCTGTTTTTGCTTGTGTTGCTGGGTGGTCTGTGAAATAGTTGTTTTTGGATGAAACATGGACGCATTGCTGACATTGCTCCTGCTTCTCGGGGTAGATTGGGAGGAAATGTTGCTTTTGTTCACTGTAGCGGCTACACTGCTGCTGATTTTAGTATTGTTTGCATCCGCACGGCCCTGCGGTCGTCGCGCAAAATTTATATCTTGTCGGGCGGTCGTGTAGCCCCCAACGAGCGGCGCGACCACTGTCGTGTGCGAGGAAGAGGACGGTGGCTCCTGGTGTCCACCAGGCCTGTTGTAGAAATGATCTGGAAGGATTCTCGATCGGTTCACCGACAATACGCTTGTGGACACCTCGTCCACTTCCTGCAACGCGGAATTTTCGGCACGGTGAGAAGAGGTGGAGATGTCGTGACTTCTCTGCTCCTCAATCGTGTGGTCCGTGCGTTGCATTTCGGCTTTTTCTACTTGTGCAGTTGCTTGCTTTACCACGGTGGCTTCGCGTCGCTTCTGGAAGAATTTCGCAAATTGGCTGGCAACCGCTTCTTGCTCGTGGTCCTGACTTGCGATTATTTCGGATGACGTTGCAGGAGCTGGCTTTTGGCGAGTGGTTGTCTGCGAATCTTCGACTTTGATGTTCGCGTTAGAATTATTGTGCGGGTGAATTTCTCTTGCTGGTGCTTTCAAATGCTCAGGATGTTGCACGGAGACAGCGCCTGCTTCGCGAGCGACTTTGTTGTAACTTTTATTCACTGTTTCTTCTGCAGGATGAATACCCGTCTGTGCAACATTCGTTGCAGTACTACTCTCTTTGGCCCGATCCGCCACCCCGCCCGCCCGCTCCCGATTTGCCACACTTTGCAACAGCCTGGAAGACGAAGTTAGTTCTTGTCGCGTTTTGGGACTGGCAGATCTGCTCGTTTTGTTCATTTCCGTCGTTCTTGCAGTCCCCCCGCTCTGCGACCGCGAGGGAAGTAGTGGTGCAGCTTCTTCATGCAAAACAGCCGCACGGTGTTCTTCTCTTGGCGCGGGTTGAAACACTGTTGCCGCACTGGTGTTCGTCGTGCGCCACGTTGCGGGCGAACCGCGCGAGTGCGTTATCGGGGAGATCGCGGATCTTTCCCCAACTGCGATTGCTGCTTCTACTTGCGCCGAATGGTCATCTTCTCGACCCTCGTTATACCGCTCTTCTTGCGTAACTTCGCCTCCGTGTCGTCGACTCGTTACCTCGTGGTCGGTTACTTTACGTGCGCGCTGCGAATTGGACCTGGACCTGGACTTGCGTTCACGTTCGTCGGAGTGCCGATCCTGATGCTCTTCATGTGTTCTTCCCACTCCAGCCCCCGCGGCGCCATCACGAGACCTGCGCTGAAGCACTCCAGCCGCTTCGAGTTTTCGCCGCTGATTCTCCAAGTAATCGAGGTAATCCTGCTCGTCCATCTGCTCCTGATTTTCTTTCTGGGCTGTATCGGCGTGAAGATCATGTTGGTGATCATCGTTTTCATCATCATCGTCTTCGTCTGCCCCCTTCGCACTATCAAACAAAGATGTCAAAGAGAGCGACAAACTTGCGTCACCATTCAAATTGTGACCCGCAGGAACAGTTCCTGAAGCCTGCTCCTTCCGACTGCGCGAGCTTCTTTCCCCGCCCTGCAGATGAGCATTCTTATCGTCCACAGGTCCACCACCGCCCGTCGAGACAGCAAGCGACATTTTTTCTATCTCAATGCTCGAGAGCGGCCCCACATCGTGAAAGAGGTTGTCATGATGCTCGAGATCACCTGCAGAACCGTTTTCCTCTTTCCGGAAGATGCTTTCCTTGAGCCGGTTGGTGATTTGAATCAGCTGCTCTGCTTCCAGCGAGTCGATGTAGCTTTCCTTCTTTGCTCCGATGGCGGAAGATGGAGACGTTCGTCCGGACAAGGTTCTTTTCTTCGGGGAAAAGGGTCCGGTGTCTCGCGGACCCTGCTGTCGGAGGTGCTTTTTTTTCATTGCTGGATGTTGAACACGTGGCTCTTCTGGTTTTCCATCATTGTGGTTCGTGAAGATCCTGGGGCTAATTATGTCGTCGACGACAGCATCAGCATTTCTCATTGCCGCAAGGTCGTCCTCGTGTGAGTGCAACTGCTCTACTTGTCGTGCATTGACGTTCTCGTCATCACTGCGTTGTTGAGCTTGTTTCTCTACTTCTCGACGGCCGACCACATCATGAAGATCCTGCTCATCTCCGTAGTCAGCACTCACAACACCACCAGGACTTCTGTGCGCACTGGAGATACTTTTCTGCGTACTTACCGGCAGCAACGGCCGCGTATGGTACTCCGCGACAGAAAACTTTTTGTTTCTCCCACTCCCCCCACCTGAGAACACGCCACCGCCCAACCCCCGATTCGCTTGCAACCCGAGAGCATAAGCCGCTCGCGCGACGTCCGCGCCGCGCTTCGTGTCCCTCCCCTGGGCTTCGAAGGAGGCACGAAGGATTCCGAAGTTCGCGGACAGCGTTTCCTGCAGTTTTTTCTTGTTGCTACTAGGGGGCGGCGACCTGGACGCCTGGCGGAGAATGGCCTTCATCGAGGAGGGAGAATCGTCTGGAGCGGGCAAGGGGTTCACGATGAGTCCGGCGTGTCGTGGGGTTGTTGTGTTGGTAGCAGAAGAACTACTTGTCTTACTAGTGTTCTTTGAAGAGGTCGCTGCGCCAATAGTACTGTTCTGAGTGTAGTGTTGGGAATTATGCTGCTTTTGCCGGTTCGCTGTTGCCACGTAGAGTTGCGAAAGTGCGGCGTTCCGGGGTGTTGTCGTTTTTGTTGACAATTTCGGCGAGGAAGAGGGATGTTGTTGCGCAGATGACACAGAAGTCGTGGGATGATCATGAACAGCTGCATTTGAGGATGCCTGCCTGCTAGACGAAGACAAATTGGAATTGCTTGCCTCAATTTTTGACACGCGGTCAGTGCCAACATGCTCCGCCGTCTTTCCTTCTGCTGGTTCGGTTTCCGGTCGCGGCGTCAACACTTTTCCGAGTAAAGGACTTCTGCGGTTTGAGGTTGTGCCAGCTCGGGTGCTGAGGCCTCTAGCAGGCGTGTTTGTGCTTGAGGACGCAGTAGAGGAGCCCAGTGGCACGACGCCCTGCTGCACAGAGCGACCTTGCTGGTACGCTCCTGCATTCGATTGCGGCTCGTGGTCTACTTCGGCGTGTGAAGTAGTAGCCTCACTTTTGTTTGTTCCAGCAGTTGCAGGTGTTGGTGTTGCTTTGCCCCCCGGATGAAGATAGTTGTGCTCGTAGTACCCGCCATCGAGAGCACTGTCACCTCCCACTTCCCGCGCCAACAGCAAATTCTGGACCAGACTCTGCTGCGATGGCAGCCTGTTATGCGCCGTGTTTTGACTGTTCTGACTATTGTTCCCCATCGCATTTAGATGCCTTTGCGCTCCCGCGGCCAGGATGTTGTGGTAGGATCGGATAGCAGCCGCTCCTCCCGAGGAACTGGAGAGACTTGCCGTCGGTCCCTGACTCATCTCCGACCCACTGGCCGTCTGGTACAGCTCCTTACTGACCCCGCGCGGCGTGTAGCGGCCGGCGGAGCGGCTTCGACTCGCAGTTGCTGACTGAGAAGTTTGGAGATTTTTACTTGGCAATCGATTTGGAGTTTTGGCCCCCGCCGCAGCGGAAGGGGCTGGTTCCTGCGTTGTTAGGATGCGACCCCTCGTTCTGGCACTGGTCTTCGTGGCGGAGGAACTGCTTGTGCGGTGGTAGGAGGTTGCGGATAAGCTTGTTGTGTTGTTCATACTTCGAGAATTGGACGAATTGATCGCATGATCTTGTTCAACAACTACTTCTGTGTGCTTCATCGTAGTTCCCTCACAGCCGCCACTGCCTTCGCTGTCCTCAGCCTCGCTGGCAAGAGGAACCACTTGCACTAGCGAAACCGGTGCCGGCGTGTGCGGATTGTTGTGCTGCGTAGTTGTACCGCGCAGCTGATTGATTGCCGCTTCCTGCGCTTCTCGCGACGGCGCAACGTTGCCACTACCTGTGCTGGAAAAGCCGGTAGCTTCCGGTCGTGGTACCACGAAAGACGTCGAAGAAACCGCTGCTGCGCCAGCTGTAGTCCCTGCCGCCCGCAGCGGCATCACATCCACCGCTGTGTTTTTGTCCCCGCTCGCACTGGTTCGACTCAAACTGCGCATCAGAGCCACGACGTTGCTTCCTCCTCTGCCCTGACTTTGGTCTCTCTCCCGCTTGCGCTGTTCCTCCCGCATGCGGCTCGTCCGCGTGGATCGGTAGCCGCGAGGCGTGGAGGTTCTCTCCCTGGAACGGGCTCGAGTGGTTGCTGCTTTTAGCTCGGAAAACGACGTGTCCTCTGGTTTCGCGCCGACAGATCGCCGAGAATTTTGCTTTTTGCCACTGTACTGCTCGTGATGTTGTTGTCCTGAGTAGGAGTCTAGTGGAAAATTGCTCGTGCTGAATGTGGTTTCTTTCGGGACGATCGTATGCGAATCTGGTCCCGCGGCTCCCGACCTGGAGTGTTGATACGACGAGGACGACGAGGATGCTCCTGCGGCTCCAGCACTTTTCCTCCCCATAGAGGGTGCCCGTCTTGGACTCGGGCTTGGACTGCCTCGATTTAATGTCACAGCCAGAGCCAACTCATCTGCTCGCCCATGATCTGGTGGTGCATTTATTTGAGACGTCTCGTCCCTTTTCTCCTGCGGATGAACCACGAGCAGCTGCGACACAAATTCGTCTGCGACAAGCACTTGCTCGACTCTCTGCCGATCATCCTGGGCGAGAACCCCAGCTGATGGCTGCACCACCTCGCTTTGATACGGCACAACTTCCGCCAGCTCTAACAGCGCCTCCGGGCCGCCGCGATGATCGTGTGGTTGGTCCACGTGCTGCTCTGCCAGGTCACCACCCTCATCTCCATGTCCATCCAAAGGCGATGACTTCTTCTTTCCGGCGGAATTGCTGCTTTTCGAGGTGGAGCCGCTTGCCCTACTGCCGCCGAGTACCGCCGCTAAGTTTTTGTGAATGTCCTCACTGGTCACATTCACCCGCTTCAGCATCTTCCCGTTGGTCGAAGCCGTTTGGTAAACTCCCAATCCCAACCTCGAAGGCGCGCTGGCGAAAGAGAGTGAGTTGACACTGTGCAGCAGCAGGTCTACTTTGGGCGAGGATTTTCGAGAAGTAGAGTGTTCGCGGAAATGCTTGTCCTGCAGGAGACTTTGGCGAGTAATGAGTTGCTCCTCTTGTTCTTGTTCAGCAGCTGCGAAGGCAGGCCGTATGGACTCGCTTTCAGAAGGCTTGTCCTCGATGTTCAACGGCTCGTCCTGAAGAGTTTGATTTGTAAGGCCGGTACTGGAAGCAACAGGAACAGCATGGACAACATTCCCCGCCCCGACCGTCGAGCTCGAAGACTTCGACGAACTGCGCATCACGTTGTCAAGCACCTCTTCGTAAATGCTGCGGTCCAGGACCTGCCTTGATCCAGATAAAGAGTTCAGCATCTCGTGATCTTTTTCTTGTTTGTAGTCATGCTCGCAGTTTACTAGAAACGCGCCCTGTTCGCTAGTACAACTTCCGATGTTTTCTTTACTTTGCCGTCTGCTCGCGCTGCGAAAGCCGCCTGTGGAAAGGCTGACATTCTCCATGGACTGCGACATCATTCTTCCCGGAGATTTGTCGCGGTGCTCTTGCTGGTCATGAAGATGACGCAAAGCTGCAGTAGTTGTTCTCGTTCTGGGCGATATGGTTCGTTGTTGTAACACAGGACTTCTGCTGTGTTGTGATTTCGGACTTTTAGACTTGTCACTGTCCAATTTACTGAACAACCGGTCCTGAAAAATCTGCCTGCGTGACCGGTTCTCCACCTGTACTAGTTGCTCCTGTTCTCCCTTTTGTCCGATGATTCTTATCGAGGAATCGTCATCCTTTGTTTCCGAAAAAACGGACCTAGAACCCCCGACATCAAAAATTTCCTCCAGGGAAGGCTGCTCCAGGTGATGTCTTGACGCAGCAGAGTCGACATGATGTTCTTGGCGCGCAGATGAAGTCGAGCCAAGTCTAGGCGCGTTCAGCTGCGGAATGATCGGAGCTGCGAGGTCATGAGGACGAGTACAAGCACCCGTCGAGCCAGAAACCATGTAGGGGTCCTCTTCTTGGTCTACAGAATCTCTGAGCGTGCGTCGCAGTGGTCCTCCTGCGGAGGTGGTTGCAGAGCCGCTGGAAGATGAAGAAGGTAACCACGCGCCGCCGGTTGTGCTACTAGACCCCGACCCAGAAAAAGCCTTTAACACCCGTTCCTGCATGCGCGGCTCCACATTCGCCAGTGCATTGTGTTGTTGTTGAAGCGATGTGGCGGACGCGGCCCGGGACATGCCGTGAGGATTGGTGGTCGTCGTATTTGCGGCTGGGGCAGCTCCAGATGCAGATGCTGTTCCTGCTAGTGGTGGCGAAGATATTGTTGACCCTAGTATTCGCGAGTGCAGCTGCGGCGACACGGACTTCGCTTGTTTCGGTGAGCTCTGTTTGATACTCGGAAAGAACCCCGCCGACGGTACTATGGAGGCAGCTGTCGCAGGAATCATTACTTCTCCTCTCTCAGCTTCCACGGCTGAAAAGCTGGACATGGGTGGGCTACTGGGGCTGGCCCTCGGCGGCGACGCTCTCGACGGCGACGAGAGCTGCGGTGCGAGAAGCCCTCGTCCCGGGGAGCTCGAGACAATCGGCATCACAAAGGTGTGTCCGTTGATAGTTTTCGCTAACCCCCGAGTCGTGTGGGAGGGGGAGGACGTGTTGGCCGGGATGCGCTGCAGCGGAGAAATGGACTTGGACTTCTTGTTGTTTTCTTCTGTAGTTCTTTCGCCCGTGGGGGTCTTCGGAGCTGTTGGTGCTGCCTCACCATCATCTTGCTTTTTGTTCTTTGTTGTGACGAGCAACTGTACCTCCTCCGGCGAAGAAGACGAGCCTGCAGGGCCAGGATCTCTATGCGACTGCTCGTCGGCGGAAGTCGAGGTAAAGTCCTCGGTGTGCTGCTGGAGCTGCACTTTTCCTGCTGATGTTGTCGGTGCTTTTGCATCTATTTCTGCGAAAGGCTTAGTCGTGCTGTCATCAACGACAATATCGAGCACGACGGCCTTGCTGCTACCGAGTACGCGTCGCTTTTTCGTTGCTGGATCGGAAGCTACACCGAACTGGATCGTGCCTGGGCGCGCGGGTGGTGTTGCAACTACAAGGCCGCCAGAGATGTTGGCCACGACAGTAGGCACAGCACCCTGTTGCGTTGATGGTTGACCGATCTCTAGTACCGCGACATTGTCCTCCTGCGCTTCGGTTTCGTCTTCCACCCCCGCATCTACTTCACCCGGCGGCGTTTCCGGCTGTACAATCATCGCCTGATTCATTGCTGGATTCAGACCTGCTCCACTGGTGGGCGCCACCGGCGGTCTTCCGAGATAACCACCACTAGTTTGCTGCTGTGCCCCGCCTGCTGGTGCCACCCCGCGTGGGGTAATCAGAAACTCCTGCGCGCTGTTCCCCTCCTGCAAGTAGTGGGTGCTCTCCTCATTCTGGTGCACCGGGGAGAGGCTACCAAAAGACGCGGTGTCCTGTTGGGGCTGATGTTCCTCTTGTTGTAATATTTGCTCTCCAGCGCGAGGACCTCCTTCGGTGTGGTCCTGCTCACTGGTAATTGTAGCGGCGGTGGCGTTGAACGGCTGGAACGTGGTTGGGGGTTGAGTTGTCGCCGCATCTGCTGCTCTCGCTATGTTCAGTTGCAGAAGCCCTGAAGTCGTTGAGTCGGTTCTGGCCCCATTGCCCAAAACCGGCTCCGGACTGGCTAGCAGCGCTGTCCGCAGCTTCTCGTGCGGATCTGCGTCCATTGGCGGAGACTCCTGCGTGTCCGTCCCGAAGGTCACCTCGTCACCCGGTGATGCTTGCAGAATGCCGTCCGCACTGGGCGTTCGGCAGAACTTCTTGCCGAAGGAAGGCGGCGAAGGGTGCGGTTGGTTCGGGTTGGAGGACGAGATAAATCCGCGGGCGAAATCCGGCGAAGCCGTGGAGAAGTTTGTGAGGACAGGAACAGATGCGGGCCGCTGTTCTCCCTGCACAGCATCTCCGACCACGGGTGGAACAACCTCTGGAGCTGTGGTGCCGCTGCTGGGTAGTTCTTGCGGAGGTCCTCCACCTCCTTGAGCAATGTTTATTGCGCTTGTTGTTTCAGCAACCTCAATCTCACTGGCTTGTAGTTCTTGCGGACCAAATGAAACTTTACCGGCCAATGTGTCTTTCTTGTCTCTAGTTTCGACATTGGCTTTGGGGGATTTTGCATTTCCATTTGATGTTAGTACATCTCGCGTCTGCTGCTTCGGAGAAACGCTGTTGCCGGAAGATCTGTTCTTGATCCAAGAGGGCAGGGGGTGCTTTGTGAGCTGCGTCGGTGACGTAGCTGCACTCGTGGCGTTTCTCCCAACTGCAGGTGGATTCTCTCCTGGGCAGCTATCATGAGAAAAATAAAACCCATCCCACCCACATCCATTTTTTGCATGACAAACACAAGATTTTTAACCTTTACCTCCTTATGTATGTTTTGCATGACAAATTGGATGTGGATGGGTGTTTTTTCCTGGATAGCAGCCTCCCCGTGGCGACTTCGACTTCTTCTTCTGCCGGCTGCTCGTACTACCGCCTGCCAACAGCGATCCAATACTCGTCGACGCTGCATTTATTCTCCCCGTCGTCGTGGGCTGTTCTTGTAGTCCAAGCTTCTCTTTCTCTTTCTGTGCCTGCGTGTGCTCCAGCAAAACCTGTTGCATTCGGCTTTTCAGGGAGGGCATGCGCGCTAAGGCAGGAAGATCGTCGTGACCACGAGGGCTTAAGCTCGGTGTCGCCCGGTTGTGCGTTGAGCTTGACGAAGTGGAAAACAGTTCTTGCACGGGACTCGGACCACCTCCACCGGCAAGGCCGCCTGCTGGTGCGCCGGAAGAAGCGGACGCTGCCCCGGGACTGCTGACAACAACGGACTCCTCGATGAGCACATCTTCTGTCTTTGAGTCCAGAATCTGGTAGGACCAGGCCAGATGCTGACCGTCTTCATCTGGACGACGAGGTGCAGCTACGTCTTCTTGTGGAGAACTGTGCGCACCTGTCGCCACCTCGGTTGGAGGCAGCTGCACTATCGCCCCCACGGCTTCGTTGTGGCCGCGGCTAGCATGTTCTGCCGTCTCTGTACTTCTTTGCGGACGATCGTTCTTAGGTCTCTCCTCCTGTTCGACGAGATTGTTATCACCATTTGTTCCCACCTCCTCCAGCGCTCCCACTCTCGCCTGTTCCTTCTTCGCGTTTACCGCCGCTGTCAGGGCCGCAAACCTCTCCGCAGCCGGACTCAGCGGACTCGCCCCGGTTGGTGAAGACGCGGACAGCATTCCTCCCCGTTTTGACCGGGTGAGCAGCGAGCTGGAGCTGCTCGTGCCTGAGGAGCTGCTGCCTGGGGAAGTGGCTGAAGTCGTAGTCGCAGCTGCTGCTGCGACAAGCGGATGCACAGCAGGAGCTGGTGGGACGAGAGGAGGAGAACTGCCAAGATTTGCACCAGCAGCAGCAGCACGACCCCCGAAAGATGAACCAGACGACGTGGCAGTCTGTCCTGGTGCAGCAGCGACGCCATAATTCTGTTGAACAAGCTGCTGCTGTTGCTGTTGTTCCGTGCTCGAGGACGCTGAGGAACAGCTGCTGTTCGCCGAGGCGCTAAGTTCATCGACGCAGCCAGTCTCGTTGTCCACGACGAGATGCTTGTTCTGCTTCTTCAAATACGAAAACGCGCGCGTCGGTTCGCGCGGACTCCTCGGCATCTTGAACTGCACCCCCTGGTGCTGCGAGTGCTGCTGCGCGCGCTGCTCCACCCACTCTTGCAGGGAAATCCGCTTTTCCTTGTCCATCTGCTTCGCCGGCCAGAGCAGCTTGGGTTTGGTGTTGTTTTCCTTACTGGAAGACGCAGAGGAGGAGGACGAGGACGCAGCGGAGGTGCCAGTGAGAACTGGAGAGACCACTTGCGTTGGCGAAGTACCCTTCACCCCGGCGCCCGCTGGTGCTGGGACCACGTTTGCCGTTTGCGCTGGTGGCACTCCTTTCGGTACTGATGCTGCAGCTTCGGGCGCAGTTGAAGTCGTAACAGTAGCCGTTGTCGCAGGTAGTTCCGAAGCAGGGGCTATCGTCGGGCACGTTGTAATCAGCGTATTTCCACTGCTTTCCGGGCGGAGAACCTCGTCCACGTTCGCCGCTTCTAGTCTTTCTCTTTGCCCCTGGAATGCAGCTACGCCCCTTGGAGGGGACGTTGGCGAAGATGATTTGCTTTTCGGCTTGTCGCCTCGTTGTCGTGTCCACGTTGGCTGTACACTGGAGGAGGACGACGAGGAGGGTGCTGTTGCTGGTGTTGCTTCTTCCTGCTTCGCTTCCCCCGATGCTATCATCTTCTCCATCGTCCGTAGCTTTTCCAGCAGTCTCTGATTCTCCTGCTCCAAGGCTGCGTGCCTTGGAGACCGCGTCAGCTGGCTCTGCAGTTGGTGGTCTTCGTGGGATTTTCGAATTGTGTTGCTTTTCTTCTCTCGGCTGCTTTTGGACTTCCGATTTTGAGCGGCAGTGCGGGCCGGCGCCGGTGGCTGTTTTTTGACGTTGCTGGCAATTCCAACATGCAGGCATCATGCGAACAAAGCGCTTTTCATATAAAAAATGAGTGCACACAAAAAACACATCTCGGGTTGGTTTTTGTTGTTGGAAAAAAACCTCCAATTTTCAAAAGTACATCAAGAAACCTGCCCTTCCACAAACGCATCGTCCGTTTTCTCACTCGCGGCCAGAAACAGCGAATTCACCATCTCCAGCCATTCCTCCTCGCCTCCCAACTTTGGCGGCAGCGCTTTTTTCGCCACTTTCCCGACCAGGCGCAGCGTCGCCACCGTCTGCGAAAAGTCCGCCGCCCAGGGCGAGCAGGTCGCGACCATCGCGAGCGTGGTGACTCTCGGCCCGAGGAAATTCGCAAGTCTCTCCGCCTCTCGATCCCCGGGGCGCTCGTCCAGAGCGCTGGTTGGGGAGGAGGGGGCGGGGAGGAGGCCGGCATTCTGTGGGCCAAGGGATGGAGATGCGGCGGCGGGGGGTCGGTAGTCACCTAGCAGCATCGTGACGAGTGGAGAGGTTTTGTGAAAGAGAGGAGCAGGAGTTCCATTTGCTTTCAAATACTGACAGAAACCAGGGCCATATGATCAAGAGAGGGCAATAGAGTGTTACGTATGCATGATTGATCATGCTAAAACTCTTATACCAGAACCTTGCGCCACTATGGTGAATAGGTATTCCAGCCAGCGTAGCTGCGCCCGGCTTTGCCTCTGGCTCTGCCCTTCCTGCTGCAATGCGGCGGGAAAGTGTGACACATCGACGATGTGCAGTGCAGTGGTTTGGGATGTGAAGATAGACAAAGCCATCCAATCCGCGGGCCGATGATCACTGGAGGTTTCCTGCTCTCCAGATAATGCTTCCTCCTCGCTGGTCGTTCGCCCGACGTCTGCAGCATTGTTTACGCGGTCGACACTGTATCTTCTGTGTTCTCGAGAAGAGGAGTTATACGCTTTCCTGATTTCCCGTTTCACAAATTGCTGCGCAACCTCCACACTCCGAAACGCTTTTTCCGACACGATTATGGAGTTTTGGTCCACTCTTTCCTCTTCCTTACATCTCCTCGTCGGCGAGCTGCAGTTGATCTTTTTCTTCGCTGCGACAACGTCTGTGATGCGGGAAATGCGGACGATGATTGGGCTAGACGCCGGGGGTGACGATACTGGCTTTGATGTTGTCGTGAAAGCAACATTTAGTACATTCCGAGAACTAGAAGAGGAGGAGGTTGTGGCAGGTGAGGTTTTTGTGGTAACCCGAGTTTCCTTGTCCAGAAACTGCATCGCGAGCGAGGCCATCGTTGCTTCCTGTCCCGTGTCGTGGTCACCGCAGATGAAGATGGCGCGCTCGCCGGATGGTGCTGACTGCTTCTGATTCTCTTCGTCTTCCCCTGATGAGGAAGACGAAGAAGAGGACGCAGCTCTTTCATCCACTAGATCCTTCGCTTTCGAACGTGAAAGTGCTGACCCAAACAGCAGCTCTTCCGGAACGTCATTTTGATCCGTACCTCCACCAGCAGTGGTCTCACGACCTTTATTCATCGTCCCGACGAATGCGTCACCGGTCAGCAACGCGCGGAATTCCTGACAGGGGTCGTACAAAGTCGAGACCTTGCTTGTGCTAAACAAGCTACTGGCCGCGGAGGAGGAGTCTCCTGCGTTGGACAAAATCGACGTGTGAAGTGCGCAGGATGTGGTCGTGTTGTTCGTGGCATTGTTGATCTCGTCGGCGTGCTGGTTTGATGTTCCACCGCCGTTGAGACTGATGGTGAGTATCCTCTGCGAGTTTAAGTCCTGCCGCGCCCAATGGATTCGCGGGACCAGAGCGGTGCGCTCGCAATTCTCCTCCTCGTTCACGTGGAGGCGCGCGTACGTTTCGACGGAAGGACCGAGCATCTTGATTTATCGTTGTGAAGGTCCTGCTCACATGTAGTATACTTGTTCGGTGCGACGTGTTGATCAGGTACTGCTATGGTTACACCACTAGAAGCGTGCCTCTAACAACATCTCAACAACATTGCGGAAAAACTACCAGCAGCACCGCGCCGCTGTGTTGCTGAGCTGACTACAAAGAACTCCAACTTCTCAGACATTCTTATTCTTTCCCTATCCAATAGTTGAGGTGTTTTCTACAGCGTCTACTCCTCGTCGATTCGTAAAATGTATGCCGCGCAGCGCCTTCATATCATCTCATCATCGGGCATCTTCTCGTTTAGACACATACGATGACAAGTTGCATCAACTCTTGAAAGTTGATCCAAAGCAGCAGAAGAAACATCTTCTTGTTCTGTGGCAGACCTGAAAGATGAAACTTGCTGCAACGACGCTCTCAGACAGACTAGAATTAGTACACGACCTTCCTTGCTGCACGAAGACGGAAATAACGCAGACGCAAGTATAGTTTTCGCAGAAGTCATCGAATAGTGCCTGTGACAGAAGAGAGATGAGAAACCGGTACCGAGAGTGAAAGTGAAAGAACAGTCAAATAGCAGTTGCTATGATGACAGGAAGGCTGAGTCGCAAGCGACTGGGGCTGGCCGAGCGAGTCCAAGTCAAACACCAAGAGCCTAATAATGCGCCGATGCAGTCAGTTTCAGTTACAGTAGTATTTTTGTCGCGGAGATTGAAATATAGAAATCAGAGAGGAACTACCTCTCTCCCGTTCTTACTTTACATCATATCGTCCACATTGTACAGGTCATGCGCTGCGAGCTTCACAGGCAGATGTGCACGATACCGGTCTGTGCATGCGTTCAGAAGGGTTGCAAATTCCGGGAGGGAATCAGATCGCGAGTCATCTGTAGCAACTAGTACAACATCATCTTCCGTATTTACTCCTCTTTCGTGAAGATCTTCCGATGAATCCGTTCTACACACAATCGCCCGGTTTTGCATCGAGTTTGACAGCGGTACGTAGACGATTTGGGAAACGCTTTTGAAGAACGTCCTTAATTTTTCCATCCGCAAGGCCTGCACCAAATCGTCGCAGACTTCCGCAATTTTGATGTGTTCCGTGGAAAGTTTCGAATCCACAGACTGCTCCGTATTCCGCCACGCTGCCCACTTACAGAGCTGGGCGAAAATGTGCTGCTTATTGGTTCGCGACGGGTTGGTGCTTGTTTTAGTGCTGGTGCTTTCTGATTTCTTACCAACATCTTCGCTGGCAGAGGCAGTGTCTTCCTCTGCAACAGAAGAAACGATGTCATAGTAGTCCGTGAAGAACTTCAAGTCGCGTTTTTCTGGGTCTGTGGAGATTTTGTGGGTGCAACAGCTGGCGAAGACGGCACCGTGGAGGTACATAGAATTTTTATGCTCGTCTTTGGTGCTCTCGTCCTCCAGCGCCAGCTCTCGTCCCAAATTCTCCATAAACCGAATGCAGTAATCCGTGCCGGCTCCGCAGAGATGCTTGCAGAGGATGATCACCTTTCTGTACGGCCTTAGCTTCTCAGCAGCAGCAGCTTCATTTATCTCCCGCAACAATTTGAGAATGTCTGGCAAAACCGTGCTGACGCACTGCTCCAGCCTCTTGAATTTCAACTCCGGAAACTTCTCCTTCGGGAAGTAAAACTCCCCCTGACAGTTTTCGTGCGGCGTTCTCCTGTCGACGCCGACCGCAAAACTGTTGAAGATGAGGCCCGCGAGAAGAACTAGAGTCGCGTTCCCGCAGCCTAAGTCGATGATCACTGTCTCGCTGTCACAGTTGAGTTTGTAGAGCTGCTCTAGGAGGGAAGCTTCTTGGGCGGAAAACTTTTGCGCGTAGTTCTCGCCGCGGATGAAAAAGCTTTCGACAAACTGGAGTGCTTGCTTCGAACAATGCTGCTGCGGAAGGAAATCGTAGGGGACGTAGGGGGTGTGGGTGTGAGGGTTGTTGTTTTCGATTCTATTTTCGGCGTTTTTGCGCTTCATTTGTTCCTCGTTGATGTTCATCATCATACTATTCTCGTCAGTCCCTTCCGTCTCGCCACTACGGGTACTCGCAGGGGAGAGTGAAAGATTGCCAAATTTTGCGGACACAAGATCTACTTCCTCGCGCTGCGCCGAGATCATTCTATTTGTCGCATCGCGACTGGTGTCAACACCAGAACCCTGGTCTTCGCATGGCTGGCAGAGGAATCCAAAGTGTTCCAAAATCCTGCACCGAACCGAGTCAATCACCTCTGCCGGCGCGGGCTCCTTTCGCTTGGCCGCTTCGCGTTCGCGAATGACCGCGAGCTTGTGGGCCTCGCGTTCGTGGGGTGGGAGAAGTGAGAGGTCGGGTTTGGAGGCTAGATTGCTTGTTTTATTCTTCATCCCTGGTCGTTGTTCTTGCTGCTGGTCATGGTTCATCGCCATCGCGAGATCGTCGCCATTACTTTGGCCATTAGAAAAGCCCTGTGCTATGGAGCCGTGTTGAGACAGAAACGACGTTAGAGGGTCGGACCCGTGGCGTTCTTCCCTTTCATTATCGCTACTGCCCGTATTGTGGCAGGTTTTGTGCCATTGAAACAGCGCTGCCACCTTCTCTACTGCGTCGTATTTCACCTTCGATCGTTTCTCCCGCCGTGCGAGCTTTCGGATTTCACGTCGGTGCTGCCGCTTCTTGTCTTGCTTACTTGTGGACGAGGGGGTTGCTGGCTCTGGGACAGAAATTCTCTGGCCGTTTGTTCCTGCGTTTACAGTGGCGTTTTGTGCTGTCGTGGGTTCTTGCTCGGTCTGTGACACTTCCTGCTCCTGACTATCGTCATCCATTTCGGTCCAGGGGAATGGTTCCGGAGGGTCGAGGTTTTCGTCAGACACTTTAGTCATTTTTTTTTATGTCGAACCTGTCTAATGCCTCGCACATCAATGGAGGCGAAGCTTAAGTAGACCTCCGCTCCAACAATACTTACAACATGTACTCTTATAAGTGGTTTACAAGCAAAAGGGTTTTTTTTCAGAATAAAGTCTAATGTCGAAAAGTGAAGACCGAGTTAACAACAATAGGAAGTCAATTACGGGCTGTACTGGAATGTCACAAAAACGGCTACCTAGATAACATTCAATCATCTTATTTTCTATAGAGACAACAAGGATCAATATTTTCAATCGCTTTTGTTGATCTATCTCTTTGCGTCGATGCCACGATCTCCTTGTGTTCTCATGATTGCTGCGAAGGAGCAATTGGTGCGAAGGTTCGTAGGATCAATTGATGCGAGGGTTCAAGTTCATCATAGGGATAGGACCACTTTCACTGTTGATTCATAGCATCAATAGGTGCGAAGATCGGAATGTAGTGATTTTCATCTATGTACATTGCGCCGCGTGTCTGTGTGCTGGCGCAACGGCGGTGTGTTTGATCTCGATAACTATTGTATCGGATATTGATAAATATTCTTGAACTTTCGGACCCCCGCGCCCCCTTTGAATCTTCTCAAAAAAAACGAAGGGCGCGCCGGACATTCTTCTCAAGAGAAAAAGAGCGGGCGCGAGAAAGTTGAGGAATTATTAGCACGACCCACAGCATTTTTCGGATTCAACAAGGGGTCCGGGGACGCACTCCCATTTGTTTAGTAATATTTATCGACATCCGATTCTCAAAGACTCTTTTTCACGAACAGACCTGTGAGTAGAAGTTGGAAAACAATCACGAGGCCGGCCGGCACTTCTCCAAGGGCAGCGGGCCGCAGCCGTGCTACAGGTCCCGACAGCCCAGGGACATAGATACACACAACCACGCGAAACGTACTTTACCACCACGCCCCGAAGCGGACGCGGGGCCATTAGCTATTTGGGCCAGCCGGTGGCTGGCTGCAGGCGGGCGGCGGCGCCGTGCGTGCAAAATCATGCGCGGCCATCCGCGGCATCCGCGCCTGCGAATTCAGCGAAATAAGCGCGGCAGCTACGGTCCGTCAGCCGCCACAGGCCGGCGGGCAGCCAAGCAACACTGTGAAGGCCGGCCCGCAGGCGGAAACAAAGAGCCGGGGCCGAGGGGAAACGGGGCGCGGGCGGGCCTACCGGGGGGGCGAACGGGTGAGCGGGGCGGCGCCGAAGGGGGCGGCGCGCGCTGGCATGCAAGCGGAAGCGGGCGGCTGCCCAACCCGCCCGGCGGGAGCTCGGAGGCCACAAACCGCAGGGGCAGGCGCCCACGCACCGCGAAAATGGGCGGCCGCAGGGGGTTGCCGATGGGGGGAGGGCGCGGGCCGCGCGGTCTTCTCCTTTGCGTGGGCCATGGCTGCGCGCCTTCGGGGTTATACATGGGGTAGCCGGCCCAGCGCAAACACACCGGCCGCCGTTTTTCATTCGCCGGCCCCGCTCGGCCGAAGTTTTGCGCGCGCGGCGCCGCCCGGCCGCCCGACGAAATCGGGCCGACGAAGGCGGCGCCGGCCCGCGGGGGAGTGCGGGGGCGGGCCGCTGACTTTGCCCCCCCAAGCCCTCCAGCCCGCCAAGCCGCCCAACCTTGCCAAGTGCCTGCCTGCGAGCGCCCATAGCGCCCCCGAAGGCAGTCCGACGGAACGCGGCCCGGGGGCCTTTCGCGCGGCCCGGGGGCCTTTCACGCGGCCCATGAAAAAACATGGCGCCACAGGCCCGCCGCTCGCGAGTACGGTGAGAAGGAACCCGCTGGAGGCCGGCGGGGTGGCTCTGTTTCCGTGGGTGCATCTCCTTGGGCTTCCCATTCACAGAAATTGCGCGGAGTTTGCTGTAGGCGACGGCCCCGCCGACTTCTCTGGGGCTGCGGTTCCCATTCCTGGATCCCAAAGGACGGGGCTGCTCAAACACCGGATACGACTCCACCGCCTTCTCCCTAGCAGCTGCGCGTTTAGCAGTGCCGCTCTTTTTGCTTTTGCCGCGCCGCCACAATTCGGGGACCTAGCCAAGGCGGAGGCGCTTGCAGGGTAAGCCCCCCCCCCGGGCATGCGGCCCGCCAGTCACTCAACCAAAGGGAGCGCGGCTGGCGGCTATTCGCACAACACCCAGGCAGGGCGGCAGCACACACAAACGACGAGGCCCCCTCTGGCCCGGCAGCTCGGGCGGTCGCGGCGGCTTTCACGCAAAGCCAACAACCACACCGGGGGCCGGCGCTCCGCTCTCTAGGTGCGGGCCCTCCGGCGCCGTCTACCGGCGTGAAAAGAACAGGCACGCAGGTCATAGCTGCCGCCTTTCGTGCGCCCTTGGCCTTGCAGGGTGCGAGAGCAAGCACGCCGCCCGCGAGTCGGTCCGGCACGCGCGTGGCCCGCCGCGCGTAGGACTGGCATGCTCGGCCGCTTTTTCGGCGCGTCCGTTTTTGGCTTCAAAGTTTCAACTCCGGCGCTGTTCTTCACAAACTCAGCAGGTTACCACTGCAAAGTGCAACTACGAACACACGTGGCCATCATGTAGACGGCGACACAAATGCCGCTGCAACTTGTTTGTAAGCGGCGACTCGTGCTTGTCCGTGCAAATGCTAGGCATCAATACTCACCGAGGACTCAGAAAATGAGAAACAACACACACCCACGGTCGTGCTTTGCAACTAGACTACAATCTTTGCTGATTTGAAGAGGAAGACACCAGCTTCACGAAAGTCTGATACGTCATCAACTGGTCCTCTGATGACTTGCCACCTGCAGCACGCGGCACCGATTTTCTCCACAACAATTCCCCATTGTCGATGTTCAATTTGCGCATGGCGTTCAAAAACTCTTTTTTCGTCACCGCCTTGTCCCGGTCCTGGTCCATATCGTGAAAGAAATCTTGCAGCGCCAAGCTTTCGTCCTCTCCGTTTTTGCTCTTCCCACTTCCGCTTGGTTGCGCCACCGCATCAGCACCACCTGTGGTCCTTCCCACAGCAAAAACCTTCTCCCGCAACTCGTAGTTCAGCGGCAGCGGTTGCAAACTGGCCGTCTCAACAAACCCCTCCCCCTCGTTCATCGCAGATTTCTTGATCTTGCTTTGCTTGCTCAAGCTGCTGCTACTCCCGGTAGTTGTCGTGCTGTTCTTCGGAGCTAAGCGTCGAATCAAAGCCCACGAGCCGTCGTCCACAACGGCCAATACTTCCAGCGGTTCGCTGGGTAGAATCTGCCCCCGCAGATCCGCCCGAATGTGGGGCCACTTGCGGATGTAGAGCAAATCGTCGCTCGTGACGCGAGGGTTCGCTTGGAGGGATTTTGCCTTCGCATTTTTACCCCCTTGTCCTCTTCCGCGACCCACACCACCGCGCAGAAAGCTGTCCCTCTCCTCCCCTTCCAAGTCCGCTACCCGCTCGGTCAAGTACTCGATCTGCTCATTTTGCTTCAGAATCAACGCCCGCAAATCCGCGCTCCATCGGCGGATGTCGGACAATTTCGCGTCTGGTGGAATGTTCTTCCGCAACGCGGGGGCACGCTTGCTGTCGAAAATGGTCGTGGTGGTGGAAGAAGTGGACAAAGCAGTCGCCTTGTAGGAGTTTTTCGCTGAAAGCACAGACTGCTGGAAGCTACTGGTCGGCTGCAATGGCGCCGCGGTTGGTTTTGTGGTTGAGCGGGCCCCGTCATTTTCTTTATCCTTGCTCGTCTCAGCGCGGCTAGTTGTTTTCTCCTTTGAGCTCTTCTTCGACGATGAAGACGATGGCAGCAAAACGTTCTCCAACAATCGATCCACATCCCGAAGCAGCGGCGCAGCGCTCCCTTCCCGCGGTTTGCTGCTGTTCGTTTTTCCACCTGCGTAGAAGTGGTCTGCCGCCGAACAGTAGTCCTCGTCCAGCTCAATTTTCACTACAACTTTCAGCTTCGGACCCTGCCGGCTCAACATCTGTCCGTCCTGTTGGTTCAAAGCAGCGGGGGTGACGAACTCCCTGGGATCCTCTTCGATTTTGTTCGCCGCATACGGTTCCGCAACTGGGCAGTCCGCGGGGGACCAGATACCCTGCGGAAGCTCGTAGAACTCGTTGCTAAGAAGATGATGCGACTGGGAAGATGAAGACGAGGACAAGCTTGACCCCCCTCCTACGCCGCCTTTCTTCAGAACAATCTTCATGACGCCCAGTGGCCGTCCGTAGCGAACAGTGGTATTGCTGGCCCCTTCTACCGGTGAAGCCGGTACTTCCTGGTTGTGATCTCCGTCGGCGTAAAATGCCGCGGCAAAAAAATCTTCAGGTTGTTCTTCCTCCGAAGTAGTTTTGTTCCCGCCTCCAAGGCCGAGGAAAGCGTCCAAGCCAAATTCGTCGTCGTCGCTGTCGTTCTTTTGGTCCTGATTCTCAGCGTCCTCCTCAAGCTGAAAGCTTCCCGGCTCTTCCTCTTCCTCTGTATTGCTGCTTTTCACAGGAGGGTCTTCTGATGAGCTGTTTTTCGAGGAGGACGCTGATGCGCCGGGGAGGTCGAGGCTATCACCCGGCTCGTCATCCTCCTCCTCTTCGTTTTGATTCCGAAACAAATCGTCTTTTTTCGTGGCGTTTACCGGACTCGAACCCAGGATGGCGGCGTTGAGACCTCCATCGTCCTCGTCGGACGAGCCTTCGACTTCGACGGACGTTGAGCTTTTGGAGGAAGAGGATAGAAGCTCCCGGCTTGCTGGTGCTTGGATTTGTGCTTGGGCTTGGGAGAGCTCCCCCTGTTCAGCTTCCCCATCGTCAACATCCTCGTCAAACGCGTCTTCTTCCTCGCTGTACGACTCTTCGGGCGGTGGATCGTCGCGTGTTTTTGATTGGGGTGGTTCTAGCGTATTCGCATTTATTGCAGGGCGAGCTTCCCCTTGTTCACTGCCCTGGTCACTCTGTAGCTCCCCCTCCTCCGCCTCCTTCGTCCCGCCAAAAAGTTGAAAGTGCTGTGCCCCTGCTGCAGAGCCAGAAACCGCCGCGTCGAAACTGTTGCCGCTACTTCCAACGTCCTCCCCGCCATCGTCTGCCGAGGACGAGCTCTTCCCTAGCAGCTCGTCTTGCTGCTCTCTCGTCGCGTCGTGTTTCTCGTCGTCATCTGCGTCCGCAGAGGGGATGTTGCTGGCCTCATCCTGCTGCTCTATGTCCACTTCCTCGTCCTCACTGTCGTCTTCCCGAAGCAGGGCAGCGAGAAGTTTCGCCGCAGCTGCGTCCTCTTCGCTTTCCTCGCTTGAGGTAGCGCCGCCCTCGTGACCTGGATCAGCATTGTCGAATCCCAGAGAGTCCAAAACCTTCGGAAGACTCTTGTCGCCCGCTCCTTTGGACGATCTAGACAGTTTTTGTTGACCAGCACCCGACGAAACAAAGTCGGCGAGAAAATTATTGCCGCTCGTGGAAGTAGCGTCATCAGGACCTCCTGCAGTTTCTGTTGGTGCTGCTGGATGTTTGGAACTAGACGAGGGATGAAACTCTGCAAGATTCCCCTGAAGGAAGTCGTTTGCGTCGGCGGTTTCCTCATTGCAGATAGGAGACTCGTGCTCCTCGTCCTCATCATGCAACATCTCGGGGTTTTCATGCATATTGTAGTCACACGCCACTGCTGCTATGGGTACGACTACCTCTGTTCCAGCAGGACCTCGCGGAGCCTGCTGCGAAGAGGCCAACATTACCTCCTGCTCCTGCAAGGTGCGTCGGAGGGCCCTTGCGATCGGTGATTCTTCTACTGATTCAGTGGCATCATGATCCTGATCGCTTTGCCTACCTCCACCTTTAATTTCGGCTACTTTCGTTCTCTCGCTTCGAGCTCCACCTTCTCGCGTCTGTCTCTTCGCAACCTCATTCGTATAATCGCTTTCAACCGGTGTGGCCGAAACCACCCTGAAGAGGTAAATGGAAACAGACTCGACCTCCTCCAACCCGCGCCACTGATGCAGTAAATCCGTTTTTGTGCAGCTCCGGCGGGATTTTCGATGGCGTGACGACTCGTCCCCATCATCGATTGTTCCTGCCGCTCCACCACCGTGCCATGAAAAAATGCTGTTCGCGCCTGCGGCGACTGGATAGTTGTTTTTCAAGAATAACTTTTCCATCTCCTTGCTTCGTACGACGTGAGAAGTGAAGCAGTGAATTCCGTTCACCTTCATGACGAAGTAGAGCTCCGTGTTTTTCGAAAAACTCAAGGGTGCGACGAGTTCCAGATCCCGCGCTTCTAGACGGAGAAGACTCAGGCTGAATTTAGGGCCAGGCGTGGTGGATGCCAGGGCCGCTTTGTTCTGGCCAACTACATCCTGGACAGATGTAGCTCCATGTCTTTGTCGGGAAGTAATTTTCGATGCAGCTAGTACCCCTGCCCCACCAGGGCCGCCTGCGCTCGCCGATGGATCTTTAATTGGCTGCAGCTTGCCTGGTTTTTTCGTCGGGGAGAATGCCGGGGAGGTGAGACGCGACATTTTACCGATTTTCTTGTAGATATTGAACACAACTAATCGCAATCCTCATCAACCTGCATAAGAAGAAGAACTTCTTCTACAACTAGAGGGATATGAGCAATAAAAGTGTCCTCGCGCTCCTTTTTCATCCCGTTGGCGTTGCACCTTTTACAAAGTTAGTGAGTACTTTCTCTCAAGTGCACCCCCCCCAGCCCAACTTCTCTCTGCCTGCCGTTGTGCTTGCCACCTTAGTTTGCTCTTCTCATCGGTCTTGTGCACGGTCTTCTCCTTCGAGGACCTCGAGTCATGATTTTATCCACGAAGCCCTGAGGACCGCCCTCGTAGCTCGACGGCGAAAATTGTTCGCCGTGTTTGATGGGTTTGCGTGCCACACAAATTGGGTTTGGTGCTCGTCTCTCTTCTTTCCTCGCCAGAATCGATAGCACAGAAGGGTCTCTCACCATGAAGAGGCCACCGAGCTGCGCCTACTTCTGCGCCTGCCCACATTCATTAGCCAGCAGAGCGGTAGGGCGGGAGCTAGGTAACTACACAAGGAAAAGCGGCCACCCAAGCGCAAGGGCACTAATGCCGATCGCCTCCTCTTTTATTCAGTTGAGTGCTCGCTTCCGCCAAGTTCCCGGCCGGTGTCGGAGCTTTGGGCAAATTAGTATATTTGATACTACAGAGCCACGAACGCGCGCGCATGCACTGGCTGCGCAGGTGGCGGGGGGCACGGAGTGTGGGGCAGGCACTCACTGGAGGATGGGTGGATGGAAAGTTGAACCAAGGTGCGCGGCGGACCGACGCTGGCAGTTGGTGGCCCCACCCCCATGCGTGCCTTCCACAACATGGCATGCGGGGACGGAGGCAGACAGACGCAACAACCAGCCACGGAACCTGATTGGCCCGCCGGTCGCGCGCGCACGATCAAACGATGCTTGCATCCATGGCGATGGGTGCCGGCGCGCCCCTCCAACGCCGCTCCTTCGCAATAGGCCCCGACGCAAAAGAACCAAACCCCGGGAAAGGGGGGCCGCCGCGGATTACCTCCAGCACGAACGGGGCGCCTCGCGCCTGCCCAGATCAGACTTGCGGGGGCGCGCCGGCCGGCGGGCCGACGGACCCGCCGCTCCAGATCAGTGGCGCAGCCCGCTGCGCGCGCGCCGGGGTCGATCCTACAAGGCGCCCAAGGGCGCTGCCTGCAATGAATTGGTTCACATGGGAGCCCGGCCGCCCGGCCGCCAAGGTGCGTGGCCGCGGCTGGCTGGCTCGCGCGCTGTCCCCCGCGGGGGCCTGCCCACATAAGGATGGCGGTCGATGCAGATTGGTGATTTCCATACCACCCGCCGCCTGCGAGATAGCCAACCAGGAAGGTCGCCACCCCCTGCGCGGGCGCATGCCATGCGTTCCGTCCCACCGGAGGCCCAGGCGCCTGCCGCGCATGCTTGCAGCTCGACGACGTCGGCGCGGCGCGCAATTAACTCACGGACCACGGGGGTGCGTGCGCCGGGCGGAGGGGCGCCCAACCTGCAACCAAGACGGCCCGCCACAGATGGGCACGGGGCGGGGGACGCTACTAACCCAGTCGCCACACTCCGCCCGCTGCCTGATGTCCCGCCGCCTCTCCCCCCCGGGGCGCCGCGTGGCATGTGCCGGGCTGGCGCAAAACCGAACGCATACCGCTGGCACGCGCCGCCAGCCTGCCCGCGCGGGTCTCGGCGCCTTTCGAATTCGCCACGGGCTGCCTCGCCATGGAGGTCCAAGACGAAAACCCAGGCCAGTTGGTTTTCGATCGGGCCGCTGCGTCGCCACTTAATAAGGGCCCAGCCCCGTCGATTCTCTAAACAAGCGCACCGCTTTCCTTGTTTAGCAACGGTCGCAATAAAGCGGGAGGCCGTGGCTGGCCATCACAGCCGCGAATCATGGCGCCGGGCTCGACAGTCTGAATCTGTGTCATCGCAGGCAGCAACACAGGACGAACGAAATCCACAGACGGGCGGGCTTCATTTAGTATGTTCGGCAAGTACGAACTGCGCCCGAACACACCCTGCTGCGTGTCCTTCGTTGTTCTTGAGTTCGTTTAGTAAATTCTTTTTCTCGGCGCCAATTTCATTTTCGTGATATTCCTGTGCTCCCTATGTCTTGATATGACTAAGAGTCTGGTGTACAGTTTCATTTTTCAGCATGCTTGTCAAAAAAGAAACGATCTTTCAACTGATTTCCGAATTCGCACACCCAGCTAATCTTTCAGATTATGTCGATGGGTATTCATTTCCGAATCAGTGTAGCATCGTTCGGCTGGAAACATAGACAAAAGCTTCATCACGACAAGCACCGCATGCCGTGGCATCGACAAGGCTTAGATCATCATCGTCTATCTTCGAAATTTAGTTTTTGTGCTTTTTCTGATCTGTACGAAAAGGAAACAAATGATAAACAATTTACGAAACAAGAGGAAACGCGTAAACAAACACGTCCCCTATTTATGCTATTTCTTCATCATCTTCTTCGAAACTTGCTTGAGTGAAATTTGGCTGCTTAAAATTTCTAGTACAAAGTACAACTTCATCACGTACCATTCTTTACCACCCCCGACAGCCGAAGCCGTCCGCTGTTCCTCCTCTTTTCAAAAAAACATTCCTCAGCCCCCCGGAATCTTCTGGCTCTTCTCCTGCTGCAAGGTGACTGACACTTCCGCTCCCGTTTTCTTCCGCACAAAGGGTTTTGTCAAGTGCCACTTCTCCTTGTCGCCGTCGCTGAGAACCCCGTTTTCGGTCGGCAAAGTCCCTCCGTCCGGCCCCGGTTCGTCTATTATTGCCGGGGTAAACATCTTCCCAGACAGCTGCGCCTCTTCACTAGTTTCGGCTCCACTCCCGCCGCGCCTCTTCGACAACAAGCTTCCGGGGATTCGTTCCGGCACCCCCAGAGGCACGAGCACCTGCCCCCGCCCCGGCCGGAACCCGATCGCCCTTATCCTTTCCTTCGGCGGTAGGATCGGAATACACGGTGCCGCCGCGATTTGCGCAGCGGACAAACCCATGCACGGCTCCCCCCACGGCTCTCCCTCGTCTAACACCATGTGGACCGTGGCGCCGCGGTTGTAGTACTCGACTAGAACGTCCAAGGTGTGCACGCTGGTGCTGTAGTCCGTTTCGTTGTTCGGTTTTCCCGCCCGAGGTGTCTCCCACCCCGCTGGTAGATGTGTCACGTTCGAGGAGAAAGCGGAAATCGCAAAGGTACCGTTCACACTGGAGTCGTTGTTGTCGTAGTGGTCCGTGTTAAACGAATACTCCATCCCGGAAAATCCAATCAACACGATCGCAAACCCGGTGCCGTTGATCGCCGACGGTTGCACGTACTGTATCTTCGACCGGTCGATCACCCAGCTCTGCCCGTCCAGCGCGTAGGTTCGGAAGGGTGAGGCCCGGAGTTCATTTCCCTCCCCTTCGCAGCTGTAGTAGTCGTGTTCCGGCGCCAGGTTCACCTCGCCCTCGCAGGTCCCGAGGTTCTCCAGATCCGGATCGCGCATCACAATGTTGTTGATTTTCCACTGCATCGGACGCAGGAACGGATTGTAACCGAGGGTCGGAATCATATCTGAGAGTTTTGTACAATAGGAAGATTTGTGGCTGCGTATAGCGCTTGTGATCAATACTTGTGCCTGACATCAAACATGCATATGCAAATATGATGACTATACCAAAGTGCAAAAACTATACGTGTGTGTATCCTGATCGTGGGCGTTCCGTACCGGCAGTCATGCTCTGGGTTGTTACACGGCATAAACCCAAACTTCTCCCACCTGTCGTTCGGTGCTAACGTTAGATTTTTCCCCCACGGCATGAGATACCCGTCCAACATGGCGTGTATCTTTGTGCGGTTCACCGGGTCCCGGTAGAACTGCACAAGATGGGGTCTCCCATCCGCTATCACGTCGTTGTTCAGCGGTATCGATTCGTCATCGTACGCTTCGCTCGGATCGATGAAGTACTCCGTGTAATTGACATCGTCGCGCTATAAGAGTGCACCACTTCGTCCCCTCCCCCTCATTTTGCGATGCAAAATACCAAATCCATTCCTTGCCTGCCTTTCCTTTTGGCACTTTTTGCATGACAGGTTTTCTTGGCAGCTCAAACAGAACTAAAGTCATGGGTCGTGAATTCGTCATGCAAAACCTGCACTCTTGCCGGCGCTCGTATCGCTGCTCATGCCATGCATACAAATGATGATGATGATGATGATGATGATGATGATGAAGCGTCGAAAATGTCTTATTGGCCGAACGCTTACTGCGTGACCTAGTGCTTCCATACAAAAACACTTTCCGCTGGCGCACCCTCTTGGGTATCCTAAAGCGAGTTACACCGTCCGGCGTTGTTCTCACTTTGTAACGAGGACCCCGGGATGCGTACCTGTTGGCGTCTCCCAAATGAAGGGGAGTTGAAGTTGTGCACCCTCATACGGCCTCCATGTGCCGAATCGTTCTCCGCGTCACCAAAAATCGGTACCGCTGGTGGTGCTCGTCGCCCTTCGCCACGCTCATCTCTTTCATCCTCTTCGTGAAATTCACGTCCTCACTGTCGAACGTGAAGGTGTGCGTCGTCGTCCGGTTGAACTCCGGCCCACTCAGGTCGGTGGTGTTGGTCCAAATTTGAAACGCCGCACCGGAATCAAACATTTCGCTGCCCCAGTGCGAGTGCGCACTCAACTCGTTGATGTTCAGTGCGGTGAAAAAGACCTCGATCCGGTCGATGTCGATCTTCGGCCAGAGAAAGTCCGGTCGTTCCGGGCGGTACCAGAGGGACAACCCCGGTACGGCGTGCATGTCCAAGTGACGAAACTCGGTCCGCCAGTCCGGTTTGCGGGCGAGAAAGTAGGAGCCCTCGACCGGGTCTATGCCGCCAAGGTGCTCGTCTTCGGAGAAGGACATCGGTTCTATCTCGTCCCAGTAAACGTCTGCGGGCTTGTTCAGAGTGGCGTTGGTGTAGACTAAGAAATCCAAAGGGGGTGGGGACGTTGTGGTCGTCGTCGGGCGCTTGGTATTGATGTAGGAGTCGTACTTGAGGGAGGTCATGCAAGTGCATTTGTCCGTGAAAGCGTAGGAGGGATCGCAACTGTTGTAGACCGGCCAAAACCTGTACAGCTGCGCGTTCCAGTCGTGGTAGCCACCGCTGCCTTCCCTGTGTTGTGTTTTTATCATGCGCTACTTATTGCATGATTGGCAGCTGCATCGACTTGTCATGCGTAGGCCGCGCCTTTAGAGAATAGATCAAGATGGAAGTAAAGCTCCTTATCACACGACTTGATATAATACCACACAGTAAACCCCGCGCAGTTGTCGGAATCCTGCATGCACTTCGCTATTCCTTCATTTCGTGCGTGTTCACCACTTGACTGCTCAATCACCCGTCTCAGTGGGTATTCCGAGTCAAAGCACATCTGTCTGTGCTTAAAAGCGTACTCACCCGCGCCCGCACCTGCTTTGATGTTCAGCTTTTTCCTTGCTTTCTCCTGCGCGGCGAGAACGGCTTCGGTTTCAACGACGTTTTCGCTTTCTCCTTGTGCTTCTTCGGCTTCAATCTTGTGTTTGTGGTTTTTCTGCGACGATAACCTCGACGCAGCTTCCCCTTCCGCTGCTCTAGTGCTTTTTGCAGTTTCTAATTCTGCGCTTTTGCTCACTAACGATGGATCTGGAGGCTCTTTGACGGATTGTGTGACTACAGAATCACTGTTCGTTTCGCTTCTCATCCTCTGCGCACCACGACCGCCACCAGCTCTTATCTCCTCGTCTTTGCTTTTCACATGTGCTTTTAACTTTTCCAGTGATGTAACGCCCTCCTGTTCGTGATCCTTCTCCGCATGAGGATGCAATTCTGCTTCATGATCATGCCCCCCTGTGGTCGGTTTCTCTTTCTTCTGTTTATCATGCTCGGTATTAATCGCGGAACCGTGGTCCTCCTGCCCTCCTACCACCACCCCACCTTTCTGGAGGTACTCCTTCAGCTGCTGTCTCCGGTGCAAGATTTCGCTGTACGAGACCTGGTTCGCGTTCGTTCCGCCAGCCCTGTGCACCTCTTCCCCCGGTTTTCTCCTCGCGATTTTTAGCGAGATGGTTTTCTCGGTCAGGGAGGGGTCGTCCGCGAAATCTAAATTGTCCCGAAAGATTAAATCGTCCTCTTCTTCCTGCGTCAGAGGCGGTAACTCGCTGTCGATGATATCAGATCTTGACGGAAGATCTTCATACACACCATCAGCATCATCGGCCCACAGGTTTTCCGGCAGCTGCGCCGAGTTCATTTTCGAGATCTGCTCCTGCCACAACCGCTCCTCCTTGATCTCCTCTTCGTGGCCCCATCCTTGACTACTGGAAGACGGGTAGCTGCCGTGCTTTTTTCTGCCGATAATCGCGGGGCCGGCTTTCAAAACGGTGTCTCCTGGGGTGGTCCTTGGATAGCTTGTGACCGAAGTGGTTGCGAGGAAGTAGAAAGTTGAATGTTTGAAAACGAGCGCACAAGAAGCAAGGACGGCAGCTTTCGTAGTAGGTCGAGTGAAAAGCTGCAAATGCGCTGTTGTCGCTCCGGGAGGTCGTCGTCGACGGCGGCGACGGAACCGCGAGGGGTGATCGACGGCTTTTGGCGTTGGCCTCGAAGAATTTCTACCAACTTGAACTTTCATCGTCGTGGCGACCGAGCTCACCACCGCAAATGTGGTTGTGTCTTTGCCTTTGCTGTTTGGTCTTCTTCTCCTCCTCCGGTTTTTCAGGGTTCTTGTTTCCTCGTTTATTTCGTTTTGAATTTGCAATTTGGACGCACGTCGTCGCCCGCGCAACGCCGACCACTGCGTGCTGTTGCCCACCGCGTCTTCGTATTTTGTGGTTTTTTGACGCGAGCTGTTACAACGGCTGCGGGTCCTGGAAGGAGATGAGGGTGTACTGCTCGAAGTAGAGCAATGGTGCGAGCTTGTGCTTGCGCTCGAGGGATGGCTTGGCGAACTAAACATCCTATGTTGTCTTCCCGGTACGCGGGTAGGGCCGTCCGTTCCTTCATCGCTCGCCGTGTTGCTGGAGCCCGCAGCTCGTCGCCTTTCGGCAACCAAAGTCAAATGCGCGTCGGATCCGCCCGCACGTCATGTGTTGAGCCCCGACCACGAATTCAGGCAGCGGACTAGATGCCTGTTGAACTCATCATCATGCGAAGTCTGCAACTACTTTTGTTTCTGTCGTGTGGTTTTTCGTTTCTCTCTGACCTACGTAAGTGTGTGTAGTTAGATGCACATGCAGTATGATTTTGTCAAGCATGCAGCGTCTTCTTTCTGGCTTTGATTATTCATGTTGTGCCCGAATGTCGTCCAATTCCAATATGATCGGATGCATCTCGATCTCCAATTCGATGCATTCATGTATCCTCTACCACGACTCACCCTGACGCTTACGCAACTTAGCCTCATTTCATTATCCATGCAGAAATACCAATGGAGACGCTCTTTCGCTCGCCTTGTCGTTTTCATGAATGATAAACGGCACGTACTACAGATAACATGGAGAGACACGGCACGTCGTATGGGGCCTGAGGCAGGTACATGTTGGTTGCCCCAGGCCGCAGCTGGTTCCAAAGAGCAATCGTTTGCAAGACAGACTCTCTCATTGCCTGACCCGGTCGCATCCCAACTACAGTAGCCGGAGGAGGAGGACGAACAATGCTGCAAAAGGCCCACAAGAGACCTACTAGCGCTGGCCAACGAACCATATACCAAAATGTGGCCAACTTAATGTGCGTGAAGATTGATTAATATTCTTTCGCGACGGGCAGCCCACCTACAACCCGGCGCGCTGCGTGCAGATTGCTTGGGTTGGTCCTTCCAAGGCACACGCATGGCCCGCTTGCCGCTGCGACATCATAGCCAACCAGGCCACACTCACACGAGACGAGGCAAAGGCGCGCGCGCTCACCTGCAAGCCGCCGCCCGGGCGAGCCAGAGTGTGCGGCCACCCGGCGGCCGGCCACTGCAAGACCCGGCGCCCTCTTGCGCTTGGCTGAGCCGGGGTAAGCAAGTAAACAACCAAAGCGGGGGCCGGCCGACGCAAAACGAGGGAGAGGACTGCCACAAACCTGGCGGCCCCACTCCCACAAAGAAATTGGTGAGAGAGCTGGCCCGCCAGCAGGCCCGCCCCAAGCAGGGGCCGGCAAACATAGACGCCGCACAATGGTCCATCGAGCAATGCCCGGCGGCCGGGGCGCCACCGACCTCAAGCAATTGGGCGGCGCGCGGGGCGCCCCGCCCGGAGATGACGGCGCCCGGGCCCTGCCTCGCAGATTGGGAAAGCTAGCGAGCAGGCGCGCGCGCAGGATGGAAAACAATCAAGGGAGGGCGGCCGGGAGGCGGCAGCAGCCTTGCCCCTGCCCTGTACGGGCGGCAGCAGGCGGGACCGCAGCAGGCGGGCGCCCCCCACGCAAACTAACCGCCCGAGCCCCGCGGCCCTCTCGGGGAGTTCGCGCCCCTTCTTCGTGCGGTGCGTAAGCCCAGCGCGGCCGGCGCCGGCGGGCGCCGCGCGGGGGGGCAGGGCCAGGGGCCGCCCCTGCGAGTTTGTCTCAATCCTAGAAAACGGGCCGGCCCGGGCCGCCGGGCGCTGGCTTTACGCCAATGACAAAGAAAAAACAATGGGCCGGGCCCGCTTCGGGTGCCGCCGTGCGTCTGGAATCATCCGAAACACCTCCGAACCCCCATCATATTCCGGGCTTTTCGGGCCGTGAATGTGGGACACGAGATCTCGGAGCCCGCGGCAGGGGCCCCCCCAAACGCTGGCTGGCGAAGGCGCGGGGGCCATTGAACAACCCGCCGGCGCGCCCCCCTGGGCAAAATAGACCGGCGGCCGCCTGGTTCGTTCCGGTTGCTTTTCGCTCTTACTCGCAGCACAGCCCCCACACGATGTGACTACTTGCATGGAGCGCCAAGCGTCGGCCGGCCATGCTGCCAGCCAAGCCCCCCCTTCCTATGCCTCCGTCCGGCCCAGCCCTCTGTCAGTCACGGCCCCCGGGGAATTCTACCTGCATCACAGTGCTACACTGTGAATCGTCTTCCACCGGGGCCATGAGGCCCCGCAGCCCCGTGGCGGTCTCCCGCGCCAGTCGCTGCCGCTGGTGCTCCTCACACAAGTCGCCGGAATAGTGCGAAGCGCTCGCGCCATGGTTCCCGCGAGCTCGTCAGCGGCGGGGGCCATTTTCCGGGCAATTGCTTCGGCGGGCATGCAAATGCGCCCGGCGGCCCTTCAGGTGCTCGCGGGGCCCGGCCGTGGGTGCGGGGTGGGCTTGCGCCGATTCTTTACCGGGGAAGCGGTGGCGATTTTGCCGCGCGCCGGGGTGTAGTGGGCCCGACGCGACGCAGGGCTTTGGCACAGCCCTTTTCCCACAATCGCGACCGCGCGCGCCGCTTCTTTCGGCGCGAGCGCTTCAACGCCTCCCGCCAAAGTAAAAAAAGGCCCGGCCGGCGCCCATGCATAGGTAGACAACGCAAGGGCGGCGGCTGGCAAGCGCCTGGGCGGCCTGCAACTGGGGCAGGCACGCACGGGGTCGCTTTCGTCCCAAGGCGCTCGGGATGCCTCTCCGACAGACTGGGAGCTCCTCTGTGGAGGCGGCGGCGGCCTCGTCGCGGGCCTCGGTGGCCATGCGCTTCACGGCGACGCACTGGCCCAAGTTCTCTTCGGGGCTTCTGCGCAGCGAGTTTGTAGCCCCCCAACTTCCGGAGGTTCGGAATCCACTCAGAGGAGACAAAAACGAGCCAGGCCCCCACCGGGCCGCTGAGAGTTGGCGCGGCGATCTAATCGGAACGCGAACAATCTCGGGCCGCCGCGGGCGCAGGCAATCTATCATGGGCCGCCCTGCTCACAAGCATCGACGAAATCCGTGCTGACGCGCGACTTGCTAGGCCTCTCGCTCACAAAAAAAACCTCGCCTCCGAGGTTTAGATTTAGAACACCAACCATTGATGTGGTTCTCAGGAAGATGGCGACCACACGAAGCCTGGAGCGCGTGTCTGATGCTTGAACTGCTCAAATCGCAGATCCACAGCGGTCTACTGTTAAAGGTGGAGATCAATATGGGAATTCATTGCTGCATCGACCACTGCTGTAAAAAATAGAACCAGCACTGACAACTAATTTTAGACATGCTCATGCTATTGGAGGCAGAGTCGCAGTACTTTTTGAGAGAAAGAACGAAGCCTGTGAGGCGCAGGTTAAAAAAGCAAAATTGTCCGCCAGTCTATCATCAGCTGCCGTTCCGCCAGATCTCTTTAATGAACGACGGCACTACGCTCCTCTTCCTGCTGCGCCGAGGACAAATTTTCAATGATTGCGAGTATCTATGTATACACAGCCCCAGAGCCAGCCAACGCGTTGCATTGTCGACTCTAAACGAAGCGCACTTTATTCCTCCAGCAAAACGATGGTGTGAGTCGCCGAAACTGCAGCAATGCCATCTTCAACATGCCATCTTCAACTCCAACATCGTGGTGGAGTCATAGTCGCTCGAACTACGTCGTGGCTGCTCCCCTTGAAAGCCGTTCGGAGCCCCAAGTTGAATAGGCAATGGAAAGCGCGGCGTGGTGTCTTTGACGGTCGTCATCCGCCGACACGAAGACTTTTTGAGGTCGGCGTCAGGTTCTTGCAGAGTCTCGAAACTGCCGGCTCTCCCTTTCGTGTATACCTGCAATTCTGCTCGCTCGTTTCAACGAGGAGCTGCAAGCCAGTTGTAGTCCCAGTCCGCACGACAACCGTCCACAATCCTAATGTCCGGCCTTCGGTCTCGGTGCAAATGCTGTACCCAGCTGCACCGCGATCACGCTCCAAGCGGCATCCTATAAGAAGATCGCTTCTCAAGTCTCCAGTCCCGCTGCGAAGAGACGAACAAACTGATATCATCTCACTCCACCTTCTTCGCCCTACTGTTCGCCGTTAGCCTGTGCAGTTCCTGAATCGGCCCGTGGATCTCCGCGTCATCTGCTGACCAGGTTTTTGTTCTCGACGACTTCCGCCGCAGATCCGGCACGGGTTTCGCCTTCATCGTGGAATCTGGATGCACCAGCTCTTGTCGATCAGCAAGCTGTAGTGCAGCGGCGTTTCCGACACCAACGTCTGCAGAAGTTGAATTCATTGCTATTTTCTCAGCAGATAATTCCTCTACTTCCTCATCCTCATCCTTCGCGTTGATGTAATCAATTATCACGTTCCACGCTAAACACCCGCAGTTGACAAACAGCACCCGGTAGTGCGGGGGGACGAAGGCAAAATTGACAAACTGAAACGGAACCCACATGGTGCAGCAGGCGAGCCAGCTGGGCAGGAAGGACTTCTCCATCTCCTGCCTGATCTCCGGCAGTTGTTGTCCCTGCATCGCGCCCAACGTCAGGTAAAAGCAGGGCAGGTAGGCCAGGGGAACGTGAACAAAATTGTCGAAAATGGCGGAGACCATGCCGAACTTGAGCGGGGAAAAGTGACCCCAGACGCGGGCGTAGCTGTTTTGATTATCACGGTTGGTAGGCTGTCAGCGCGGCTGCAGATATGATCTAAATCTGTATGAGTAAAGAAACAAAGCACGAAGTGCAACTAGATCACGAGCAACACAACAATGAAAGCTGCTACCAACAATTACAACTAATAGAATACACTCCGTATATGAAGGTGTCCACTCCGCCCTGGTACCAACCGCAAAATGTTGTGAACGCGAGATTTCTGCCTGGGTCAAGTGTCTCCCGTTTTTCCACGACAAACTGGCAGACGACATCACCAACGAAGCCCAACGTTGCGCCGGCAAGGGTGTTGGTCAAGTAGGGTCGCTTTTCGAGGAGTTTTCCGTAGCTCTCGAGCAAGCGACGGTAGAGCATTTTGCGACTAGCACAGCTGCGGGCATGGGGATGAGGAGATGGCGACGTCGATCATAAATTCGTAAATTCTTGTTTTCAGCTCAAGCTGCTTATTTGATATTTTACACGGTGTTCTCCTATCATGTTGTAACGACGCTTTCGACCATCATTTCGATGGATGAAATAGATTGGAGTGTGATTATCAGATCTGCTTCTTCGAACAAACTAGTATGCCTTCGTCTCCAATGTGAAAAGACCATCATGAACACCAAAACAGCAGGCGGAGCCAGGACGTTTTTAAGTACCTCGTTACTGATGTGGTGCCGTTTTTAAGTACCTCGTTAATCAGTCCAACTACTACAATCTTAGAGGTCAGTACTTGTCGGCCTTTCTCCGGTTTTGCTTGTGCTTGTCAACAAACTTCAGAAGTTTTTGCATTTCAAAAGAGGGTGCGTTTTAGCAAATCTTGAATTGAAGCAGAAAATTTTAGGAAAAAAAGCTCGCGCATGCTGAAGTAGGACGAGTGTAGAGTAGTTTACAGTAGAGACAGCACAAGCTCAATTCAGAAGATTCGTGTGAGTTCAGTATAATAGCATTCATTTCATCAAGTCCTCGTCCTTTTCTTGACACGGTGGAACAAGTGGATAGATAAGGATAAGCACTAGTGTAATATATCGAAAGCTGCAGCACGCAAGACAATCGTAAGTCTGCCAAAGAATTGACATCATTGCGATACACCAGCCCAACAACAACAATGTTGTCCTGCGTTCTCAATACTTGAAGTAATCCCGATCGTTTTCGAAGATGCTCTTTCCTCCCGCCGGGGGTCCCTCGCGGAACTTGTGCGCAAAGGGCACGCCCATCTTCTTCAAGATAAACTCATCCCGTTGCATGTTCGGTTCGATCACACTCTTGTCCTTCAAAGACAGCATCAGCCGATCCAAGTTCTGGAAAAACGCGAGGATCAGGGAAAGACTGTCTTTTAACAAATCCATGTCCGCGTCGTCCGCAACTTTCACCCGCAAAAATTTCCGCACCGCCAAGGCCTGTCTGACCATCTGCTTCCGTTGCTCCATCGGGATGTTCAAGGCGTCGAGTTCCGGCGAACCCAGGTCGGACTTCACGTTCGCCTGGTTTTTCGCGTCGGTGTCTTTGTTGAAGGGGAGCAGCATGCGCGAGAGCTTGCCCTTCATGATGCCCGACTGTTTCGCGATTTTTTCCACGTTCTGGACCCAATCCAACCCCTGTTCTGCCTGCTGGAGAGTGGAATCGATTCGATCCTTGCTGTTCACTGCGTTAATCCCCTCGGTCAGGAGAATCTGCACTTGGCCCCACTGACTGTCGAGGGCGGGTGGAATCAGGGAAGAGGTCGCCGGGGGGTCTGGATAGAATGGTTGATGTCACATTGATGTAGTCGAAATGAAATTCAAATTATTTTGAGTACGACCAGCGCCGGTGATTGAATGATGTGAAATACGATGAATCGACGATGAATCGGCAATCAAAAGTGCAGCTACGCGTGACGTCCGCAAAGAACCGAGATGCGCAATGTTTCTGCGTGCAGCATCCACAAGCTGCCCTCAACCACACAGTTTAGTGCACATTCATCACACACTACTTTAGCAGCCAAACAATAACAAAGAAAAAAAAATGTTTGTAACTCATTATACCCGCAGCCTCTGCCGTACTGACGCTGGTTTCCTGCTTGTTTCGAGCTGCTGATTTTCCTTTTCCTTTCCCTTTTGCAGTTCTCGCCGCTACGCCAGCGCCTTCACCTTCCTCTGCTCCACCTCCCGCAGCCGGTCCACCACCGCTACCACCACCAACAGCGCCCGGCTTTTCTTTGACTTCGATTCTTCTCCCCAGCTTGTCCACGATGTACTTCTTCTTCTGCAGGCTCCGTGCCGCCGGCCGGTGCTTGATGTCAGCGCACCGCGGGATGTGCCTGGCGGCCGCTTCCTTGTTAAAATTTCGGTTGCAGTGGGGGCACGCAATCCGCGTTTCTTCGCGGGTTGGGATCAAAAGTCCGGTGTTTGGGTCGATTTGAAACTGCTCGTCGTCGGGATTCGCGGGCATGGCGAGAAGATTCGGGTGGTTGGCTGTCGCAAAATCGGCCGCGGGGGTAGGTAGATGTTCCGACGAAGGTTCTAGTGGTGGCTCGACTGGTGCTCCGATTGTGGTATTGGTGCCCATCGGGATCGCGGCGATCGTCGAACCCGAGGCGGCAAATGGAGGTAGGAGTGTCTGAATATGAAGAAAAAGTGCTGTTCATTCAAAGAAGATGCTTTCTTTCCTTGTCAATGCCAACCCAACATGCGTCAAATAAATGAATTGCAGCTTCTTATTTAAAGCTCGCCATCCCCCCCCTGAATAATCTTACGCACGATGGTATGGCGCAGTCATCAAAAGTGAACTCACTTCAAAAGACTTGGTGCTCTATTACCTGATTCTCCGCGCCACCCCCTCCTGCGTTCGTGATCGGCGAGCCGAGCTGCACGCTCCCGGTGTCGCCACTGATCCTCCTTCCAGTGTCGCCGCTGATTCGCGGGCCGCCGGCTGTCGTGACTATTGAGCTGTTTTTGATCGTCAACTGTTGCAATGGGGCCGGAGCACCAGAAGCGGGGACTCGTTCATCTGTGGTTGCCGTGTCTTCTGGGGAAGGATCACCTACGAAGTCCAACGCCACCGCGTCACCGCTGTGCGGAAGGAGCTTTTCGGCTCTTCTTGTTTCCTCCCCTTCCTGTTGCGCTTGCGTCTTACCACGTGCGGCTGCACCAGTTGCCTGCCCCTCATCCGCCGACGACGACGAACTTGATGCTAAGGCACTGGAGGATGTCGGTGCTTCGGTTTCATCTTGATGCACATCCTCGGGGTCGAACAAAGTGCCACCTGGCGGAGGACCAACCCCCACGGCAGCAGTGCTCGGTTTAATATTGTTCCCCTTCGTAGACCCACCTCCAAACGCTTTGTTCCGCAGGCTGCTTGTCCGCTGCAGATGGATCGGGGTAGAGCCGGAGACTGTGCAAGACACCAACTCTTCGAGGTCATTGTTGTCTAATTCACCACCATTTCGAAGAGTTCCCCCGTCGGCAACGTAGTTCATGGTGAGCAGAGAACCCGTCTTCTCGTCCTCCACACTCGGCCTCGCGGTTCCTTTTGACGTCCCCATCCGATCCTCCAACACAAGGGACGGATCGACCTCCTCGAAATAATCCTCTTCGTTCGACAGCACACCAGCTGCTGTTCCGGGTTTATTCTGGAAATCTCTCGCGTTCAGCGGGCGAGTCTTCCGCGCCCAAGGATTCTTGATCGGCGCCTGCGATGCAGAACATGCAGCTTGTGGCCCTTCTGCATCCACTTTATTCGCAGCTGCAGCAGCTGCTCCGGCTTGTTGCTTTTCACTGACAGGAACACTTGGACGAACAAGAGAGCCACGTTGCTGCGACACAACACGTCCTTCCGACTCTCCACCCGGGGGCACGATTTCTGTAGGCGACGACGCGACGGAGGAAGAATTGTTGCTCGGCCTGCCTGGGGCAGCTGCTGCTGTTTTCGAACTTCTAGACCGCACTTTCGCTTTGACATCCCGGAGATTGGCCGCGATCATTTCTTTCTTGTCTTTAGACATGCCCCTTGTTTCCTGTACTGATGGTTCCGCTTGTTTCGCATTCGCGCCGGTCATTCTACTTCTCGCGGGCATCGTGGTGGCGGGCGCATCACCAGCCGCAGTATTCCTGCTGGTTCGCGGTGTTTTGCTTCTACTTCTCACGTCACTGCTTCTACCTCCTGCAGTTGCTCCTGTCGCGCCACTGTTTCGACCTACTGCCGCCGCTCCGGACGAGGATGAGGAGGAAGAGGAGGATGATCCACTTCTTTGCGGCGGCGGGGGCTGCTGTTGGACCGCATGTAGTTGACCATGAGCTCCTCCAGCGCCGGGTGCTGCAGCAGCGGTTCCACCCACCGCCCCTCCGGTCATCCCCGAATCTACACGGCTTTTCACATGCCTGTAGTGACCACTCGACGCCCCGCCCCCGCCGCCGCAGCTGACCGACCGGGCCCTTGTGTGAAACTGCTGGTGGTTCAGCGCGTTTTGGATCCGGGCGAGGGACGGCTTGTTGTTTTCCTTGTTGGAGATGCTGGTCGCGGTAATTTTACCAGGAGTAGGGTCGCAGCTAGTGCCGCTTATTTCTCCGACCGGTGTTGATGTTGTGCTGGCAGGTCCTGCAGCTACTGACGCCAACTCCCCCGGCTTCACGTTCTTCAGTGTTTGCTGGCTCTCGGGCAAGGAAAGGACAGCCTCCTCGGCTCCTGCCGGATCCGTATGCACTGCAAAAGTATCGCACTCGTACGAAAAGTAAATCTATATGCGTCGCAATTATGCATCACAAATCTGGCCGCCGCGTTCTGCATGAATATAAACGACATACTTCAATTTTGTTCTTGAGAAGGTTTGTCATGCGATTTGTACGTAGTACAACACTCTTGCATTGCATACTCCGGTTGCAATAAAGATGTTTCTCCACCCGCCTGCTCACCACGCGCCACCATTCCGGAACCAGGGGCCCACGTGGCGCGCTGCGCCGGAAGGTTGTGCTCAGCATCGGACGCTTGCTGAGGTTGGACCTATTTTTTCATGGTTTCAGAACGAGACTAGATCAGTTTGAAATAAAATCGACTGTGCACCATCCGAAGTTCGAGTTCTAATGTTGCTAATGGTTGCCGTGCAGTATAGGTCCTGAAGAGATGAACTTCTTTAGCATGAGTTGGGTTGCATTCCATTAGATCCAAAATTTTGGTTTTCACCCACCATGCACGTACCTTCCTGAGCTGGGGATGCTTCCGTTTCAACAAAGCCAGCCGGCTGGTTGTCGGTGTCTTGCTCACTGGTAATATTTCGACCGGTCTTGGTGGTGCGGTAGGAGCTTCGGGTGGCGACGTGGCAGTTGTGCCAACTACGGGAGCAGCTGGTGCCCCAGGAACTACAGTGTCCTGCTCTTGATGTAGTTGCGATATTAAGAAAGCCGCTCCAGCATCATCTCCTTCTCCGGCCGGTGGTCTGCTGCTGGCATTGTTCGCGTTCCAGTGAACCAGAACTGGACCTGCGTCGAGAAGCGGCGCTGGGTGGTGGTCCATCCCGGCCACAACCGCGTCCACGATTTCCATGCAATGATCCTCGATGAGCAAGCAGCTTTCTCGTACTACTAGCTACTTCTCCTACAAGTTTCTAGTGCAATTTTGGTGTTCGTGTTTCTCTTCTTTCGATGATAAAAATATGCAAATCTGCGAATTCTCAGATGGATGGGCAACACGTACAGGCACACGGTAAACTTTGAAGATTCAACATGATTCTATCACAGTGCTCACTCTTTTCACTCTCTTCCGTGTGAGTGCCACACCACACACACCCGTGGTCCTTTGATGGAGAAACTCAATCGCTCGAACACCCGAAACGCTTCTACTCCTCATGGTGCATCTCGAATACCTCTCGATTCTGAAAGAATTTCTCGATGAAAACGAACAGAAGACGTAAGACAAGCCACGTGCTGGTGTCAACTACGTGAGGATGCCAGCACCCTCGCGCCTAACTCGACCAGGAACGATTCAAATTGGTCGTGTATGTACTGGTACTGGCAACATGTGCATCAACAAAAGTAGTTTACAAGGTCGTCTTTTGCTTTATGCTTGTTTTCTTGCTCTCCAAGCTTTTTCATCATGAAAAACAATGTTATGGTCTACAGGCAGAAAAGACACGGCGGAAATAAAACCCCAGAAATGTGTTGTAGTTTCATCAACATGATTGGAGAGGCTTTTCTTGAGTTTTCCTACTACTTATGCTTCCAGTTGTTGTGGTGCAGAAGATCTACTAGTACTGTGGAAGATCATACAGTGTCGTAGTCGCTCACGATTGACTGAAACTTCTCATGCGTGGTGTTATTTGTTTGCGGGTTGGGATTGTGAAAAAGGAATTGGAGACATAATCATAAACAGAAACTGCATGCATATGCTTATCTAAAAAAATCCACGTAACTCTAAAGGATGTGAAAACGAAGCAGTCCTATTCGATATCGACTCAAACTCTGTCCTCGACTGGCGACACCGGAGGGAGCGCTGCGCGGTAATCGTAGTCTTCATCGATTGCAGCTTTTTGCTGCTGTTGCAGTACGAATTCTGCAGTCCGATTCGAGGGATCGGCATCTTGATCGTGTTCCTGCTCCCCCGATAGCTGTGCAACTGGTTCGCGGCTACTGGCCCCACCTGACTGGTGCCCCCGCAACACAAATTCCTTCGCGTTTTTCAGCGCCAGCTTTCCCATCGGGTGCACCGTGTACAGTAACTGCCCGACGTGGCACATCTCGTGGTAGATCTGCAAGTCCACGCTCAGCCCACACTTCGCCATCAACTGCGCTAACTCGACGTGAATGTCCCGGAGCACCTCCGTTTCGCCGGACTGGATCAGGATCTCGATGGGCTTATTAACGACCTGCTTTTTTCGTCCGACTTCATCTTGTGGCGAAGAAATTGTACTACCAGTCGTAGCAGTACTACTAGCGGGGGGACGTTCTTGTGGTCTTCTATCCGACAAGAAGTTCTGAAACGCGTACACACTGGACAGCACTGGGTCCTCGAAAGCCCTGTTGCAACTTCTGGCAATCCCGGAAGCAAGCATTTTCACCGTTTCCGGGTGAATCATGTCAGTTTGCCGGTTGGACACAAAACTCGGCGTTTTCTTTTCGTTCGCACTTTGGTCGGCCCAGGGGGAGAACAGAATCGCTTTGCCCGGGAGGGCGAGTTTGTTGTTCTGCTTTTTCATCATGATCTTCGGAGCTGCACCGATTTTTGTGCTCGCCGGTTCATCTTTGCACTGCTGAACAAGCGTCAACGGGGCGATTGTTGCGTTGATGTTGGGAGAAGCATTTTCGTTCGCGCTGTTCTCTATGTCAATGAGACCACCGACGTCTCCGTCACCGTCTAAGAGAATGCCGTCCTCTGGTACAACCAGATCCTCTCGTGGAGAGCAGAACTCGAGGGATTTCTGGTCATCCTCATCTTCCGAAAAGAAATCCTTCTCGTCCTGCTCCAACAATCCCAACTTGAGCAATAACTGCACGCACAGCTGCCCGCCGGCGGAATCTCCGACCAAAATGATGTTTTCGCAGGGCACAGATAACTCCTCTATCCTGATTAAAAACGTCCCCACACCAGAGTCAAGATGGGGATTTTGCAACACAAACCTAGGAGTTTTAGGAGTCACGCATGACAAGTTTCAGTCCGTAAGGTAGTGCAAGTTAGCAAGGAAAGCCGCATGACAAATCGACCTTCTGATCCTGTTTACAGCATTACAAGTTCCCAAACACGATTGAAAACGCCTGTAATGGGGTTGCGCATCACAAACGTTCCTGTCATGGCAAATCTGCATGACAACTCTGGGGTGGGGGCGTTTTTACATTTGATATCCTCGACCAGAAACCTGTAGACCTGCAGCCCATCTTCCACCGCACACTCCACATCGAAATCCGGCGGTCTTCTGAAATTCGCCAGGAGCGCCACAAAATCACTGCCGCAATTGCGGACCAACCAGGCCAGCAGCGCGGTGTTCGCGCTGTCCGCGTCGCAAAACACGAACGCGCCGCCGTGAAAGTAGAGAAAAACCTTCTGCCGCGCGGGGTCGGGGATCACGAGTTTTCCGAGTTCGAGATTTGAGTAGACTTTTTTCTTATCGAAGTTTTTCTTTTCCGCTTCTTCTTTCGACCAGAGCCAGTAGTGCCGGACGTGGGCTTCGGCGACGGAGGTTGTTGTCGTTGTACTGATAGGAGGCTTTGACTTTGTAGTAGTACCTTTATTACCAGTTGCAGCTCTTCCCGTCGGGGATCCAGTGCCAGTACCAGTAGCAGTACTTGGAGACAGTAATTGCCTGATATTATCATCGTCGTTGGTATCAGCGATGGATCCCGACTGGAGTTTCTTCGCGAACGCGATACTGCTCGTAATCCCGTTATCCGAGACGCTATGAAAGCCTCAGGTTGGAAATCCTCAAAGTGGAAATATTTTGTAATGCAAGAAAACGACTCCCGTTGAATCGCCATTTCTAGTCGGCGCATGACAAATTTTCCGGGCACTCAAAGCATGTCTGTCATGCTAGGTAGGCAAAGGGGTGCCCTTCTCTCGTGCTAATCAGCAGCCCAATTCTGAACCCCTAGCAGGACAATAGTCGGTCTCCATTGCGTCCTCTGCAATACAGTCTTTTTTGCCTTGCATTTCATGCATCACAAATTATTTCCACTTTGAGGATTTCCATTCTGAGGCTTTCATAGACGCACGGGTGGGCGGACTCCACAAACCCGCACTCCATCCAAAAAGACGCTTTCTTATCAAAAGAAAAAAGTTCGTCACGATCACTCATGGGCATTTTTGCAATACAAAATTGTCTGTCATGCGTAAAAATGCATCACAGCCACACTTCATAAGGGATTTCCCTAGTGTTTCTGCAATACAAGGAGAAGTTGTGATGCTAAAAAAATTTGTAATGCAAAACCTGCAACTTGGTGACTGTGACAAACTTTTTTCTCTCCATATTTCTGGAGTTTGCTGTAGTAGGGGAAAAGAAAGCTAGGGAGCGTCATGTCGGTCAGGAAGCGGTAGAGCCGGACGTTCAGTCTGGACAGCGGATCTAGTCGTAACGTTTTCAAGGCCGTGAACAACAGCCGGAGCAGCAAAACGTGGTAGAACCCGTTCTGCCGGTCCTGCTGGGAGAGTAAAATGTCTACAGGCTCGGGAATGCGGTAGTGGTACAGTTTCTCCAAGTCAAATTCTTGCTCGAAGGGAAGAGATTCAGGTTGGTCTTCTTTGCTCTTACTTCGGTTTCGCTTCACTTTACTGCTGTTACGCTCGTCTCCCGCCACAGTCGACCTGTCGTCATTTTTACCAACAGCAAGAGCACCACCAGCATTGTTCTGAGACTGAGGATTTTTACCACGATGGTGATCTTCATCATGATCCTGCTTACTATTGTTCGTGCCACCAGCGCCAGCTCCACTTGTTCTCTGTGCCAAAAACAGTTTTCGTTTCCTTTTCCGCATCAGTTTCAAGGCGTTCGGATTGGTCAAATACTTCGACGAGGTACTGGAGCAGGCGTTGTCTATGCCCAGACTCCCGTACAACAAGCTCGCTTCCAACCGCGTCTTTGTCGCTTTCAAGTAGTTCCACAACCAGGATTTTCGCGAACTGTCGAGTGCACGTAAAACCTGATCGACTGTCGCCAGCTCTAGAAGGTACGCATCCTGGGTGCCGTCGGCCGTCTCGTGAAAGTAGACGGCACGAGACGTGGTGGCGGTTTTGGATGGGGAAGGTGCTGAGCTGGACGACGCAGGGGAAGAGCCGACTCTTAGGATTGCCGCCGCCTGCAAAACCTGTTTTCTCGTCGTGATACGAGCTGGTTCTTGCGGGGATTTTTGGGTGTGCTGTGCGTGGTCCACATGGTCTCCGGAAGTAGTGGCTTCGTGCTTGTTCTTATTTTCTGGCGAGATAGGTGGTAGCTGCGGATTGCGAAGAGCTCCTGCTTTGGTGTGTACATCCGCAGCTTGATGCTGGTCATGGTTCTGCTCGTCATCTTTTTCGCTCAGGAGTGTTTTTTCATTTTCTCCACCACGGTTCTTCACATCAGCCACTGCTTTCTGCGGCGCTCCGATCACCACAGCGCCACCTGTGGTTCCCGTCACATCATTCTCGGCGGTTTTGCTTTTTCGCGGCAAATTGTAGTCGGTTGTACTACTAGCGCTTGTTGCAACATCTTCTCGATCTCCCGTCGGTCTTTTCGGAGGACAGCAGGCACGCAGAAACAGGAAATGCAGAAAGAAAAAGACCAAGCCAATCAAACCGCTAAGGAGGACATCCAGGAAGAGCCAGGCGAGGAAGTAAAGCAGCGGCAGCCCCACGAGCAGGAAGATCGCGGAGAAAGGGAGGACGCAGCAGGTGGTCAGAAACGTGTTATAGCAGGGAAAACCGGCTTTGGGAAGGGGCTTGGAACTCTCGTCGCCGGGTTGGTAAACCATTTTCTTCGATAAAGCACTACAGAGGAGGACGTAGTGCAGGTTGGTCGGCGCGGCTGGAACTACACAGATTCTTCAGCGGTGGTCCTTGCGATTCTCAAAAGCAATCGCATTCGGAAAATAAGTTACAAAATTTGTACAGGTCGTGCGTTCCCCAGGTCATTGATGTTGCCATCTTCTTCTTCCTCTGTGAGTTTTGTTTGGCTGCTCAGTAACAAACTCTGATGGCATGAAGATTGAATTTTTCCCGTCCCAGGTAGAAAGTATTGTCTCACCCGTCCCAGTAGTCGTTGCTTCAGCGGTGGTGTGTTAACCGAACAGCACGATATCCATTATGAATTGATGGAATGCGAACGATAGTAAATGGTGGAAAAAAATCACTTGCAATGCTGCTTTACTACAATATACAATTGTTCAATCAACAACAACGGTCGCAAACAAAATTTAAACCTCAGGAGGAGGATATTAAGCTCTGAGCATCAATTGCGTGCCCGAAAAACGACGAAAGGAAAAATACTCACGAAGTAGTGCAAAACGAAGTTTCACACGGATTTTCTGATATACCGCAGTGGATCTTCTTCTGTGCAATGTGAAAACCCATACGACTAGGACAACTACACGTTAGAGGATAAGATAGCTACTACACAGCTCTCGTCACGCTTCCCTGCCCATCATGCGTCATGGAAATGTACTAAGTGGGTTGATTGTTTGTGGTGCTTCAACAACAAACATGCGGTGCGCTGAAAAAGACGGAAAAAATATGAAAGAATCTCGCCAAGCCGGTGTCTCACACTAGGGATCTTGTTCAGGATCTACTTGACCTTGAGACTCATCTATATTGTTCACGACTGACCATGATGTCGATCTCATACATTTATTCAGACCTCCTCTAAATAAACGCTCCGAATTGCCCCAGGTGCGGCCTTTGACGAATCTGCACCGTTCTGTATGATCATGTCGCTCGTCGTGATGAAGATGATCTTGTCATTCAAAATCTTTTGTCGATCTCAGCAGTGCCATTACCAGATCCATTTTCATTAGGACCTGCATACTATACTCACTTCAAAATCTTCAGAGCGATAGTTTTAGTACTTAGCAGAAGTCGCTCAGAAGTCAAAATTCGAGATCGAGCGGAACAGATGACACAGATGGACGTCAGGAGCACGACCCTGGTACTAGATGCAAATTGCAGCGAGCACGAATCGATCGACGACACTTGAATACTTTAGATGATCCATCCTGCAGCTTCTGGAGAAGCTAAAGTTACAATAAATGAGGAAGAAACAGGAGCTTGTCGTGCTGTCGCTAGTCAACGAGTCGCTTTCACTTTCGAGTTCACATCACTGACCCAAATTTTTCGATTTTCTGCGAAGAACTTCACGCATCTTCATTGAGTGGACGGACTTTTACTTCTTGTACTATACATTCATGTCTTCTGACTGTTGATCGAACTGTAGATGAGAATAAGCTTTGAAGGGGAGCCAAAGTACTAGCCGGAGCGCGCTAGTACAAACATAGCCATAAGTACATCAAAAACCAGTCTGTTAGGTGCTATCCATACAGTCGTCCTCTTCCTCGTCGCCACTGTCGATGATTTGATCAGCCCAAGGATTTTCGATGTTGTAAATCGCATAGATGTCCCCCACTTTCTGCACGTCTTTCGCCATCTTTTTAGCAAGCTGCTGCACATCCAGCAAGGGCGCAATCCGGCTAAGCACTTTGTCCAGATCGATCACGTCTTTCTTTTGGCTATCTTCATCATCGTCATCACAGATTTCAAACAAACACCCGGTTGCCGCAATGCGCAGGGTGGCTAGTTGGGCGCGGAGTAGGTGGTGAGACGGTAAGACCGCGTCTAAACCCATCACGTTCGGGGCAAACTCTTCGTGGAAAGTAGAACTTCCGTCGTTCAACAAAAGGCTTATCAATTCCCACTGCACGAGGCAAAGGTTGAAGTGCGAACTCATCTTGACCGAGGTTGATTCCGTCCTGGCTGGCCGATAATTCCGCGTCGCCAGCGGTTGAATGTCTTCGAAAAAACGAGGCTCCGTCTTCATTTGCAAACTGAGGAAGCCGGCGATAAGTCGTGCAAGGGTAACTTGGAAAACGCTGGTCAAGTCGCGAAGGGAGGTCCAGAGGAGCAGTTCTCGGGCTTCTTCCGCGCTCAGGGGCGGGGGTAGCGGAACGGCATCGTTTTGTTTTTGACGGTCATCTCCTGCAGATGAACAAGTTCTTGTGTCTGCAGCGTCGGTGGGGGTCGTGGCTGTCGTCGCGACTTGGGCTGGGGATGTTGATGAAATAAGCTGCAGTAATTGATCTTTTCCAGCGCTCGGCCCGATCGCGTCCGCGATCACCCGCGCAAAGTCGGCAATCTTGACTGCTCCGACCTTTCTTTTTCGTTCGGCCAGAGCGGTCTGTGCTTGTTTCAAGAAATCCACAAATTCAAGCTCATCCTTTGCGTCTTGATCTTTTTTATTCCGGCTTTTTGTACCTTCTTTTTTTTCCACCTCATCCAACGAGCGCGCTTTTACTAATCTCAACCCCCTTCGGATGATTTGGTTCACCTGTACTCTGTGGTAGTACTGCTCTTGCTTTGCCAGCTGCTCGAACATCACCTTCCTGAAATTGGATGGCAGCGCCGCCGCCGCCCCGTAGTTCTCCGGGTCGTTGTGCTTTTCATCCTTGTTTTTTAGTAGAGCAGCCTTCACAATAAACTCCACTCGCCGCCGAATCTTGTTCTTCACGATCGTGTCGAGTTCCGAATCCAGCTCCTGCAGCCACACGGACTCGAGCTCCTTCGCGATCCTGCTGAGTGTGCTTCTTTCAGCCGTGAATAAAGCAGCTGGGTTTCTGATCTTATTTGGGGTAGAAGTTTCGTCGCCTCTTATTTTGCCATGGTCGTCCGGCGCATCCATTGCAGCAGCTTCGTGTATTTTTTCGTCGAGTGACTGACTGACTTCCTTGATTTGGTCCTGCAAAAGCTGCAGCTTTTTGAAGATTGAGCTATGCAGTTTAGCCTGCTTGCTTTCGAGTAGTAGGTCCACAACAGGGGCGGAAGCCTGCAGGCAGAAAGAATCATTCGAGGCACTAGTTGTAGAAAAAGTAGTCAACAGCTGGCTCTTGTTTCTCTCGTCGCTTTGCGTTTGCGTTTGGGTTATTTCCTTATTGCAGCTGTTCTTGCCAATAATTCCTCCGGCCAATTCCAACGTCGAGGCTTGATATTGAAAGAGCAGCTGTCGCACCTCGCTGCATTTAAAACAGCCACACATTTCGAACTCTTTCCCCGACCTCAACTTCCTCCACCGGTCCAGAACCGGCCACAGCGGCGGCAGGTAGGAATGGCTTAAAAACTCACCTTTCTTGATCTCTCGGATGGCGCGGACCTGAACCTCGCCAAAGTCATGTTCTTGATGCTGGGAAACTAGTAGAGCACCATCCGCACGTTGAGTTGTTCCAGATGTTGAACAAGCGTTCATCCGCCCCTGTGGTCCACCTGCTTCCGTTCCGAAAAAAACTCGGTCGCAGTTCGGCGCGCAACTGTGCTCCAAAAGGGCCATGTTGACGAAAACCCCGGCGCAGTTGTCCGCAACCCGACTGTGCCCGGAAATGGAAAAGTGGTTGATGTGAAGCCTTGCCCAGACGGCCAGGACGACCTCCAACACGGATTGCCTTTGCCATTTCTCCTTCGCATCCAGTGCCGTCACTTGTTTCGTCTCGAACTCTAGCGTCTTCGCAACGAATTCTTGCAAGTACTCCAACCGCTCGGCGGACATAGCCGCGGAAAGGCGGCGGGCTGAAGACGATGGCGATACTAGAAGAAGTTTTTCAGCATCGGTTTTTGATATTTGTTCATCCTCCTCGAAGATGTCGTTCAAATTGTTTCGTCCCACTAGCTCTTTCAACTGCTTCTTTTCACTTTCCTCGATACTAGTAGTCCACCTGTCCACCGAATCCAGATTGTGTGCTTCTTGCGTGAGAAAAAGTTCCCGCGCTTCTTTTGACTCGTTCAGCTTCCCGATACTGCGGATCAGCAAAGCCTCCTCCGGGGTCGCCGGTTGGTCGTTTTTCCGCGCCCAAAACTGACACTCAAACGCGTGCGTCGTGTCCTCGTTCTCAAAACAACACTCCGCAGAACAAAATTTTGCGGGGCAACAGCCGCAAGGTTCTAGGTCTGCTGCGTCGGTTGATGTGCACGAGTGGTTTTTCTGGTCATCTTCTCCTTGTTTGGTATTTTTGGTGAAAAACTCTGTCCCACAGCCGACGCAATTCGTTTCCCAACTAGCTGCGAGAACCAATGGTTTTTCCGTCAGAATCGGGTCGCCGGGCTGGAGGTCTTTGAGCGCCTTCAGCCGGTAGCCGAAGAGGGCCGCGTCGTACACTTTCTCACACGTGTCGTTCATTTTCTATCGCGGTGGTTGGGGAAATGTTTGAAACGCGCCCGAATCTCCTGCCTTTTCCGGTCGGCAACCAAGGGGGTCGTAGAGTTTATAAAATGCTTTCGGCTGTTGTTGTTGCGGGAAAACACATCTTCGAGTTTGTAGTTTGTAGATCTTTTGAATTTCAAAGACTATTGCTATTCAACGTACATCACAATATTTCTAACCTCACATCAAACACACCGTGAGTGGCTTTCTTGAGTGCGGGGGTCCCTGTTTTCACAATTCATCAGATCGATATGGGGCTTTCAGCAAAGGGCGGAATAGACTTTCGAGATGCAAATCGAGAAAAATAAAAAATAAAAGTAAATTTCCTTCAGCAGGACCATGCACGCAGCGCAAACCACGTGCTCGGTAATCACAATCTATCAAGGCAATGATCAACATGATCCTGATCTCTCTTCATCTTCTATCCAGGACCCCCAAAACCAACTTGTTTGCATCTTCGACATCTTTCTTTCTTTCTTTCTTACCATGCCCGGGCATGGCGTCAAATTTCAAGGCCCTACAAGATCCATCGCAATCTCATTTCCTTCTCTCCATTGATCTTTCATGTCATCTGCAACTCTAATCTTAAAAACAAAATGTGAAAGTCATCTACTTCTGAAAAAAAAATAAACGATCTAAAAGCAACTATTCAAACTTAGCCATTACCTGATTCCGAAAAATTAATAAGCAATCTGAATATCTTTTCTGGCAAGATCTGGACCGCTGGTTTATCGATTTGGAAACGCCACTGGATGTTCTGTTTCTGTAACCAAATCAAGGCGGTACTTATTTTCCGGATCGCAATTCCAATTTGCTCCTTTCAATTTGTACCAAGTAAAGCTGGCGTCTCGGCGCGAGTGATCATTTCATGGGCTTCGGACTTCGGATGATCGAGTGGCGGGCGTCTATCTGCTCCCCGACTCGGACTCGAAACTGAAGCCACGCACTCGCAGCTCCAGGATCGGCCATGAAATGACCGAGAAGCGTTCGCGTTTGGTTCAAAATTTCTTTCTCTTTTCAGCAGACAACAGAACCGGAGGGAGTTACCTACTTGAAGCAAGATAACTGAAATACATATTCAGCTTTTTTTGATGACCTTACACCTGCCAAACCCCTACCGAGAAAAAACCTTTCAGAAAAACTGGGAAGCCTTGTTCTTGGCATGGTACGGAATAACAGCAGCTCCATCGTGATTGACGTTTTTTCTCTACTTGAGCAAGAACTGCAACAACAACAAACAACACTCAACCGCTCAACTTCCGCAAAAGGAAGAACCTTCCTCGCAACTCATGAGAGGGGCCTTCTTGGTCTCCGGTCCTCGGTCCTCAGTCGCTCGCAAGGGAATACTTGAAGAGCTAAGAAGGTCGAAAGCTGAGACACATGAAAGGGAGTTTCTTGGTCTCCGGTCCTCGGTCCTCAGTCCCTCGCATGGTAATACATGACGAGATAAGAAAGAAGAAAGCTGAGACACATGAAAGGGGGTTTCTTGGTTTCCGGTCCTCGGTCCTCAGTCCCTCGCAAGGTAATACCTGACGAGATAAGAAGGTAGAAAGCTGAGACACATGAAAGGGGGTTTCTTGGTCTCCGGTCCTCGGTCCTCAGTCCCTCGCAAGGTAATGGCTGACGAGATAAGAAGGCAGAAAGCCCAGACACATAGGAGGGGGCTTGTTGGTCTCCCATCCTCGGCCCCCAGTCCCTCGCGAGGCAATATATAAAGAGAGAAGAAAGGAGAAGGGGGACACACATGAGCGGGAGTCTGTTGGCCTCCGGTCCTCGGTCCGGACGCCCGCGAAAGTGCGGAGCTTTTTCGTGTGTTTTTTGTTATTTTTTCGCTCGCCAGTTACAGTTCTGGAGGAGCAAGTCGCTGGGGCCATGTCGGCCGCCATTGGAAGAATTCAGGCGCGCGCGCCCTTTTTCTTCTTCAGAGCTGTAGCACCGTTGAAGGCGATGGAGGTGCTCTGAGCTGTCGCTGCGAAAAGCCGCCCGATTCTCTATGGCGAACGCACTCGATAAAGCTAGGGCCCCTGCGATCCTCCGGCGGCACACTCGGCCCAGCGTTGCTCCTCCTACGAAATCGCAGGCAGATCATCAACACCACCCCAATATGGCACCTCGCTCCTCTTCAAAACAGCAGGAGTGCCGCAACAGTGGCAGCAGTCAATCAAGAGCGCTCTCGAAGGTCATTTTTGAGGATCTGCAGCGCTACGGTAGTAGCAGCCAGAAGAGCACCGCGGAGGAAATCAACCGCAATCGCGTTGGTTCTGAGGTCCTTCCCAAGCGAGCAGATCGGGAAGTTTAAAAGTGGCACCGTCGTCACAGCTTTGACGATCCCGATAATTAAATCAAGTTAAGAATCAGAAGCAGGCCACACGGCATAACGGGCGAGGTCCGGTCTCTAGAGTTATCCAAATGGATGGAGATGAAAGCAATGGGCCTTGAACATTTGACGCCATGCCCAGGCACGAGAGAAAAAAAGCGAGAAAGCTATCCAAGCCAGGCGATCGGCCATTTGTCTTCCGTGGCAGTATTCTTCTGGGCTTGTCAAGTATCAGGCTCCTGCTTCAGCAGCAGCAGCACCCTGCGAGCTTTACTACGGCTCTTACGAAGCGAAAGGGCCGAGCTGTCGCGGTTTGAGCAATGCCGTCGAGCAAGATAATACGAGGGATCACGTTGGCGGATTGCAGTTTACTTCTCGGCTTTCTGCAATGTGCAGAGCGGAGCGCTCCCATCCTTTACAGAAAGTCCGCTACTTGCTCCAATATGACACAGATTGAGATAGTGAGAAGATCAACGCACCCACTTCAGACCAATTCGGCGCAGAAGATCAGCACCGCCTTCAAATGCATCCAGATCCGTTTTCTTATTCTACGACTTTCATCCACCACGCAAGCCGGTTTTTTTTCATTTCCCAAAACCAAAGCAGGACAGGGAAGCTGATAGACTCACTTACAGCCCAGACCTCACAGCTCGGCGCATCATCATCAGAACGCGCACGATCGGAGGCGGCGGAATTGTGGACGCAGATGTCAGGGCGAAAGTATATCTCCTCCCAAGTTGTTGACTAGTAGATTGCTTCCGAGGTGGCCCCTTTTCATTTCTACTCCGCCGACACTGGCAAAGAAAAGCGTAGAAGTGGAGCGAAGTGACTACGTGCGATCGAGTGAGAGAGCGAAACGGACTGACTATGTGCGAAGAACAGCCCAGGAACAAAGGCCGCGACTATGTGCGAAGGAGTGGGAGACAGCGAGTCTAAGTGGGTAGCAAGCGAGTCGGGCACTGCCCTACTCGCCTGCCTGATGTCTTTCCGCAGCGCTCGCAGTCGAACTCTCGGCCAAGTTGGTCCCTCGCTGTTTTGACGCGACGGAACGAAGCAGAGGACGCGCGCGAGACAGCGTCACTAGTCGGCTTCACTTGCCGGGCAAGCTTTCCCAAACCGACACTGGCTAAAGCGTAGAAGTGAAGCGAGGCGACTCTGAGCGAAAGAGTGGGCGAAGTGAAGCGACTACGTGCGAAGCACAGCCCCGGATCAAAGAGCGTGGCGGTGTGCGGCGATTTCTCGCCGTTTTGAGTTTGACGCGACGGAGCCGAACGAGGTGGGCAGTTCCATTTGGGCGCCTTCTTGTGCCACCATCGTCGCCGGTGTGTGATGATGGTGCTGGTGTACATATGTCGAGCAAGAGAAGATCTCTCTTGCCACTCATGTCACAAAGAAACTCGGGCGCGCCGCGCAGATGTCGGCCAACGGCGCTCGCGTATATCGGTCACCGACCGGCTGAAAAGGCCGGCGATGTCTTTTGAGTTCGGTCCTTGGTGTACTTTTACACGAAGAAACTGCGCGCGCATTTGAATGTGGCAGGAGTTTCCGAAAGTCGGCGCGCCTATAAATACCTAGTGCCGCGCGGGGAAAACCTGTCCAAAAGCGTGCGCTCGTGTGCCGTAGCCCGAGCGCAGCGCCATCATCATCAAAATGCGGCAGGTTTTTTTCCAGCAAGCGGCGGCCTACAACGCTCCGGAGATTTCCTGCAAGCTACGGAGGCAGGCGGCAGGCAGGTAAGTTCCCTCGCGTGCAGCGACACGAGTATCAGCATCGCCTTGCTTCGCCACCTTTTGCTTTTTGCGGGGCCGCAGAAATGCTCGCCAACGGCCAACCCACGCACTCGCTGCGGGTCGCGCGGTGCTGTGATTTCACAGGAGGAGGCCCTGGCGCTGCTGCGCGTCTGTGTCGCTACTGGATCGATGTCATCAAGGATGTGCGGCTACTTGCTCCACATGAGTGATGGCGTATCTATATGCGCGCGGGCTACTGACTGGCAAAATGCAGCCTTTTTTCGTAAGAGAACGCCACCCCCTTCGCTTCGTTCCAGCGCGCAAACTTTGGGCCATTTTGTAAGATTTCAGCTCTTTCCTACACTAAGAACGCAACACAGTCCGGCCAAATGGGCTCGCGCGCTGACAAGCCTGCCGGGCCGGGAGGGTATTTGCCTGCCGCTCGCCGGACGTCGTGTCGTACCAACGGGCCGCCCGCCGCTGGCCAGACGGTGAACAACCAGGGACCACATTAGCAACGCTAGCAGCGCAGCCGAAAGGGGGGCGAAGCAAGCAGTTTTCAGCTACACGGGCCGGCTTTCGTCAGCGGCGGCATGGATGTCGTTGCGCACGAGGTCCCCCGGGGGGGGGTGCCGAAAGAGGCCGGCGCGTTTTTTTTTCGTTTTCCCATCCGGCCCGGCGGTGGGCAGTTGACTACCCCTCGCAAGGGCCCTGAAGGTGGCAGCGGAGGGGGAACCAACGCCATCAGAGGAGAAGCGACGCGAGCTCGGCATGATCGCGCCGTCGGTCGAGAAAGATCTCTGGGCGCGCAAAACGGGCTGTATCCGGGCGCTGTAGCTGTACTGTAATAACAGAGCGGATGGAGGTCGACTTCTCAGACACAGCGGCATCGGCTTCGGAGCCACATGCGCCGGCGCAAAAGTGGGAACGCCAGTCGGCCCGCGTCTGGGACGGCAGCACAGCGGCTCGCGGAGTCTGTAGATGTGCTGAGAATCGCTGCAGCGGGCCAGCACTTTGCGAGGGAGGTACTAGCAACACCGGCGGGCCGGCTACCGGGACCGGAGGCCACAAACCTCCCTCATATGTGTCTGATGTTTCTCCCTTCTTGTCCCGTCGCGTATTAATTGCCCCCAGATGAACTGAGGCCCGAGGACCGGAGACCATCGGCCTCCTTCTTATGTGTCTGGCGCTTTTGCCTTCTTATCTCGTCATATATTACCTCGTGACGAAGTGGGGACCGAGGACCGGAGACCAACAACCTCCTTCTTATGTGTCTGGCGCTTCTACCTTCTTATCGCGTCAAATATTACCTCGCGATGGAGTGAGGACCGAGGACCGGAGACCACCAGCCTCCTTCTTATGTGACTGATGTTTCTCCCTTCTTATCTCCTCATATATTACCTCGTGATGGAATGAGGACCGAGGACCGGAGACCAACAACCTCCTTCTTATGTGTCTGGTGCTTCTCCCTTCTTATCTCCTCAAATATTACCTCGTGATGGAGTGAGGACCGAGGACCGGAGACCAACAACCTCCTCTTTATGTGTGTCAAGTGTCTGCCATTTTATGTAGTGCGTTGCTCTACATGAGATTCCTTTAGGATCTTCTGTCGTTACTTTTTCAATTCCTTTTAGAGCACAAACACGAAACACGATGGAGCTGCTGTTATTCCGTGCCATGCCTTGTTCTTGGGCCTCGAGCTTTAAAACATTATTGAGCGACGTTTTACCTTGACTTACCTTGAAGAGTGTGGATTTACCTTGACTTTCCTACCTCGAAAAATGGATAACAACGCGTCGGAAAACTAATTGAACTTTTGCAACGTCGTTTTGCATGCGGCGGTAGCTCAACCGCTTTGAGATTCCACTTTTTTTGGTCCTTCTCTCAGTTGCTCTTGCTTGCATCGTGTCTGTCGTCGCATTAAAAGCGAGGAATTGAAATTACGACAGCTACACAACTATTCCACCTCTGCATCTCTGTTTGTCCACAAATTCCACCTGTTGCGTTTGCATCGTACACAAAGCAAACGCGCGAAAGCTTTATTGCCGACGTTGCATCCATAGGCCCTGTCGCTGAATTATTTCTGCGCCGTAGTACTCCAGCACCCTATTGCAGCGAATTTTATAAGGTTCCAGGGTCAATACGAGGCGACCAATACGAGCAATCGGACCAATACGAATCGCATACGAGCGCGGTCGCCGGCTCCTGCCTCCCTGTCGCCGATACATCCCGCCCGTGCTTCCATTTGAAAATGTGCGGACCCGCGCCTGGTGCTGCTATCTTCCTAGGGATCTCTCCTCTAAGATGACACAATACGAGCGCGCAGCATGCTGCGCGGTCTGGTCCACGTCCCCTCTGACCGGGAAAACTATCTAAACCTCGGGACAGAGGCTCCCCTACTTCTAACTGAGCCTGTTACTAGTCTGAGTCCACTGACTACCCCATCTAGAACGCAGGGCCACGCGCATACGGCTCGTTGCATGGGTGTAGTAGCGTCCCCGCTCTGCAGCGGCAGCCCCCGCCCAAAACAGTCCTACTACGGCTGTGGTTGGCGCATGCTACGCAGGCCCAAGCATGGAACCAGCTCGGGCGCCGGTGAATAGCGGCGATTCTTGACTCTGCCCGGCCCCTGAAGCTCATGCGGCAAAGCATATGAGCCAGCGGCGCAAAAGGAGCGGCGCCGCTTTACGGGCGTATTTGAGGGCAGTGGCGTCGCCAACACGTGCTCACCAGCAGTTCTCATCTATTCGCTCTTATTTACCAAAAGGAAAAGCCGCGCCGCAGGCGCGGCGCCGAGTTTTTTTTTGAAGTGGCGCGGCAGCTTTTTAAAGTTTCAAAGCAGCGCGCCGTCGTTTTATGCGACGGGATCGCGGTATATCAAGCGGGGCAGGCGCCTGAGCCGACCATCTTCGGTGTCCTGGCGCCACGTCAATACGAGGCGACCAATGCGAGCAACGGGAGCAATACGAATTTCATCGATTGCTGTGCAGGTTCAATACGACTCGTATTGATTATAAAATTCGCTGCTATTGGAATCGCATCGCATGAACTTATCGCAAATCTCAATCAAAAGTTGTTCATGGTACTGCGTATTGCGTAAAGCCTAACTTCAAAGCTCTGAACTTCTGAAGAAGAACAATTCAGCACAAGCTTCTTCGGTACTGTAGGAGCTACCAAGGTGAGCCAGAGAAGAACAAAAGTCCACATCGCACTCCCCTAGCTTTGCTCGTGATCATCGAACCTCCCGCCCTCGCGCTCCGCCTGAATTGTCGCGTCGCCACCTGACTCGCCAGGGCTCGTTCCGGTCTCCTGTCCGGTCCCGGCGACCCCCGGCGCAGCGTTCGTCACCAGCACGCCGTCGTCCCTGGCGAATCCTTCGCCCACGGTGTCGTGGCCGTGGGCTAAACCGGCAGCGGGTCCGTCGATCCTCCCGGAAGTAGTCTCTTGATCGGGAATGGTCTTGCTACTGGATTTTCCCGCCATCGCGCCGCGGTCAAAACCTGGCTCCGCCGGGGAAGTTGTGTCCTTCTTCAGGTCACCGACGTCGGCCGTGTCGTGCTGTTTCTCGACAAAGGAGCTCCACCAAGACCAAGGTCTCAGCGCGTCAGCTCGGTAGAGGAGACGGTGCGCACTCCTGATAGTAAGGTCTATTTCAGGGGTGCTCTCGAGAAAACGATGACAGTCGATTATGACGCAATTCGTCGCGGTTTTCAACTTCCTCGAGCCCCTGCCAGTGATGTATTCCACAATTTTGTTTCTGTGAATGGAAGTGGTCTGCTTCCTGTTTAATTGACGGTGATTCTTCTGGTGTATTGTAATCTGTCGATTTAACGTGTCGAGACTCTTTTCACATTTTTCCGACAGCTTGGTAGGGGGTGGCACTGGTTCAAGATCCGGCATTTCCGCATCGGTCTCCTCCGACGAGGACAAGGACGAGCCGCTCGACTTCGACGGGACGAACTCGCTCGTTATTTCGGTTTCGGTACTATCCTGTTCACGTTCACCTCCACATCCACAAAACAACGACTTGATTCTTTCCTGCCAAGATGAAGGCCGCAGTTCGAATTGCAAAAAATCCGCGTGCGTGTCTTGCGCCGGCACTTTCGCGCTTCTCGGTTTCGCCGCGTCTTCCCGCTCCGTCTTCTTGCTGCTCTCACTATTCACCCCACCAACGTCGACTTCCAGGGAGGACGATGCGGCTCTTTCCATTTCGTCCGACCTGCGATTGCACCAGTCCTTCCGTTCCGCTTTGGAAATCTTCTTATCCCCGTTTTTGTCCGCTCCGCCACGCACCAGCGCCGTGTTCTGCAGGTCGAATATCATCCAAAGCAGGTCTGGCATCGGTGTCATGTCTTTGTTTTTGCCCAGATTGGACACGAATTGAGCAGTGATGGATGTCGAGTGTTCATACCCCCCGGGCAAGATGTGGTCTTGGTCTGGTTCCCCCTTCTGTTTGAACGCAAACGGCATCGGGTCCTGCAGGAACCACGCGGGGAGGGGAGGGGGGGGTAGTTGTCGACGCAGCTACCTTCATACCGGCTTGATCGCCCGCGAACGTAATATCCGGGGCCGCGTCACTGTGTTCCGTGCTGTGAAGGTGTTCCTCCGCAACGGCGACACTAGGCAGCACAAGAAAAGATTTGATGACGTGCCGCATTGTTTTCTGCTACATGCAGCTTTTCAATTATCTTTAAAGAAAAAAAAGAGATCCAGTTTCTTTGAGTTTGTACTTGGCCAACAAGAAAGTTTGTCCGTTCCCGTTGACTACATGTACATACGTGCCTGATGACTATCTTATATATTTATTGGTGGAAATGGTATCCACCTTAGGTGAAGGTGAAGGAAAACACAAAGGAGGAATAAGCACTGACTCTGAAGCAACAAGACCTCGGTCACTGCAGCTTCACACCTCCCCCTCGGCGACGCAACCAAGAATTTCAATATTCTATTTTTTCGTTTTTTCCAAAACACAATACTCAATCATCATTTTATGCAGTTACCGCAGACGGGCCACCCAATGGATGGCCGCTCGGTGGGAGCAGTCCCCCACCACGTCGTCGAGGCGCCCAGGGAGATGGAGCACCTGACCCGCGATGGAAGACATGGACCTCTGTCACACCCCGTAAGAAAAGGGCGGCGCGAGGTCTTAGCGGCCCATCCGTAGTAACGCAACCACCTTGAAACAACTGGGAGGGAGGGCGGGCGAAACAAATACCACCCCGAAATTCGGTGGGTTGTCCTGACTAATCTTCTCAAGTCCTGGCTACCGTACACTAAAGGGCTGAGGGCGGACACGGGCATAAAATACCGCCCGACCATCCTCAGCCTAGACTCACAGGCTCGCTAGCCTGCTGCTGCCCGGGCATACATTTTATGCAGTTACCGCAGACGGGCCACCCAATGGATGGCCGCTCGGTGGGAGCAGTCCCCCACCACGTCGTCGAGGCGCCCAGGGAGATGGAGCACCTGACCCACCGGCGGAGGCCGGATACGCCGAAGCATCCCAAAGAACCCGCTGTGGCGCTTGCGGCCAGTAGATGAATTTGGGAAACCGGTGCGCCCCATCGATGAAGGCGTAGCAACGAACGACGACGGGCTGAAAAGTGAGCCGATAGACTAAGACGCGGGCCTATCAGAAGGGTCCGCCAAATAGAACGAAAAACCGCGATCGCCCAGGCTTAGCATAGCCCCATTACAAACCAATCGGACGAGTCTCGGTCTCGCATAGCGATGGGAGGGGAAGTCCGGATATTTATCTCAAAGCAGATCCAACGAAGTCCAGCGCTCTAGTCAGGGAGAAAGTTCGCAAGGGTAACGGGTTCGAACCGCCAGTGCCAAACGACCCCTCCTCCCATCGCAAAGCGAGACCGACCGCCGTTCCTCGTCCCGAGGACAGAACGGCCAGACAACACCTATCCCGCATAGATAGCTGGCAACGAGACGTTTCCGACCTTCGGAGTCCAAAATTCCCGCACAGCGGACCAAGCTAGACCTTCGGACAAGCGAAAGCCAGAACTTGCGAAAGGCGGAAGCCAAATTTCCCGACAAGCGGAAGCCAAAGTTCGAGGCTCCGAAAAAGCGGAAGCCAAAATTTCCGACAAGCGGAAGCCAAATTTTCCGACAAGCGGAAAGCCAAAATTTCCGACAAGCGGAAGCCAAAATTTCCGACAAGCGGAAGCCAAATCATCCGCAAAGCGGGCCAAACAATCATCCGCAAAGCGGGACTAACGATCATCCGCAAAGCGGGACTAACGATCATCCGCAAAGCGGGCCAAACGAGACTTACTACCAACGGCAGGGGCGTTACTCCCTGGGAACAAGAGAAGGCGAACAAATACCACCCCGAAATTCGGTGGGTTGTCCTGACTAATCTTCTCAAGTCCTGGCTACCGTACACTAAAGGGCTGAGGGCGGACACGGGCATAAAATACCGCCCGACCATCCTCAGCCTAGACTCACAGGCTCGCTAGCCTGCTGCTGCCCGGGCATACATTTTTTTGGCCTTACACAAAATCAGGAAGCAGCTGCAAATCGACACTGAGATTCACGATGAAGTTGTTCTGGAGCTTGTGGTCGTGGTAGGCAATCATCCAATCGGAAATCAGCACTACCTCCAAAAGCGAAAGACACAACTACACAAAGTTGTTCTTTCAGGTGAAAGTCCACCACTTGCACTAGTGGTTTTTTCAAAGAACGGGCAGCTGCAGTCCAGTGATTCCACTTCTAGGCTCTTCGGTGTCGAGTCTATTTCCGCAATCACTGAGGAGCAGTGGAAGTCGTACCTACTTCTAGTGCCGAAGATTGGTGATTACTGGGTCAGCAACATTGTAAGTAATTTTTGTAGCGGTGTCGCTTATTCTTTCGTCAAATCATAATGCTACATCGGAGCAGGGCCCCCACCTGCACCTAGTGCCGGCATGCATAAGACTACAACCATGCATGCATTATCGAGATATTCATCAAAAAGAGCGGTCGTGATTCAAAAACTTTTGCGAGAGTCGTAGGTCGTTATCAGTGCGCCGTGAAAAAAATCATTGGATATCAAGCATCTTGGTCTCCATCTTCTCTATTTGAAAAAGCTAAAGCTATTGAATACGTTGAAAGTAGAGCATCGTTAAGAGTAGAGGGTATGTCGTGCTGGGTTTTGATTGTACCACTATGGTAGTTCTTTTAATATTATCGCAGTCAATTATATAAGGAATTTCCGGCCGCGATTTGCGAGCAATGCGAGCAATGCGACAGCGATCCGAGGTCTTGCGAGTTGCGAGCGCGCAGATCTGTCGCAAGTGTTGCGAGTCGTTCTCGCAAGTTCGTCTGCGAGTGCCCACGCTCGAATCCTAGTTGGGCGCCATAGTAAGTCCTAATCCTATATAACGAAGCTACCTAGTATCTCGGTCGGGGTGGGTGCCGGCAGGTGATGGTGAAAAGATGTCCTCCAACAAGATGCGCCGCAAGTGCGCCGAAACATCAAACACACACCCACACCGGCGTCGTTTCTGAACCTACTTCGCTAGACCTAGCGCGGGCCCCGCGACGGCAGCCTTCCATCATGGCTTCTTTTTTGTTCCCCGAGAAAAATCTAAAACCTAAACACTGCGCTCCTGGGTAAGAGAGCGAAGCCGCCACTACAACAACCCCAGGGCAGGATAACCAGTTTTGTACTTGCAGGCCAGTGCGCCGCCGTGTAGTTCGCGAATCGCGACGGTATGGCGGGGATTTCATTGCTGCGCGCCTGACTGCTGGCAGACCCTCGCGATTTGCGAGCAATGCGGGCAATGCGAGCAATGCGACAAGCCGCGACCGGTTTGCGACTCAATGCGAGTCGCATTGCTTATATAAATCTCTGTTATCGTGTGCAGAAAAAGAACACTTCTGCATCCTGATAATCAGTGTCCTCACGCCGTCCTCCAATCTCAGCGGCCATAATTTTTCCCCGCCAGGTAGCTTACATGGTGACCAGCCGGACCTGTTCCACCACCTGGGAGACGATGTACGGCAAAATTCCCTCCGTCGCCCGGACCTCAATCTGCGTCAGCGGTTTTCCACGCGAGAAGAAGATCGATTCCACGCTTCCCAAGCCCTTGACTCGCTGTCGCAAGTCCAGGAGAAAAAAGTTTTCGTCCATTTCCTGTTTCGTGTCGTCCAGCGCGACAATGCCCTGCGTCGAGAAAAACTCCGGGATATCCGGGATTTTCACGAGACAGGTCAGCTGCTCCGCGATCGGAATGTCCGGCACCATGGTAAACGGTCGCGGGTTGTGTGTCGCGATGTAGGCCCGGGGCGGCGGCCCGACTGCACCGCCTCCCATGGAGTCCCGGGTCGTGTTTCCGCGTTGCTTTTCCCGCTCGCGATCCACATTACGAGCGCCACGATCCCCCGCGCGGGGCTTGGAGGTGTGGTCGCGGGTCTTGCCAGCTTATGACATGCGCAAAAGTACTTCTAGGCACCTCACTGGCGGCGCATGCGCAAGCTACAGCTTCAGCTCCTTCATCTTTACGAAGATATCGAAGTTCTTTGCGGTGTCTCACCATCAGAAGTGCGAGCTGCGAAGGGCTATGTACTATGTATCACTATGCAACATTAGCATGACATACGTCAGCACAGAATAAAAGTTTGCCGAAATAACTTGTCATGCATATTTCTGTAAGCGTAGTATAAAACTTTTGCAAGTCATAGGCCACGATGCGAAATCTCGTCGTCCTGTCGGTCGGCAGTGGTCGTCTTCGAATCTTGATTACGACGGGAGAAGCTATGGATTGCAAAAGTGTCTGGGTCTGGAAAGATGCAAGTTTTGTCATGCAGGTTTTCCATGACCCATAAGGTCTGGAATGCGGGAGCTAGCATGACACATTCTGTGAGGTCGTTATCATGCCTACTCTGCATGAGAAACTCCCTCTCCACTCCTCGTCGATAGAAAGTGGACAGCCTTTGGCACTTATGCAACACAGATTTCTGTATGATTCAGATCTAGCATGACAAGTTGCAATCTTCCAGACCCAGACATATTTGCAATGCGTAGAAGCGGTTCTCTTGCGATTCCTCGTTGGTCTGTTGTGGTTGGTTGTTGCCATCATTCTTGTCACGACTTTTGATGCAGCTCTTGTTCCTGTTTCTAGAAGCAGAGATAGAGCGGCCAGAGCGAGACGAATCTGCGCGACTGTTGTTTCTGCTTTTGATGTCAACACTACCACGCTCGCTTTTTGCGTCTTCATCGCTTTGATGTTCGTGTTCCCGACTTTTATGGAAGAACGGATTGCGTCGCGACGAATCCTTGGTGTTTTGATTCAACAGACGTTCTCTCTCTTCCTTCAGTCTCTTCATGGCAGCCAATCTACCCTCCCCACGAAACTCGCTGCAACTGCGACTGCCGTCGGATTTTTCGCTGTCGGTTTGTATATTGTCGAGAAAAGCCCGAATTTTTTTCGGCTTCACCGGCCGCGGCTTGCGACTCTGGTCGTCGATCTTCCCCGGTGTAATATCAGTCGTAGCAGCCGCCGCTCCTGCAGCTTTGGTCCCCCCCGTTGCGGCAGGGTCAGAAGTTTTCAGTAGTGTCTTTGTGTGCAAATCTTGTTGACGACTAGAGGTCCTCTCATCATCATGCTGAGGTATTTGTTTATCGTTTCTATTCTGTCGTTTTTGTTGATGATGCCTGTCAGTTGTACTAGTTCTGGCAGTAGTCTTCATCTCATTGGTAGTTGCAGCTGATGTAGCAGTAGTGGATTTCAAGAATTTGACGTCATTTTCTTGATCAGACGTAGTAGTTACCTTGTTGTGCTGTTCCTCTCGTTATCAAATGCAAATATGTCTGGGTCTGGAAGATTGCGCAAGTTTGTCATGCATGTTTTGGATCACTCAGATGCTCTGGAATGCGCGCAGCAGCATTACAAGTTTTCTTCGGGTGGCTTGATGCTTATCCTGCATGAGAAACTCGCTATTTGCGTAGCAAAAAGTTGACAGCTTTTGGCGTTCACGCAACACAAATTATTGTGTAATCCAGAGTTTGCATGACAAGTTCGGATCCTTCCAGACCCAGACATTTTTGCAATGCATACCCGCCCGCGACGGTCGTCTCGCTCGCGGTCCCGGCGACGATCGTCCTCACGGTCACGCTCTCCTCGACCACCACGGTCACGATCTTCTTCCCGGTCACGATCCTTTCCCTTCCCCTTCTCGCCGCCAGACACCGCCGGAGGACCCGCGTTTTCGTAACCCCGGTTTGCCTTGTCCTCTTTTGCTTCGTCCATCTGTCTCCGCCGCTGCTCCGACTGCGACCGGTCGTCGTAAAACACTTGAAAGACGTCGTTCAATAAGTTCACCACTTTCATCACGTCGGTCAGCTTGCCTGTCAGTTCCAGCTATGCACTGCAAAAGTATCGCACTCGTAGTATCAATCGCAGTCAAGGCGCATTACAAGAACAAATCTACTTCTCGAAGTAAATCCGCATCACACATTTCATGTCTCACGCTGCGGAAAAAAAAAATTGTCATGCGATTTCTACCAGTGCGACCCTTTTGCAAGAATGCATACCAGCTCCGCGTCGAACTGTTGCTGTACCGGCTTGCTGTCGATCTGCACGTCCACTCTGTAGTGTTTCCGCAGGTGCTGGATCCGCGCGCCTTTCGTACCAACGACCAAAGCCATCAATTTCGTGGGGGCCAGGAAAATACACTTGTACTGATCACGATCGGTCTCCGGGAAGACGAGCTTCATCACGTTCTTCATCGCCAAAGCGCACTGGTCAATCGCGTGGTCGTACCCCGCGAGCTGGATCATTTTCATTTCAGAACCATGTTAGCTGCACCAGTAGAAGATGGAGGGTCCTCTGCATCGTAAATCCATCGAAATCAGCGTGTACGAGAACGCATCACAAAGTAAAGATAATACGGAAGATCTTGTGGAGGTCCTTCTTCTCATGCACAACGATCTGCAAGATGAACACAACCACAAGCCATCAATACCTGCAGCCTTGGCGAAATACTGACAATGTGATCCGTACAGTTATCTCCACTCGTGAACGGTTTCGCCGACACGTTGAGAAAGACCCCGCAATTGGTGCCAATCTCCCGCACATTCGACCCGGCGACGCCGATGATCGCTTTTTGCGCGGAGTAGGGCACGAGAACGCGCAGCGAGTTCGCCCGTCCCTGGGCAAATTTCGGGTCGTAGTTGTCTTCCATCCCCGGGCCCTTGCCCTTCCCACGGGCCCCTTTCGGCCCGTCGCGATCGAAGTGACCACCTTTGTACATCCCGCGGTCACGCGAACGGCCCCGACGGGCATCGCGGCTGTCGCGACGGCGCGGGGGTCCATCTTTTCCGCGACGGGGGGAGCGATCCCGACGGCCGCGCGAATCCCCTCCCATTGCTTCAGCGGTTCGTCTGATAAAATAGGTTGATACGCTTTTACCTTTACGTATGATGTTGCTCGCCACAATGCAAGCGTAAGAGAACAAAGAAATGACAAAATAATAAATTCAAATAACTACGGGTGTAGAAAACTATTGATGGCGTGGTCGTTACTATTTCAAAATTCCTAGTAGTTCCAGTTTCTTGTGCTCCCTCATTTAGATTTACAGAAGGTGGGAATGCCGTTCTTTATTGTGTAACTCCTCAGGTCGAAGAAGATGAAGATGAAGATGTTGCCAGGCAATGCGGTTCCTGTTTTTCGAAGAGTTGGAAGAAAGGAAACGCGCAGTTAATCAATCCAGCTAGAACAGCAATCGTACGAGGGCACCAGATCGAAAATGATCGCCAAAATCACGGCTCGTCTTCACGAGATAAATGAAAATGTGATTCATCCAATGCGCAGCAGCTCTAACTTTATCGCGCCGGAAATGGAAACTTACAAAGACGCAATGGATCATCCTCTTCGCATTCGCGTTTTGACAAGGATCTTCATGGCGTAGGTCTCGCATACACTGTTCGCGGCTCGCTGATAAAGATGTTGAAAAAAAACGCTGACTTTCAGGTGTTGCTCCTTGTATCGCTCTTTTCGGAAAGACGGAGTAACATGATTGGCCTCCGACAATAAAAAAAAATCACATTGCAACAACATGCGCGCTACTAGCTGCACTAGTAGAAGCAGGCTCTTTAGCTTGTTCAGATCAGCGACCACCTGAATCTCAGTCACTTCACAATAATCCTCGATCAAGAGCAGGTGCACGGGATGGCATGAAGGAGAAGGAGGGCCTTCCAGATCAAGGGGATCGGTTTTGCTGCACAATGGAGCAACTTTTTTTTGAACACAAAGAAACCATGACACTGTGACTATTATAGCACCAGCAACTTCCACAACTGCTTGTGAAGATTCGTCGTGAGATGTTTTTTGAAGAACCAAAATCTTTAAGTGACAGATTTTGGTTTACTTTCAACAGTTCTTCATCAGTGACTTCCAGGCTTTAGGAGGTCGTGTCGTCCGGCCTTCATAGCGTCGGGAATTGGCCGCGTTCTTCTTGCTGCAGTTTTAGTATTTTATTCAGGACGAGCACCCGCACATCAAAACATCATGGTTATTGCAGACACAGCATATCGATGAAGCTAAGGCAAAAAACAATTGCAGCCTGCCTCTACTTCACTGTCCCCAGCCAGTGTGCTTATTCATCTTTTTCTCCAACAGCTGTGGCCACGGTTCCTGGTCATTTTCCTTTATTAATTTGAACACCAGTCTGCACTTGTCGCTGGAAACTTTGTAGCTGTTTTTGTCCGGAAGGATCTTCGCGTGGAATGGCTGATCCCGGACGAGAAAGCGGTAGATCGTGTTCTGCGCTTCCACCAGCACGTTGAGCTCCATTCCAAGCCCGTCTTCTTGGTAGGTTACCTTTAGAAGTAGGTCGGTTTTTTATTTGAGTGCTGTGCAGAAAAAATTCATAGGGTTGTTCCTTATCCTTCACATAGCCTGTAAATATCAAGATCAACTCGGACAGCATGCAGAGTATTAATGTCATTCACCATGGTCTTCCGTGCGGACACTATGGAAGGCTGTCACACCGTGGCAGATGATACACGATGGCACCACCTAGACATAGAGCAACGGAAAGCATAGATATCCCGAATCGATATAGCGAGTGGAAGAGAAACTACAAATACACAAAGAGCTCGACTTCATTTATAAAAGTCTTGTACCGTCACAGTCCCCTGCTTCAGGATCTCCGGATCCTCGAAGTCTACGTGGAGTTTCACGTTCTTATTCCCGTCTTCAAACATGTATTTTTCCACTTTTTTTATCCTTCTTACCGGCTCGCTCTCGTCCCTCGCGGCGGCTAGTCTCGGAAAATACCGCTCGTCCTTCTCATCCAATTTTTCCGGGTTGCCGTATCCTGAGGAAAAACGTCCCCACACCAGAGTCAAGATGGGGAAACCGCTAGACAAATCGGCTAGCTTTGGTTGTTTCGCATGACAAATTTGTCTTCGTATTGTAATGCTGTTTAGGTAGTTCAGCAGCATCACAGATCTACCATATGTTGCTGATTATAGCATCACAAATTCCAAAACACGACTAGCAAATGCTTCTCATGGGGCTCCGCAACAGAAATTTTTTTGGCATGCACATTTGCATGACAGCTCTGGGAGGGTGGTGACGTTCTTACACAGGATATGCCGTCCGGATTACACAGGTTCTTCCCCTCCAACTTTTTCGCTTGGGACAAGTCCTCCCGCGGCCGGTTGTGCGCGTGGTAGTAACTCAGATCCTTCTTTTCCTGCAACGACTGCTCAATCGCGCGCTTCTGCTCTTCGGTCTGTTGTTCCGCGGGAGCAGGAGGCGATGTCGCAGGCGATTCGGTCATTTTGAATGCAGCTTGGTGCGTGTAGTACAAAATTTGCGATACGATTCGATAGCTAAATGGAGGTCGTGGTGAATATGAGTTATTAAAAATCGCGTCAGGTGGTGTGGTGCGCAATGAGAAATCGTGTGGTTGACCACGCGTCAGTAGAAGTGGACCAAGCAGCGAGCTACAATCTGCAGAAGTCTTCAAAAATAATATCAGAAAAAGTGGAACTTTGTACGTAGTTTGATTACTTTTCCTTTGATGCGTCGATGAATCTGCAGATCATTCTCATGTCACATGGTTTAATTGTTGTTCGCTGTGATGAAGAAAAAAAATCAGGCGCACATCAACTAGGGAACATTTTTACCATGATACCGCCCGCCCGCTGCGACCAGCCGCTTGGCTATGTTAAGAAGACAGAGAAAATTATCCCTGCAACTTCTGGAAGCAGGAGCCGACAGGTAGAAATAAGATCTCGTCACCGCAGACAGTGGCTGGTGTGCACGACACTTTTCTGACTCACTCATAGTTTTGTTTATCTTCATCGCAGACGGCGCAGAGGCAGACTCGCAACCAGTGTCAGCTACCACCACAAGCCAGAGCAACTTCCGAATCTTCATCTGCCCGGTCGTTTCGTTGGTCTTAGTATCCACTTTTCCACTGCCTGACGGTGACTTTTTCGAATAGAACCTTATATTTGTTGAAATGCATTTTTCACTAGTGAAAATGGTTTTCATTTTTTTCTATTTCACAGACATAAATAATTTCAGTCCATCTTCTCGAAGGGAAATGATAGAGATTTTTGCAGCTGAACGAGACAATTTTATTTCAGAAGTGCATTTACATTTGGCACGAGAACAGAGCTATTGGAAAAATTATGAGATGCAGACGATAAAAGAAGAGATTTAAGAGTATCACTTTATCGCTGCAATAAAGCTCAATGGAAGTTTTACATTTGGCAGAATGAATTTCGCAAACTCTATTTCAAACGAGATGACGAGCAGGTACAAAATCATTGTGATTTCCTAGTGCAAAATTGGGCTTGTCACTGCAGAAATCAGAAAATGAAATCCAAATCGACTCGAGCCATATGAAGAATGGACTCTGAAACTTTAAGGAGGATATTAGATGAGTGCGAGTTGGAAATGAAGCCAGTAAGGCTCCTAAAAGCTCCACTCCACACACGGCACTGAATCAATCTAAAAGCTGTTCTAGAAACACATAAACAGTACAGCACGCTCCAAGGATAAAGTAAGTTTGTCTTATTAACAAAGCGGTAGTTAGTTCATCGTATTGACAAAACAAATGTTTGTGTTATCAATACTTTCGCCTCACAAGAAGAAGTTTGTAGGAGTGCTACAGAGTCGCGTCATCGAGGAGATTACAGGGCGCGGCATCACAATCAATATTCTCAAGGGTCGTCATGTCAACATATCAAGTAGTGCAGGGAGGAAAGAAAAAATTCTCAAAACGATGGGCTGCTGCTGCAAGTGCAACTATAGTGAAAATAAGATGTTTTCGATAGCAGTTGCGGCATGTGAACGAGGCCATGTAGGTCGAGGGAAGAGGCTCGAGGGAAAAAAAGGACAACCACTCCTGCTGACTTCACGCAAAATTGACACTGCTGACTTTCATCCGCACGGAGAACCATGAGTATTCGCCAAAAAACGCGTAGCCGAGCATCCGCAGAAATTCCCGGGACCGGGTTTCCATCAGGTCATGCTTCTGCCGCGGGGAAAGCTGCATCCTGCCGCCGCGCATCACGGGATACCTTTTGATGTTTTGGCTTGGTATATAACAATCACACTTGCATCATGCAAAGTGAAATATCTACCTCCAATGAAAGCTCTTCCTCAAAAGTACGCAAAATCAGAAGATCTTCAGACATCTTCAATAATGAAAGATCAAGAGCCAGCTGCATCGATTGAATACTTAGCAAACATATACCCCAAAGCAATCGCCTGGGGGAGCGTATCTTGGTCGTTGGCAACGAAGACGTCGGTGCAGAGGGGCAAAAAAGCCTGTAGAAACTGGTCGAAACCGGGAATGGGTGGAGGGGTAATATTGGCTTGATGCGGAAGGTTTGTTATCTCCGTTGTACTAGTGGTTCTGTTTCCAGCTGCCAGGAAGTTGGTTTGTTCCAAAGTAGAACTACTACCCGCACCACTGACAGCAGTCGAGGAACCACCTCCAGTCATCGTGCTCACATTGGAATTGTCTCCCGCACTGCTCGCGGGAGAGGAGCCCGGAAGGTCGACCAGAATGTGCTCACCACCTACGCCAGCATCTGCACCGGACGGCGGTGGTGCGCCACCTGGTAGTTCACCACCTCCCGCAACAAGCTGCTGCGCAGCCGCGGTCATGTTGTGTTTGATTTTCTCCACGGATACATAGTCTCTCGACAAGGATCCCTGGTAGACGAGCTTAATTTCCACTTTCCACTTCTCCAGGGCTTTGACAAACTGGTTCACGTGCTTGCTCGTCCGGGAAAAATTCGAATTAACTTGCTGATGTGCAGCACCAGCTGGTCCACCACCAGTCGGGTGGTTGAAGTCCAATCCCGGGGGTTGCACCACGTGATTCCGCACGAGAATCTCGTTCATCAGCTGCCGATATGAAATACAAATATGTCTGGGTCTGGAAGGTTCCGAGATTTACCATGCAGTTTTTCCAAGCTCCGCCAAGTCTGCAATGCAGGGCCTAGCATCACAGGTTCTGCAGCCTCTTAGTGATGCTTGTTCCGCATGAGAAATGCCCTCTCAGCATGAGCAGAAGTGAGCATCTTGCGCAAGTCACGCAACACAGATTTGTGCAGGATGCGGGACACGCATCACAAGTTCCCAGCCTTCCAGACCCAGAGGACATATTTGCAATGCATAGCCGAACGCGAGTCGCTTCCGCGGCCACCGCCCAATTTTCCAGTTGAGAACTGATTTCCCGGATAAAAAGCGTATGCACGGCAAGAAATATGTCTGGGTCTGGAAATTTGTGATGCTAAAATGTGCATGATGAAAATACTTGCTTATGCAGGAAAGCATGAAAAGTTTGCAGAGCGCTTTCCCTTTCTCATAGGCAGCCCGCATGAGATTGAGAAACTGCGTTTTTGCATGCAAAAATGGCTGCGATAATTGCTGGTCACGCATTACAGAGTTCACAGGAATGCAAGACCAGCATTACAAGTTCCAACGTTCCAGACCCAGACACTTTTGCATTTCATAAAGCGCAGACTTGATCAATTCCAGATACTCCGTCTTCCCAGACTCCGCTGAGTGAAACCGCAGCCACACGGAGTTCTTCTCCCGGCTTGATGTTTTCATCGAAGGCGGCTGCTGTGATTTATTGCCACCACTTTGGCCGCCTTGATGATGCCCCGAGGTGGAGGACCTGCTTTGGTTGCTAGACTGCCGCTCGAGATTCAGTTTCTGTAGGGGAAGGGTTTGATGTTGACCAAGCTGCTGTTGTACCATGATGTGTTCACTTGTTACCCCAGAAGATGCTCCGGGCGAATTCGACGGGGACTGGCGTACGGGTGAAGCCGAAGGAGATTGCCGGGGCGGGGATCGTCGAGGCGGGGAATTCGGAGCTCCTGTGAGGGTCATCTTCAAAGCTGGAGGCGTGGCCGGAGATGGAGATGAAGCAGACATCGACGCAGGATGAAATTGCACACTGTCCGGGCTGTTATGTAGTTGCGGTGATCCATTATTTAGAGGAGTCGGAGATGAAGTTGTCCGTCGTTCATGATCCGAAGAAGTAGCGTGCTGCTTGGTCGTGTTCTCCTCGCGAGGAGACGGGCGCGGGGAGGGCACCAAAGCCGCTGCGGTACTACTAGCAAACACTTGGTCGGGTAGAGTAACGCCGGACGTCGGGCGAGTTCGACTATTCAATATTCCGCGATCTTCCCCTCCGCTGTCATTTTTCATCAGCGGCTGTAAGTTCTGCGCTGCGGCCGCGAGCAGAAATCCCGCGAGAATGCACAGCAATGCGCACAGAATCAGCACCAAACACTGCATCTTTTTCGAGCTAGCGAGAATAGCGAGGAAAGTCGTATCTTCGACCTCTTCATCTTCAGATGAGCAGTCTGGGTGCAGTTCGTGGCCGGAATTTTTTTTACTTCCGTGTTTTAGAAGTTTCGACGACGGTGGCGGTACAAACATTGACCGACGGGAGGATCGTGTCGAGTAGTAATACGCCGCGTCGTTGTAGCTGCTGCGGTTCATCTTTCTGTGGTAGTTGCCGCTCATCTTCCGATGTATGCAATACAAATTTCCCGTACATGTACAACATACATCACAAATCTCACCAATTTGGAGCGTAAAGCTTGTCGTGCTAAACTAGGATCGAAGCCAAGTTTTGTCATGCAGAGACCGCATCTGTACGTGTACGGGAAATTTACTGTGGATACGATGGTGCTGAATATTATGGCCATGAAGATCTTCTTCGCGACTAGAGTTGCAGCTTTGATCGTTGTTCATCATGATGTTCTTGTTGTACATCTTGATCGCTCTTTCAGCTTCGTTCCCCTGCCCTTCGTGCCCAGTCATGGTCCGGTTGTACATGTTCGTTGCCGCGCCCGCAACCCGCTTACTTGCGACGGAATGGTGGAACAGGAGGTCAGGCGTCTGTTGTTCATGGTCGTTATCATGAATATCGTTTTCTTCTGCATCGATATCAGCGTCAGAAGAGAGCAAGTGATTGTGCTCGGACGGTCTGGAGATGCGGTTGCGGGCATTTTTCGTGATAGACGTGTTCCTGGTGTTGTTGGTAGTTGTGCCGTTCTTGTTTCCACCCATCAGGAGGTTGTGGCCACCGATGTATTTGGTGTAAGTTGTTTTCGCAGTGGTTCCATTTTTCCCATGGTGTTGCACCATCGCCCCGGCGCGCCGGCCTGCGGCATGGGGAGGGGCTTCCAGGTTTTGCCCCGGTCCAGCCCCAAACTCATGCTGCTGTTGCGAATTAATATACCCGTGATTTTTACTAGCTCCACCAGACGCTGGCCCAAAATGCATGTTGCCATGTTTATTCGCCAACATCTGCTTATTTTTCGTGCTATGATGCTGAAGATGGTGCAGCGAGGTGGTCATGTAGCTATCGTGAAGATGATCATGTTGACCACGGCCGCCTTTTCCACCTCCGTGATGATACTTATGAAAACCGGCACCGCCGGCACCCCTTTCCGAGTCGTGATCCCAATAAGTAGATGAAGCACGCTTAATATCATTTCCAGCACGAAAATTATGCCCACTGCTCCGGCCGAAAATGTGGTGCATATTCTTGCCTCTAAAATCTTCATGATGGTTTTTTCCGCCGGCGGAGGACCGCTTATGATTCCCCCGTCGCCCACCTCCAGAAGCCATGATGCTGCTCTGGTCCTCTCTTTGCTCATCAGATAGAAGCATTGGACTCGACGACACCAATGTCGGGCTGTACCGTTCGCAAAAGATGTTACGACGGGTAGAGGAATGACGATGTAGTTGCTGGTGCTGGTGGCCATGCAGTCCACCATGATGTTGACCGTTGTATACTGAAGAACCTCCACGACCTCCACGACCAGGAGCATAATTCTTACTGTTCTGATTTGACGCAATGCTGCTGGACAGACTTTCCCGGCCGGTCAACGAGTTCTTGAAATTGTGCTGCTGTTGAACAATCCGCACGTCCGGGTCCACGAGCAAGCTTGGGCTGGGGTACTGCCGAAAGTGGTAATTCCCAACATGCTTTTCCAACAACTCAGTCTGCTGCTTCGGCTTGATGTTCGACGGTTGCAGCTGTTGTTGTTGACCCAGAAGTTGTTCTTGTTGAGATGCTCCACCTAACACGCTAGATTGCGGCTGCAGCTGCTGTGCTGATTCTACTACACCGTCTACTTCCACCGAAGACCTGCCGCGCTCTTGCTCGTGGTCAACGACGTGGTGGGAGTTCAGCAAGTTCATATTTTCGTGCCCGAGTGGTCCTATCAACTGTAAAAATGTCTGGGTCTGGAAGAGTTCATGTTTGTCATGCTTGTCTGGCATGACTCTTAAATCTGTCATGCACGTTACCCAAGAGCCCCGCTTTTCTGTGATGCAGAAGCGCAGTTTGTCATGTTGGAAGGCTAAGGGCAGGGCGTCCCATTCGTTTATAAACTTAAAACGGTAGCCACCTACCCAGCAAACTCTGAGTGGCATAAGCACGGGCAAAGCGATCACTACCGAGAGACAGCCACAAGAGCTCCTGGGACGGCTGCGGGATGAGCTTTGTAGCTATCTGAGTAGGGATAACTTTGCCGGCAGACCCACCAGCGCTGAGGGATAAAAGAAAAGAAAAAAAGCGGTAAAGTCATCTACTATGGCACAGTCCTAGATACGAAAAAACCCATCTTAAAAAAGTGAGGCAAGATGAAATGCAGTTGCTTTCATGGCGAGCAGCCGCAAACAAGGCGAACTGTCGCTGCGGACAAATGCAAACACGTCCGCAACCGAGGGAGCAGAGATAGAACCGCGCACACCACCGACCGAGACAGCATCAGATCATGCAAAAGGCCGGAACAAGCCCGAAAAACCAAGGGCGGAGCAAGAGCAACTACATTACAAACCCCAAGACGGGAAATAAACTATCTAACCCAAGCTACTAAGTATATTTTACCTTGACTAACACTAAATACTAGCGCGCGTCTACACTGATCCACTTCTGCCCGTACCGTCTTTAGCCTGACTTTCTCGACCACCCTAAGAAGTGGCTCGAAATTCATGACCAAACAAGAGAAAGCCAAGGACTAAAGTGCTCTCTATTTTCCGCGTCTTAGATGGTTGTCCATGGGTACGGGTGCTAGCTCACCTAGGACAACCACGCGAAAAATACGTGGATTACAACACTACAGCTACTACTTCTACGTCGAAGTCTCTCATAGACCCATGGCACAGACAGAGGAACACGAAAGCCACAAGGAACGAACAAGCTCTAATCGAGCTGGCCACTGTAGTGTCAGTTCCCATGCACGTCAAAACTGAAAACGTTAGTCGTCTGCTCAGTCTCTGTCCCGTGCAACCACATCTACATACATAATTTTCACATGCATAGCGGACAATCAGGCGTGAGAAAGTCTTCTTGTTGAAGAACGCCGGTGGCACAAAAGAAAGCGACACAAGAAGAAAACCGACACAGAAGCGCAGTTTGTCATGCAGAATAGGTAACAACTAGGAGCTCAGAGACTTGTCATGCTGAGCCAGCATTTGTAGCCTCATCATGAGACGCCACCCAGCATCACAAGTTTCCAAACCCAGACATTTTTACTTTTGATAGGTCCGTGATCGGGACTACTGTCTTCCTCCAGCTGGATATTTTCTTCCTGCTCGCCACGATGTGGGTGGTCGGCTCCTGCTAAACTACGCCCGACGACACTTTGCAACAGAGATCGCTTCGTACTACTCATGTTGTTGACGTTCATGTTCATCCCACTGCTAGTATGCAGTTCCTCGCCTGTAGACACCAAATGGCGACTTTCGATCTGGGCTTCGTCGTCTTCAATTTCGATCATAGCAGCAGGAGGCCCTCCTGGTGGTCCTCGCAGTCCAGAATTTATTTGAGTTCCACCCACTGAAGGTTCTCCAAGAGCAGGATTCACCACTCCGCCCAAATTTTTATGGCTCATCACATTTTTATCTTCATCCAGTAAAAAAATGTCCTGTCGCGCGTCCTGTTCTTCCTCGTCGTCGCCCGGACTGAATCGTCGGAAGTCTTCTTCACTCGTGCCCGCACCTCCACCACCCCGACAAGTCCCTCCGCCAAGACCGAAATTTCCTAAACTCGTTGCTGTGGTGTCTTCCACCAAAACCATGTATGGCGTTCTCAAACGTTACATTCTCAGCTGTTACCTGATTTGTCATGCAAAATGACCATGAGCCACAAGACGTTCCAGCTGCTTCACATGACAAGTTCTCGAATGGCTAGCCAGCGTCTAAATCTGTGCCAAATCTGTCACGCAAGACGCGCAAGCTCCCTCCTTTCACTTTTGCCATTCTTGCATCACAAATTCATGTAACAGTTGAGAATGTAACAGTTGAGAACGCCATACCATGCGCGAGGGCGTTATGTTCGTCGTCGCAAGGGAGGAGGAAAGAACCGCGGAGGGACGCGGGGAAGATTTAGAAATGTTGGAGGTGTTGGATGAGGCTGATGGATTGATGACGTCCTCTTTGCTGACGGAGCCTTCGGTCTGATGCGGGACGACACTCATCTGGTCGTGCAGGATCTTGTTACTTGGCAAAGCTATGCTGAGTAACACGGATACTGGTCTGCTACAAGTCCTCTTGCAAGCGATCGAAGACCGAGAAGTCCTCTTGCAATCGACAACCGTTTGTTGTGATTCGGGTGCGACGTCGGCGGCGGCCCCAAGCGAGCAGTACTAGCAGAGAAGTCTTCTTAGGGCGCGACCTCTTCCACTGCTATTTTTTGCCCGTTCTGTATCATGTTGGTGCGCCCTGCTGCAGCTGGGGCTTTATGTACTCTTTACAAGGCACGACTCTACTTTTGCTACGCGCCTAAGTCTTGAGCGGGTGATTTGCGTCAAGGACAGCAGCACTCGAGGAAGTTCATCACTTCTGACCGAGATTTTTCATAAGCACAAGCAGACATCATCAAAGGGCTGCAGGCACAGTAGAGCTACGAAGATCATAAGCAAATTGAGAAATAAGCACCGAATCAACGAAATGACCGACCACGGAAATGAATGAAATCGAACAGCGGCGTCAGTTCATCAACTCTATCGGCAATCGATGCACGTTGCAGCTTAGCACCGATTCTACAACATTTTGCTATCCATTGCCATTCACTGCTAAACACACTTGCGTCCCCTCGTCCAACAGATAAAGCATTCCATCCGTGGCGGTCCTCCGATTCCACATATTCCAAAAGCGAGTGCAGCGGTGAGAAAGATACGACATATGTAAAAGTTTTGTACAATACATTTTTCTTAAATTATTCGGTGAGCCTGCTTTCCTACCAAAGCCACGACTCACTGTCGCCTATGGTGTGATACTCAACATTTTTCAAAAAAGTCCTACTTTCAATTGTTGAATTCTAGTAAATATTTTTTTTCTTCTGTTGCATTATCCTTGTCCTTCTTCATGTTGACTGATTTCTTGGAAATCCAAATGTTGCTGTAGACTTCTTTTCACCTTGGGCATTTGTCTGAAAATGTAAAAGCATTTCTGGCAAGGTCGAATACTCACTGTGTATAGCCACACAGTCAAAAAATCGGCGGAAACTTCTAGTAGTTCGCTGTGTCTGTATATATTACCTCCTTTGCATCTTCACTAGATCTCATTGCTTCATCTTCTTCAACTACTCCGCTAAACGTAAAACTTAAACTGGCTCTTCTATCTCTACCTCCGTACTAGTAGAGGCACTACGTGATAACAATTGCTAATCCGTTGATAATATGAGAAGTTGTTGTAAAAGTAAAATTGACTCTTGCTAAACCTGATCAAAGTCCGATACTCTGGTGCTTCTGAGCTAATTATTGCTGTTGGTAAACGCTCCAATCAAAAGTACTAGGTAGTACTTGTTCATCTATTTTCTGTGTACCTCTCCTCCTCTTCGCCTTCTGCTTGCTCTATTTCCCGCCCCCTGTTCATCACACCTCGTCGTGAACGAGCGAACTTTTCATCTTCTTCATCTTCTGCATGAAAACGGCCTGCTTTTCCACAATCTGATCGCATCTTTTCAACTCGGCCGGCGAAAATCCGTGTCCGATCACCCCCGCCTCCGGGTCCGAGCAGAACCGGTAATTTACCCCCGCCGCAATTTTCCCGAACTTGACAAAGTGGCTGGGCGCGTCAACCAAATGGAAGGAGGACGGAAGTTCGTTGCTCCACAGCCAAACACCCCAATTCGTATCCTCCGACTTTCCTTCCCGCAGCCGCTCCGGGTGCCGTATGGCATTCTCAAGCGTTACATCCTCAACTCCTGTTACATCAATTTCTAATGCAAGAATGGCAAAACTGAAAGGGGTGAATATTGCGCCTTTTGCATGACAGATTTGGGACGGACTCTAGTACTATTTAGCGCGTCGAGAAGTTGTAATGCGAAGAAGGCTTGATCGTGTGAAAAGTGATAGCGTTTTTGCATGGCAAATCGTGTAACAGTTGAGAGTGTAACGTTTGAGAACCCCATATGTCGCGCGACGTACGCCGCCACCCGATGCGTTATCGCGACACCGGAGGCACCAGATGGGTATTCCGGGTAGTAGTGCTCATTGTAGCCGTACTGGTCCTTGTACTGGCTCTCCATCCTGTTCTTGCCCTTCTTGTATGCTGTGCAAAAAGTTGATGTATCGCGCTCGTAGTAAAAGTAATTATTGTAGTGGTCATGCAGGACAAAACCCTCTACCTGATTTGCTATGACAAATTGCATTTCGGTCCCTTAGAAAATTGTGAAAACTGTCATGCCATTCATACATAGTGCGATACTTTTATTTTTGTATCTGCATATCTTGTCATGCAGTAACGGGTAGAACTCTTCGTCGAACGACGGATCCCCGTTCTTTCCCACGTCCAAAGCCGGTTGCTCGTAGTTCACGTTGCCGACGATCAGCCCCGGTATCCCCCAGAAAAAGACCGGCAGGCCAAATTTGTAATGCAAAAGTAAATATAACAAAAAAATACGCATTACATGCCCTAAACAGCATTCTATGGCTTTCGCCCATGACAGATTTGCCTGTGTATCTATTGTTGCATTACAAATCTGACCTGCCTGCTTTTTTCTGTGGGATACCCGGAGTTCCGTGGTCAAACTTCGCCCCAAAGTCCGTCTGCGGATGTTTCTTCAGTTTCTCCTTCTCGTCGGCGAGCAGCTGCGTCAGATACTTCTGCAGCGGCCGAAACTTCACGTACACATCGTCGTCGACCTTCACATATGCATTGCAAAAGTATCGCACTCGTATAAATGCATTTCCTCAGCATGAGAAATGAAATTTGTAATGCAGATTTAACTTAAAAAAAGATTTGTATATGCATGACTGCAATACGAGTACGATACTTTTGCACAGGATATCACAATCCAGTCCAGAGTCGGATCTTTTTCCAGGAGCCACGCGATGGAGAGCTTCACTTTCTTGCTGATCGAGAAGTAGGTATCCACGTGCGGCAACAACACCACATCCCCGTGCAAATCTGCTTCGGATTGTAGCGTTGCGTTGATTTTCCTCTCCTCGTTCGCTAGTTTCTTGTACTGTTCCTGTCTCGACAGCTGCCACGTGTTTGATGCAGGAGTTCCTGCTTTCGAAGTTGTGCCGTCCTTGTCCCATACATTCATCAACGCTGGGGACTCCGTGCAGTCCCATTTTGCAACTCGCATCTTTTCGGGCACTTCGCAACCCCGGGCGCCGACCATGAAGTACGCGATTTTGTTGTTGTATTTGCTGTTGAAGTTTTCCAGTTTGCTCTGCGGGTCGTTTGTTTGCTTGCTCTTGTCGTCACCTAGTACAACTTGTGGTCCTCCTCCACCTCCTGCTCTTCCGTGATACGTCGGGTTCTGCACGAAAAGCAACTGGTCCACGGGGTCCTTGTACAACTGAGGGTGCGTGTTTTTCTGCACCTTCAGCCACGTTTCCCGCAGCGCTTTCCTCGCTTCCCAGTTGGTTCTGCCGGAGAGGACCATCAGGATTATTTTTGGATTTGCCTCGATGAGAACTTGGTTGGAGAACATGTTCTCATCTTGTTCTGCTTGTTCCCCGGTGGTCGACGCCTTCGTCGTCGTGTCCAGCAAACCTACTGCAGTGCCTGTCGAGGTGGAAGATTTGATTTTTGCTCTGTTCCCAGCTGGTAGCAGATCTTTCAGCGGCGTCATTCCGTTGTGCAACATCGTTGCGGGGGTCGTAGAGCTTCCGAACAAAGACCATGATCCGCGACCTGTTGCAGCTGCAGCGGACAACTTTGAAGAAGCTCCTGCCGAGAGTTTTTGCGACACCTGCAGTGCCGACACCCCGTTGATTCTACTGGTGCGAGCCCTGATGTCATCTGCTTCCTGTTTCAGCTTCTCCTTGTCCCGATTATGGATGCTGTCCTCGTCGGAAAGAAAATTTTGGTTCGCATTTGTTCCTTTTGCTGCTTTATTTCCGTAGTTTATTTTTCCTTTTCCACCATTATCTTTGTCTTTCGCTTTACTACTTTCCGGGAACAGCCGTTGCAAAAACCGTTGCCTCCGGAGCTGCTTTCTGCGGTTCTGAACCAGGCGAAGGGTTTGCAAAGTCGCGTCGTCCTCCAACGCGTCTGCTTTGGGCGCGCCCGGAAAGTCATGCACGTGGCGGGGCAGAGAAAAGGTAGACGATTTCAGCGTCGCCTGCGCGCGGAGGCGGGTGCAAGCCACATCGCGATAGAAGTAGACTGCTGGCGTGTAGTTGGTCCACCACCAGGCGGCCCAGAGGTGGAGACCTAGACTGTGGAGCAATCTAAGCGCGAAAGCTCGCGGCGGGCGCATGCTTTTCGTTCCATCCATATAAGGGAACGGCGTGCGTCCGCGTCGATTTTTTGGATGTGCGCTGCAGCTTCGCTTTGGTCCTCGCGGCGGTGGGGGAAGAAGAAGAAGAAGTCAAAGGAACTCCCGCGATGAACAGTGCGGAAGTACTACCCCTCGAATGACCACAGTCCTCTTCTAAATCTTCACTGATGTTGAAACTACCGGACGGAAGAAGTATCGTTCGAGCGTCGTGAAAAGTGTCAGCCGGGAATACGAATAAATTGTTTCGGTTATTGCCTTCCTGCTGTCTGCTGCAAGGATAAGGAAGGATTTCTATCTCCTCCGCCCGGGTCTGTTTCAGGTGACCGCATCCGCCCGCCATGATAGCGGCCTTCTCATCCTTAAAGCAGCCCGATACTCTGGCTTTATTCTTTCATCGCGGAGATTTAATAGCAAGCTTTATTTGTCTAGAAGGGCTACGTACAACTTCAAGATCTAATTTTACTGTACTGAAGCATGACGAAAGAAGAAAACAGTTGTGCGACGAAGTTGACGCAAGTAGTAGCTGTAGATTTGTTCAACAAGAACGGACACACACGCACGCACATCACAAACACACCTCCTGCCCTCGAGAAATAAAACAACTTCTCACATACAATAACAAAAATAGGCTCTCCTGGTGTACGAGTACGCCAATTTCTTATTCTTCAGGGGCTTGATTATAATTCTCACACCCACTTCAATCTGTCGCGCTCGAGAATCAGCAGGACTTTCCGGCTTGTTCCCCAGCTGTATGTTGAACAGAAACCAGGAAAGGATCTACTCCTGCACGCGGGAATAAAAGAAGGAGGTGCAGAGTCTTGAAGCGCAGAGTCGTACGCTCTTGCTTGCCAAAGGGCAGACAGTTGTGGGCGGGCACGCTGCTAGCTAGCGCCCGTCGATGAATGGGTCAGCCGTCGGCTTCTAATTCTGCCTCTGAATAGATCCGGTGTCGTTTTGGTTTTGTCGCAAAAGCCGTTGTACTTCGGGAGTTGTACGCATTTTTTTGCCACATCTTCATTTACTCGCCATACGTCTTTTTAAGACTGACTTCGTCTCCAAAAGCGGACTCTGTATAGGATGCGAAAATCATAATTGGTCACTATACAGCCCAGTTACACGCGACGTCTGTCCAGCTTTATTCCGTCTGCATGGATCCGGTCTGTAAAGAGCCCAATACGTCGTCGCGGGGAAAGTGGGCGACTAGATTAGCGTCGGTCGCGATCATTTGCTATTCTTTTATCCGTATGTCGTTACATTCTTCGCCAACTACTAGTAAACTAACCGACGCCGCGGTCCTGGTCGTAGACTCATAGACGTTAAGTGATATTATCCGGAAGATGTTGAAGTTGATAAAAAAGTCAGCACTTTGGGAAAATTATAATTGTGCTGCTTGTTTACAAACGTTTTTGACTACACGTGAAAATAGCTCAGAAGGAAAGGGAGTATTTCTCGTTTGTCTTTCATTCTTTCTCTTTCATTTCTCAAAAATAAAAATTAGGACGCGGCTGCACAGCTGCAAAAATAATAAACACGGAGATAAGCAACTACATCCTCTTAGTACTTTCGGCCTACTTCTTCTTATTCCACTGCAAAAAGAAGATCATGTTTTTGCTGATCTGAATCTGTTGCAAATTTTCCAGCCACGCCAGTTGCTGTTCCGTCACCTGCGTTTTCGCGAGGAGTAAATCCTTCTTGTGTTGTCGGAAAATGAACTTCTTGTTCTTCTCATCGTTTGGGTCTATCCCGGCGATTGTTTCGTTGTAGCAGTCCGCGATTCTCTTCGACGCCTCCTCTAACTGCGGAATCGTAAAAGGACACGACGAGATAGACGTGTTTGCAGCTGGTGCAGTTGCGGTTGCGGTTGTTCTAGAAGAAGTACTGGAAGATGAAGATGATGGTGCGGATGCCTTAATATTAGCCCCAGCCGCCGGTAGAGGTAGTTGTACTTTCTTCATCGGCTGCTGCTGTTCTTTCTGCTTCTCGAATTTCCCCAACCTCAGTTTAATCAGCTTTGCGGTCAACGGCTCTGCGGGTAAAGCCATCTTTTCGCGGAAACTCAGAACTTTGTCCTGCTTCTTCAACTTCTTGTTAATATCGGCAGAAGTTTTGTTGTGGCAGAGGACCGGCTTGGAGAAGATAGCGCTTGCGGCCGTGTGCTGTGGGGCGGTCGACCCTTGGGCTACACTGGAAGAAGAAGCGCCTGGTAGAATAAAGTTCTTGTGTTTGGTCGAGGACGATCAGCAAGAAGAGTCTTCTTCTTGTTCCGATGAATATGAAGATTTGCAATTGCAGCACTTACGAAATACAACTTTAAAATTGGAAAGCATCGCACCGAGGAGCAACCGTCGATATTGCAATAATCCCGTCGAGCGAAAACAAAAGTAATTTTTTTTTTAATTATACAAATCACAAACTAAAAACAGCGAGTTAGCACGTAGACAACTTCAGATTAGCACGTAGAAAACAAAAGTAATTCTATACCTGCTGCACTGGACGACGAGGACGACGATCCGGCCCCGGTGAAGTTTTTGCTGCGCATTTCCCTCTGAAAGTTTTTCCAGCCCGTTGCAGATATATTGGACGTGGTGGTCGACGACGTTTCTTTGTTTAAGTTTATCCCGGTGCTGGTCGTGGGCTCCTTTCGCCGTCTCTTTGCAGCGGCGGTCTCTGCAGCTTGCGCTAATTCACTTTGCTCCTGCGCCACTGATTTCGTCCCTCGAGGAAGGTCCTGGCCGTCTGGCTGTGGACATTCAGATGAACAAGCAGCGGCCGGCGCGGGCTTTATGTTTATTTGGGCAAGAACCGCAGTGCTAGCGGAATCATGCTCGACGTGGTGGTCCCCACCAGATTTTTGCTTTGTTCGCTGGGAAAGATCGACAGCCGCAGCGGGAGGTCGTGGTGGGGCTGCCTGGATTGCTCCTGCTTCTAGGTTGATGTCTTCTTCTACCACGACGTTTTGCGGCTTCAACATCTGCTGCTCAACATCTTCGGTTCGCTCCCTCTCAGCCCTAGCCGGGCGCTTGTTACAGGTTGTACTAGAAGCCGAGGAGGCCGATGTTGCCGACACAGCATCTACGAGACCTGCTCCAGGTCGTGGCGCATCAAGAGACGCCTGCGCAGCTGATTGTGAAGACGAGGAAGAGGCAGAAGCTGCTGATGTTCCTGCCAGCGTAGAACTAGCGGATTTCTCCTTCTCAGTGGCCGTAGCAGCCGCGGAAAGCTGCTCCGCAGGAAGAGGATGTGGTCGAGCGGCTTGTGATGCGTCATTTGCATCTACATCTAGTACACCAGCAGCATGATTTCTTATCCTTGTTTCTCGCTCGACGTTCGTCTGCAGCTGCTCCGCTTGTTCTTCGACGTCCATTACTCCAGTATCTCTTCTTGTCGCAGCAGCAGCGGCAGCAGCTGCCTCCACCTCTATCTGAGGAAATTCCGGCAGTAGCGATTCCCTCGTGCAGCTCCTTTCCCCGTATTCCGCTCTTTTCCGCTCCTCCTTCCGAAACTCGTGCGACTTATGCAATACAGATAAATCCCCGCACACGTACTTGTAATTGCAAACATTAAATTTCAGTACTTAAATCAAAAATTTTGCCATATAAGAACCACAGCATGCCACCTGCCAAGCGGAGAAGAGGTTGAAGCAAAGGCCGTCATACACACCTGACTCCTGCGCCACATCCAAAAGAAAATCCTTTGCACCGTCGCCGCAAGCAGCTTTGGGCGCAGGACATGGAGATGCACGGCCAGATGAAACCTACAGCATAAATCATTTGGCGGTCGTGTACGAGAACATCAATATCAAAATGTTTTGGATACAATTGGATTTTCTTCCACTGGATGTCGCTGTTGCTCTCCGTTTCAAACCGGTTAAAGCTGCTGGATTCCGCACTGGAGAGCTCTTGCTCGTTTTCGACAAAACTCGAACTTCTGCGGTGGTGACTACCGCTGTGCGGGGCAGAGAAAAGCAGGTGACTCAGGCTCTTTTCTTGCTGCTCGGAGGTATCAATCTTTTTACTTTTCCACTGGTCAGTAGCTGCTAGCACTGGTAGGAGATTCTTATTCGCCTGCTCTTCAGCATCCGGACGGCGCAGCTGCTGGAGGTCCACCTGCATTATATCGGGTTGTGCTGGCCGCGGCACATCAGGGCCAAGAACCTGGTTGTTGTTTGCACCTCCAGAAACAAAAACGCTGCTTGGCGCATGACCTTGCTCTTGACCATGCGCGGCAACTACAACCCCGATGTTGACAGGACGGCTGGAGGAGGACGAGCTGGAGGACGAAGATGACCCAGAAATCGAGGGCGTCACCTGCTGTAGTAGGTGCGGCAATTCTTCTTGCGGGTCGTGCACGGTCCTCGCGAGGGCGGGGGCTTGTTTATGATCTAGATCTTTCATTTGCAGCTTTTCGTCTTTGTCTTCCGCCACGCCGATCTTTGAGGTCGCCCCTACAAGTCTTTTTCTTTTCGGCGACGAAAAGACTCCGTCTTCCTGCTCTTCCACCCTACTCGTCTCTAACGCGTCGACTGCTGGCCCGGAGCAGCTGATGGACGCGTTTTTCTCTTTGTTCCTTGTCTTTGAGGACTTTTTCTTCAACACGGGATCACGACTTTCTTCCGCGGATAGCTGCATTTTTTTGCAGCTTGAGCTTGTTCCTGCAGCTGCACGACCATGATCCTGCTCGTCTCTTTTTCCAGACAACAACTCTAGTACTTCTTCGCCCTCTACTGCAGGGAAAACTTTGGAAGAAGAAGACTTTGCATTTCTCCTCGCCAGAACGTGCTTACTGCTTTGTTCCTCGTCGTCTGAGAAAACCTTGTCGTTGTAGCAATCCTTCTTGTGTAGGAGCGAAGCAGGACCACTAGTACCCCCAGCAACGTTTAATATTTCGTCGCGATCATTGGTCGACGGCGCTGCAACTTCCTTCTGATGTAGCTCCACCGCCACTTCGCTGCCGTTGTTTTTGGGCGAGCTGCAACTTGGTTCGTCGATCATAGAGTGAAAAATACTCGAGTTTTGGCTCCGCGGGACGAAGCAAGCGTCTACCTCGCTTTCCTTCATCAGAGCCACCGAGGAGAGGTCCCGCATCGGCTCCAACTCGCCCACAAGCCGCGCCTCCATGTCCAGCCTCTTTGAGCAACTGGCCGGTCCGTCGTCCCGGAATTTTTTCGACGAAGAGTTCAAGTGCCGGTTTTGCCGGGCGAGCAGGAGAAGGTCGTCTTCTTCGTCATACTGCGTTATCTCTTTTTTACCACTGCGAAGCAGTTTATTCTTGATGTTGCCACTTCTCTTAGCGGACCGCCCCCTGCCGTCGTCCTCTCCGAGCAGTTCTTTGAGATTCACGTGGTCCTCCTCTTCGCTGTGCTCGTTTTCCTCACACTCCTCGCTGTCGTGCCCCACAATCTCCATCCTGTCGAACTTCTTTATCCAGGAAAAAAAGTGTGTAAGTGTAACTTTTTGTGAGAAACAGCATCACAAATTTGCTCTACATGACAGAGAAAACCTGTCATGTGTGGCTTGTAAGGGAAAACACACATGAAAAGCGGACTTCATGGCTGTCTGGCATGACAGGTGTAACTCTGTTGCATGTTCTGCAACACAAATTTACACTTACACAGTTTTTTTCTTGGATATTCTTCCGCTTCCGCGCACTGGACATTCGCGAGGGAATCATCCAGTCCGCCCCGGGGGTCTTCCGATGCTCGCTGTTCGGCACCGGACTGTTGTTTGTCTCGCCGTTTTTGCCACTCCTTTTCACACCGATCGCGGCAAACGACTTCCGGATGGGGCGCGGTGTGACCATGGAGAGGTTCTTTTTGCTTTTCGAATTCGCGGAATCCGGTCGGGAATTTTTCTTGTTCGCGCCGCCAGGAGAGGATTGCTTGGAGTTGCTGCGACTGCGCGCTTTGTTGTTCAGTTTATTGATCTTCAAGTCGCAGCTCTCGAAGGTGGCTGCTTGGTTGTCGTCAAGTAGACTCGGGTCGCCAGTAATATTTTCTTGTTCATCTGCATCCTGGTCGGCGGTGATATTAGCAGCAAAACTAGAAGCTGATGAAGAAGACGCTTCATTGCCACCAAGATTGTCAACTTGGGCATCTTGGTCTTCTTGGGTCTGTTCGACGCCTCCAGTAGCGCCGGTTTTACTCTTTTGGCTGCTGAGCACTGCTTTCTTCAGCGGAGGAGCGGGCTCGAGAACTTCGACGTCTGGCGTGCAAGAAGTTGATATTATTTTACTCATTCATCGGCTCTACTTTACTATTTCGGATTCTGATCACTACGCATCAAAAAAATCACGCCAACACGACCATGCTGAAAGAGAATAGTTTTTGCTCCGGCTACTTCATGTCGTAATAGTAATATCACTCAGCTGATATTACTGGTAGGTAGACGTTTTTGCGCCGGGGGCTACTTCATGTCCTAATATCTTCGCTCAACGGAAGATAGACAGACGTACAACGACATCATCATACCTTCATCCCACCGCACATTGACAGCTGCCGTGCGCTTCCTGCCGGAGTTTTTCCTCGTTGGCCGGACTGCGGACGGCGGGTTGGAAAGGATGGACTGAGGTAACGACTCCATACTTTTTGATGGAGCAAGTTGTGCCACTTCGTCCCGAGGCGCTGCATCTCCCGAATCGACAAGGCCACCAGCATCTTGCTGCAACGGTGCCTTTGATGCGACGACGCTTCCCTGCCCATCGTGCGAGAGATCATCTACTTGGTCGTTCTGTGCGCTTCGATTGAATACCCCAGATGACGATGGAGGCACATGCACATCAACATCAAAGTTGCTGCTACTAGAAGTAATTGCGGTGGTTGGGCGCGGGACTTCAGCGATGATTCTTCCTTGTGCTTCATCATCAGTGATGGCACCAGCAGGTCGTGGTCCAGCGCCTGCAGCAAGGGGGTTTCTTCGTGGACGATCACCAGCACCATCAGCATTTCCCTCCAGAACTACATGCTGGTCCTCCTCTTGTAGGTTGCCAAGAAGATGAGCGGCGTCCTCGCCTTCTGCCTCGCTCTCCTCCTCCTCATCGTCGTCGAAGGTGCCTTTTTGGAAGTTGCGATACAGTAGAAAAATCATGCCAGCTTCACTTCAATTTCCATGACATAGACATAGAAAAATTACATGACATACTTGCCACGTGGTCATCATCATGTTAATGATCTTGTTAAGTAATTTGACTGCATGCAGGGTGGACCTGCACGCAAAGACGAATCATGCAAACAAGGTGGTCCTGAACTACACCAATTCCAACAAAGCAACTAGGTACGTTCCAATCCCAGTGCCTCGATCAATTTGGTTTCAATGATCTCATTCGGCACCGTTTTCACCGCCCACCGTTTCTCCACAGATTCCTCGCGGAATTTCTTCAAGTTTCCGAAAGATTGGAACTGCAGGCTCAGGATGTTGGGCACGATCACGGTCTGTTTTGGGTCGTGAATTAAAGGTTGCAAAATCATGTTAGAAACGAAATAGGCACGGAAATCTGATGAAAGTGAATGCGAACTACTATGCTTTGAAGAATAATTATGCAAGAGCGCCGGAGCAGCAGACATCAGCATGAAGGTTTTATCGGATAAAGATACGTATGTCATCGGTTTCCTTTCCGTTTCCACGTGTACTACGTAGCCTGCTTCCATTATCACACAGAAAAAAGCTACAGTTACCACTACTGCAAAAATAAGCGCACACAAACCAAGATGATGAACTAACTCTCTTGCACAATGTCTCACACAGCAGGCTATGGGCTCGCCAATTGGAGATTTTTCCGTTTGTTGGTCTGTTTTTAATTTTCGCATCACAAATGTGACCACCTGCCCGCTTTCTATTTCTGTGTGATATCCATGTTCGCCAGCGGGTGCTTCTTCTTCACCACCTTGATCCAATCTCCCTCCTCGATCACTTCGCCCACCGTGCTGGCCTTTTTCCCGCCGCCGGTAGACAGTTTTCCAAGTCCCGGGGTCTTGCTGTTTGTGGACAGCGCCACGGAAGATCGAGGTCCATTGCTCGTAGCGTGCTTCGCAGCACGGGGAGGACCAGCTGGCGTTTTATTCACCGCTGCTGCACCAGCAGGTTTTGCCGCTGCTGTCTTCATCGCGCGAGTGCTGGTCCTAGCGTTATTTGCGGCCTGCTTCGGAACAAGATGAGCAGCTCTAACATTTGATGCATTGCTCGCTTTGCTGGCAGCGGCCGAAGCTGGCGGAGAGGGTCGCCGCGCGGAGGACGAATTTTGGCCACCTCCGACAAGATCGTCCCTCGACGGAACTACGGCTTCGGCGGCCCCCGGGCTGCCGGCAGGTGAAACTGCAGGGGTCAGCAGGAGCTTATTTTCGAGTGGTCGTCCGGTGTTCGAGCTGGTACTTGAAATGAGACAGGGCCGCGCTTGTCCGGGTCCTCCGGTAGTTGTACCTGCGACGGAAACTCCAACAGACATCGAGGAGCTGGACGAGGATTTATTTTGGTCCGGCTTCTGCTCGCCGGGTTTGGCATCAGAGGAAGACATCTTGAAAACGAGCTACACGACACCACCTCCTCCTGATGATGATAGCTTTTCAACAGAAACGACTCCTCGGTGTTGTAGTTCGCCTTCGTAAAAGATTCACTTACACCACTTGCTAGCTGCTCGCTGCAGCAGCCTCGCGGCAGGATATTGAACAGTCTCTACTAGGACCAGCTCGCTCTTCGTTTTCCTCGTTTCTTACACATCTGTCAAAACATCTACATGATCCTGAGCCTGATAGATTGTTTGTCGCGTCGCATAAAATAAACTTTGTTCTGGTTTCCAACTAATGGTCAAAAGCGTGTCTGTGAGGTTCTCGATTGCTTTGAAACAAACGCTTTCAACTGCTCATGTGGATGGTTCATCGTTGTCAAGAATTGAGTAAGTAAATGAATGTAAGTAAGGTAGAGTAGACTCCTCGTCCTCGTCTTGCTGCTAATGGAACACATCAAACAGATAAGCGCCGGCGTTCGCGTTTTCATGAAACATCTTCGGGACGACGAAAAAGGCAATCATGAGGAGGACAGGACGAGATCCACTCGGTGAATTACCTACGATAGAGGAAACAGAATAATTCTCGTGATATAATTGATACAGCGCAGCCAAACATTATTCATTGAACGTCGCCGCGGCGGCGGCTGCAACAAGAGCGAAGATATGAAATCGCGCTGGTAGGGCATTTGAATTTATCCTCTGTAGTGAGTGCGTTTTCTTTCATCTCATCCTGCAGAGAGGCCATGGGTCGTGGCGAAGTCTTCAACAAATGCAAATTCTTCACGACTCTACTAGTCACTACATCTTTAATATCGGCCATTGAAACCACTCGTCAAGAAGGACATATCTAGCCCTGCGTTCAAAAATCGTGTTTACTGGCGCCAGTGGCCATCGCAATACCACTTGACTTCTGCGTGAGCATCGTTTCGGTTTTCTTTTTCTTCCTTCCAAATGTGTTAGCTGGAAGAGGAGTCCACGCTCGTCCTGATGGCTTCTACTCCGTTCCAAAACAAGTCAAAGTTTGGATAGGTTTTGGTTCTGGCAGGTACTCTGGACGACGTCTACACTTTTGGTGCAACCATCTGCTGCGACTTGGACCCCATCTAATCCTGTCCTAGCAGTTGGCAGCCCGGGACCAGCTGGGGTGTCTACAATCTTAGACCTGTCGATCACGTTTTTCGTTTTCCCCTCGGCCACCTCCTGAGCAGGCACAGTAGCAGTTCCAGCTCCCCCTGCCATCCTGTATGCCAAGTACCTCGCCGCGCTCCCCAGTACCAAATACGCGCCGACGAAGCTCGCGAGCTTCCCCCTGCTTGAGGCGTTTCGTTTTGGAAACGCAATTTTGCTCACGATTAAGCCGGAGAGAAACGGCACACCGCAGATAACTTCTTCCTGTGTGCTCAGCCCGTAGCTTGCAAGGCTGGACGTGGCGGCAGCGGCAGGAATGTAACAGAGGGGACAGCACATGGTTTTTACTCGCTCTGAATTTAGAAAAGGGAATAGGCTGCTGCTTTGAGCGGCTCGAAACATTGGGATTTATTTTTAATTTACCGATACAACACTTACGAGGAAGAAAAGGACCAGTAAAGAAGTTGCTGTGAACAACAAAACTAGTGTGTGTGAGTGTGAAGCAAGCAACTCACTGTAATAACGTCGTAAAGCATAATCTATAAGCGTTTCCGACTCTCTTCAACAAAATAAGTAATACGGTCTTCATGATTTGAGTTTGTTTGATGATCTTGTTCTACTAGTCCTAGACAGAAATTAGCTCCGGGGATCATTGTGCTCATTTTTGGAGACAGCGACCACACGAGAGAGCACAAGCAGCTTGTGGAACAGCAAATGGAGCCGACGACTTCGCCGAGTTGTTTTCCATCTACTCCAGTGCTTGAAGTTTGTGCGTCATGGTCATGATATTCATTTTTGGGAGGTAGGAGCTCAACCTTTCGCATGCTTTGCGTGGCTACTTTCAAACGTTTTTCTGACAGACCGCCATTGCGATCAAGTTAGAATGTTGTGATGCTGTGAAATTATGTACAGCTACTTTCAGCTTCAGGTCGGAAAAACACCGTGTTCTGTCGGCGACAGACGCAGGCCGAGGAAAAACTGAACTGATGTCATAGCGAAACAGTTCTCTTGTTCACCCGATAATAATATCTCGTCGAAGCACCCGGATGTCAAAACACACCACACCTGATAACCCGCCGCAGTTGATAGCCGTACCTGTTATAAAACCAAGCCACTCCTAACACAGGCAACGGAGTGAGCAGAAGCGTACTCGTAAATTCTTTGTAGTCCTTGTTGTAGTCGTCGATTCGTTTTCTCTCCGCAGAGAAGGGGTTGAACGGGAGGCCCTCCACTTCGTTCACATTGTTTATCTTCAACGTTTCTTCATCAAACTTCTCAGTGTCATAGGTTCTCCATTCCCACCACGAAATCCAAATCAGCGAATGGATGATGAACCAAACGATAAGGATGAGGCGCGCAAATTTACTCCGGATCCCGCTGAAGGCGGCCGAGAGAAGCAGCGTGGCTGTGTTGGAGACAACAGGTGGGTCGACGTGCTGGTGGTTGTTTACTGAATTACTGTTGTGAAGATGATCTCCTGCGTTAAAATTGTGGTGTTGAGAGGCGGGGGTTATAGTAGTAGATCCAGGGTACTGCTGGTGCTGGTACTGCTGCGCAAGATAAGCTTGCTGTTGATCATGTCCTCCTCCAGCCCCATACATCGACGGAGAAGTTGTGTCGTTTTGGATGTTATAGCCCGAATGATCGGCACTACTCGTGGTCGAATTAGCGAAAATCACTTGTGGTTGCTGGTACTGCTGGACAAATCTTTGCGGTGCGATGTCACGCCGCTTGCTAACTTTATTGCCGTTGTGGTCCCCGCGGCCCGGACTAGGACCACTACCATCCACCTCGACGTCCGCGTTGTTTTCCAGGTCAGCGGCAATACCGGAGTCTTTCTTTCTGTCGTCCCAATAAAGGAAATGAGAGAAAACGACCGGAAAATCCAGCACCCATCTATGATAGTTGAAAGACAAGGCCAGAAAATGCACAATGTAGAAGAACCGCCAGGAAACGCTCTGCTTCTCGTGCAGGCAGTCTCGGCCCATCGTCAGCGCTGCCATCTCCGGGTCGGCTTCGTCGCCGCAGGGGACAGAATTCGCACGCGAGTAGCTTCCGCCGAGGGCGACGACGGCGGTACTCAGACAGTAGAGGACACACCGCCACCAACGGCTTTGCCGCAAACCCGCATTCCGTTGGGTCTCGAATTGTTGCTCGGCTCCGCGCTGCTCCCCGGCGGAGACCAGGTAAGCCAGCAGCGCCCAATGCGCACCAAAAACCAGGCCGAGAAGAGCGTAGGAGGTAAGGATGAAGAGCCGGGTGAGGTAAACGGTCAGGGCGGAGCTTAGGTTAGAAGAAGTAGTAGTACTACCCGCTCGTCCTGAGGCGGACATATTACTAAAAATTTTTGGAGGTGGTTCTTTTGCTGATGCGTAGATCTGGAGTCAGCAAGCGATGTTGGGAATCATGGGAGTACAGAAGCAGGTGAGTGTGGTGAAATACTGGGTAATATGTTGGGATCTGTCGTTCTTCCATCAGCAGTTCGGAAACAAGATCAGTTTCGATATCCTGGACAAATCCTCACTTTCAGGCCGTTCTTCGCAAAAAATAAATCAAATCAATATAGGAAAGAACCAGCTCACTTCTTGTTCTTCCGTGCATCATCCACCTTTCTTAGTAGCAGACCAGGGCGGACCGACCGACGCTTGAATCGTTGTGCGACAACACATCAACGACGGGATCACTGCAGCTCGTGGACGAGACTCAGCAAATACATACAGCATTCAAATTGATCAATCCATCTCCCATGAACGAGGTTAGCTAGAAGTACCGACTCTTCTTGGCTTATCACGTCAAGTAGTACTCGGTAGCCTGCTACTTGGATGAATGATACGCCTGAATCGCGGCCTGACACAAGAACTAGAAGAACCCCCCTTCTGTTCCGTATTTTTTTATTTTCAAAAATATGCTTGCGCAGGAGACGAGGTGGTACCAGCACCGGGACGACCTGGTCCAACCGATTGGCCTTTTAGAAATCGCACCAATGCGATTGCGACATACGATCATGTTGCAGCGATTAAGAGATTCACGATTGACCTCCAATTGCCAGAGTGTCAGGGATCGCTGAAGTGAGAACATCACATAGCCAGCAATTCAAATAAGAATAACGCGACAAGGAAGATGAAAAAGAAGTGGAGCCCGTGATAAGCATTTTAGTGTCGATATTATTCATATGAAGATGAAGAGTGAACTTCTCTACCCAGTACCCCGTTAGTTGTGGGCGATGACGCATATTAATTGCAATTCCTTTGCTGAGTTAAAATCCTCCATGTCCATCCGACAATAAAACATATAGATAAAATTAAGAACCGAGGACTCAAAGGAGGACACGAAAATGACGACACAACTACACGTATTGCTCTCAGCCTAAGCGTCACAAGTCTAATATTTTACAAAAAACTCTATTTCGTTTCGTTTCCATTTTCTTATGTAATCCATTAATTTTGTGGGAAAAATACGACCTTGTTAAACAACAACTCGAGCTATTCTTTCGAATTATCAGGCCTGCTGAAAGAACTGCTAGATCTATAGATACACACTGTACTCATAGTCTGTAGTTCTACTTGCAGTGACTTGCGTGCCGGTGCTGCGATGTGTGAAATAAACCACAGAGGTCCACCAGATCCACTACTAAGTAGTCAATATGCGAAAGGAAAGCCATCAAGTAACTTGATGATTTTCCTTTCACTCTTCTTCCTTCCATTCCGCTGCGGGCGAGAAGAGATAGAGAACAAATCGTCTGCATCTTCTTCGTCCACCTGCTGATCTTGAACAGGAGCGGCCCTGGAGGTGTTGTTCAAGACCACGCTCGTCGTTCGTCCAGGAGATGTAGCATGCTCGACTTCATCTTGTAGTTGTCCTTCTTCATCTCTACCTTGCACGACGGGGTTGCTTGCTGTTGCTGTTGCTGTCCCACCAGCACCTGTTCTTTCTTGTAAAAACGCGACCTCCGCTGCTGTGCTGGTCCTCGTCCTGCACGTATTAGTTCTACCTGGTTCGGCTGGTTCTTCCTTCTTTCACCACTTTCTTGGTAGGAACTGCTTGCGTTTTGGTTTTGTGTTTGTTCTCCTTCTTCATCTCCCTCTCCTACAATTCCAAACAGCAGTTCCAGTCCTCGCCTCGTTTTTTCCGAAGAAAGAACGAAGTCGTGGAGAAGGTGGTTTGGAGCTTCCTCGTCAGGAGCAGAAGAGGATCTACTCCTCGTCCCCGCAGCCCCGCTACGACCGTAGAAGTTATCGCACAACCATTTCCAACCCGCGGTTGCAATACTGCGGAGTAGAGCCGGTTGCGGCTCTTGTTGGTCACTTGATGCGCTACTTTTAAGATTTTTTACTGGTTCTTCTTCCTGCTGCAGCAGCATTTCTCCCGCCAGCTGGTCCAGTGCGTCCGAGAAAACAAAAGTCGCCAGAATGCCGTCTTCGTGCTGTTGTAAATCTTCGGCAAACGTGTGCAGGTTCACGGTTTTTTTGCGATGCAACTGCACCGTCTGGTTCACATTGCGCTGCCGGTCCAGCTCTTCTTGCAGGTCCTCGGCTTCTTGCAGCTCCTCATTCTTGGACGAGCCCTCTAGGTCGTGAAGATGTAGTTGCTCATCATCTTCATCTTCCTCATCTTCTTCTTCATCATCGCGGTTCTTTGACACAACTCTTGGGGTGGACAAAAGGGAAGATGATGGACTAGATGTTGACCGTGGAGGCCGTCGTGCTCCTGCGCCGGTGGAGTTGTTGTGTTCTTCATCAGAAGAGGACACGTTCTCCTCCGTGGTGTCCAGAACATCTTCGTCGTCTGTGAACAATAAATTCCTGTCCTCGTCCACCGCTTTTTGTCTAGTGCCGTCCTCTTGCTCTTGCGCCGCCACTAGTACGCCGTCGTGGTCGACGACCTCAGGCATCTCTTTAAGAGATGCGACCTCCGCCTCCTCCTGCTGCTGTGCTGGTCCTCGTCCTGCACGTATTAGTTTTATGCATACAAAGAATCGATGTAGAATTTTGCCCAAGCCTATCGGATCCGTGACGCCGAGGGTGCGTGGCGACCAAGGGGGAACAGACGCGTTCCTCGGTCGTGGAGCGAGAGCGAGGCTCGAGCGGCCCCAGCACCCTGGCATCAGAGAAACGCGACAGCGAAAAGAAGTGAGATCATCGACACGAAAGGATCTCTCACAAGGAAACAAATCTGGATCGAAAAGATCTAGTACGGTCTAAACAGTGCAAGGATCCCAAATGATCTGTCATGCACGTCCTAAAACAATGGATGGAAATATGTGATGGCAGAAAAGTGATATCATGAGAATCGCCCATACCTGCAAAGTGCGCTCACTCACTCCGGAAAGCTTTCGGAACTTAGGCTTGTGATCACGCAACCAATGCTGTGCAAAGCGAACAACCATCATCAAAATCCACTTGCTGTGGAAGCTTTCAGAGTCACATTAAGTTGTCACGTGTATGGTGCCACCTAAAGTAACATTTTGAATGTCCTGTGTGCACGAAAAAATTAATGCTCAATGGTCTCTTGGAGACAAAAAAGACTCATGGCATGCTGCTTAACCAAACGGGTTTTGCATCTGCGCATTCTTCCCACCAGGGGCGCCTTTCCCTGCTCCTTTCTGCTGGATGCGGGCCTGGATCACTGGGCACTCCTTGGACCAGTGGCACACCTTTCCACCGCAGTGATGGCAGGGGAGCTTGCACGGAGCGGTACAATTCTCGTAACCCGGAGAGTGTCTGACTTGCAGACCGTAACCGTTGAGGTAGCAATTCTTGCAACCCGTCTGCGCGGAAGCGAAGTACAACTTGGTGAGGTTCTTGGTCCTCGTCCTGCACGTATTAGTTCTCCTACTTCAACTTCTTCCGCACCCCCTGCTGCTGCAGCAACGCCAGCTTCGGTTCTTGTTCTTCTTGTTCTCTCCCCCTTGAACTGGATCTGGATTTCGTCCTCCTCGTCCCCCTCGCCAGTCAATTTTTGCTTTTCTGCTTTCAACTCGGCGAAGGTTTTCCAACTACTGAAGTCCACTTCGGCCACCGCGCTTAACAGCTCCCGCACCTCTGGCGTAAGCAACAGGAGCGTCGAAGAGGACCTCGCTCCAGGAGATCTGGCGGGTTGGCGTTCTTGGGGTTTGTTGGTGTGGTTTCTCGTCCTCTTTGCTCTTCGTTGTACGCGGCGAGGACCTCCAGATGGCGCAACGTCCGCCTGCTCTTTATGGCGTTCTCAAACGTTACACTCTCAACTGTTGCATGAATTTGTCATGCATACCCGACTGCACCACATCAAAAACCTTTGCACCGTCGCCGCAAGCAGCTTCGGACGCAGGAGATCTAGGGTCAGAACCGCGCAAAATATCGCGAGTTTATCTTCATCCCCGGGCGCTTATATTATCTTTTCCTTACTTCTCGCTAACACTGTATGAGCTGCTGCAGACGCACTGTGATAGGGAGATTCACAGGCGCCACAATAATCAACGCATGAATTTGTCATGCAAAAGTACCTTAAGCCGGCAGATGATCGAGCTGCTTCGCATGACAAATTTCGAAAGGGCTAGACAGCATCTAAATCCGCGCCAAACTTGTCATGCAAAAGGCGCAATCTTCCTCCTTTCACTTTTGCCAGTCTTGCATTGCAAATCATGTAACAGTTGAGAATGTAACAGTTTAGAACGCCATACTCTTCATCTTCCGCCTCGTCTGCCTTTTCGCTCTCGACGAGTAGCGAAGGCCTTTGCAGCTTCGTGATCACCTGCATGCATTGCAAAAGTATCGCTATCGTAGTCGTACAACGTCGAACTTCTTATAGAATGACAAATTTTTCCAGATGAAGGAAGAATGGATTCTGTAATGGATGCTGAGTTAGCTCGTCCTAAGACACCAGATCTGTCATGAACATGAATGACAGCAATTTATACGAGTACGATACTTTATTTGCAGAACATAACGCGCAGCCGATCTTCCGGAGTTGTAGCTGATCCTACTTCAGCGAACGAGGAAAAAGCTGCCGGCGAAGTCATGGTCATGACTTCGCCGCTTGATATTGCCCTGTCGGACGCGATGTCTTCCACATGTTCAATGTTCAGAAGGATGGCTGCGTAGGTGTATGCATTGCGAATAGAATGTCTGGGCGGCTTACTAGAAAGATATTACCGACTTCCGATGCGGATTCTGGACGAACACGCAAAAATCTGTGTTGCATCGTCAGCAAAAGATGTCCGACCTCCGGGACGAGAGGGCATTTCTCATGCAGACCAGCCATCAGAAAGTGAAAGCCTTCCAAAAGCTGCATCTTCCGCGACCTCCGTGCACAGACATGCAATAACATCTGCAAGACAATTGCCTGACTGTTCTTCGAGACCCAGACATACTTGCACTTGGTAAGGTGCGAAGGGATTTGATGGCTTCGTGCGCCACGTCGTAAAACATTTCTACCGTCTATCAACCAAAAAAGTGTTGACGTTAGCGGGTATTTTCACAGATTGTACTTGTAGTCATGCAGCATGAGCATAAAAAATTTTGCTCTAGCATGTCGCACGTTGTACGTAAGCGTAACACTGTTCTTTTGTTTTTGTTATTTGCGTTTCTGCATGATACATTCACGCGTCACAATCAATTCCGCTAATACATAGCACTTTTTCCTCTGATACCATGATAGACGTGTCTAAGCCCTGCAGAAACTTGATCGCCGTAGCCAAGTGCTTCCACAGTGGAACGTCGGTCGTGCCCCCAGTGTGACTCGACGAGCCCAGACCCAGCACGTCGTTGATCTTGCTGGACACCTCTTCCGAGTCCCGCAGTACATCTTCCACTACAGACCGCATGGCGGTCGCTTCTCGGCTGCTCGCCTCGATGCCTTGCTGGAGAAGGCCGCAGGTGTATGCAGTGCAAAGATGTCTGGGTCGGAAGAGTGCGAGATGTGGCTGGTTGGTTGGATAGCGCCTGTCGCCCCCGGCTCAGGTCCCGCCCTCCATCGATTGCGATCCGGAGTAGCCGGAACACAGTGGCGCAATCGATCGCCGAAGTCCTATATAACCAGGCCACAGTCAACATCCGGCTGCCCTGGAATCATTCGGGGGCCAGGCACCGTCTAGGAGCTACGGACTAGGGATCTAGAGTTGTCATGCTAGTCTGGCATGTTGACCCTGAGCTCTGTCTTGCGTGGCCTCCAACAAAAGCTCCTGCTCCTGTCTATCGTGCAAAGCCGCAGTTGCTTCTGATGAGGAACATAGTTAGTAAGTAAGTACACATCACAGAGCCACAAAAAAATAGTATGTCATGCTTGGCGGGGGCGCAATGAAGTCGTGTGCCTATCTATCATTCACTGACGTGCGACGTCACAACTTCAACTTTTCAGACTGAGACACATTTGCATTATGGTAAGGTGCCTTCCGTGGCAATCTGGACGGCGGCACCGAGAAAGGCGTCCCGCATGTCCTCGAGCCACTCGGTAACCATCCCCACTTCATCCGGCAGCAACAGATTCCACAAATGCTTCATGGCGAAGTCCGCCAAGTGCTTGTAGAAGGAAAGGTCCTATCACTCTGGAAAAGTATCGCACTTTTGGTGGTAGTAATTGCAGTCATGCATGTGCATCACATCAAATCGGACTTCCTACTACCTAAACCAGCATGACAACTTGCGTTTTTATTCTTGTTCTTGAAAATTATATTTGCGAGGATGCGATTTTCGTTTATAGTTTTTCATACCAGTACGATACTTTCGCTATGCATAAATCCTGCAGCGTTTCCTTGATGAAGGTCAGGACCGTCTCGCGAATGCTCGGTGTGGCCAAGATATGCAAAAGAAAAACTGCGTATGTTGTAATGCAGAAATGAAGGCAACAGAGAAGTTACACGACTTGTCATGCCAGACAACCACGAAGCTGTGTGTTCCTGTGTGTTTTCATCGCGTAGTCCTAGCTATGCATGCAGAGCGAATTTGTGATGCTGTCACGGACTCGTCCAAGAAAATTACAGGTAGACGAAACACAGTTTTTTCCTTGCATACAAGAGGTACTTCTCCTCCTGCTGCTCCTCGTCGCGGCCGGCGTGGGGACCATGCTCTGCATGAGCCTGATGTTGATGGAGCTAATCGGTAGGTTTTCTATCAGGATGTAGATGTTGGAGTTCGTCGTGTTGATGTTGATGATTAATATTACCACGCGGCGATGGATTAGGTCCTCGTGTTCTTGTAGTACGTCGCAAACTCTCCTTATGCTCCTGCTCATTCTTCGAACTACTCTTCATCTTGTTGTTCCTTTTCATCTTGGTGCGACGCTTCTCGAGGACTGTGATTTTCTCTACTTCTACGTAATTCTTGCGTTCAACTGCATCTCCTGCCTGATGATCTGATGACGCCGCGGCGGATTCTTCGCTTTCTGTGTTAAATAACTTCAGAAAATCCCTCTCACCCCGTATCAAATGCAAAAGTGTCTGGGGCTGGAAACTTGTGATGCTGGGTGGCGTATCATGAGGAGGCCACAAGTGCTGGCTCAGCATGAGAAGTTTCTGAGCTTCTAGGTGTTGCCTATTCTGCATGACGCACTGTGTTTCTGCATGACAGAAAAGTGGCGCTCTTGGGTAACGTGCATGACAGATTTAAGAGTCATGCCAGACAAGCATGACAAACATATTACGCTCTTCCAGACCCAGACATCTTTACATTTGATACCCCGCTGCAACTGCTGATGTATCGCCGGTGTTCCGGCACCGGAGGTTCCCAGTTGTGCTGAGTTGTCTCTGAAAGGATTTGGCGCCCGGTTGTCGACCGCTGACTCGTAGGCTGTGCTGTTAAAAAGCATCGACCTTCTAGAATCTGCGGGCAGGTCGAAGTTGTGCCTTCGAAACGCCATTCTTTGCGTGCTCTCGACGTTTGAGAAGATTTATGCATTGCAAAAATGTCTGGGTCTGGATGATTCCGGGATTTGTCATGCACTTTTTCCAAGCTCCCGGAAGTCTGGAATGCGGGGCCTAACATCGCAGGTTCTGCCGCCCCTTCGTGATGCCTATTCTGCATGAGAAATACCCTGTCAGCATGGCCAGAAGGCAGCACCTTTTGCCAGTCATGCAACACAGATCTATGTACGATCCGCAACTCGCATCACAAGTTCGGATCCTTCCAGACCACCCAGACATTTTTGCATTTGATAAGATTGTAGCCATGGAATCCACAGGAAAAAAAAAAACCAAACGCAGCATGAGCATGATTCGCAGTCGCATTTGCAGGCTGTATGACAACCACCACCTATAATTGCATCATTATCGATTCTACGATCAAACATGTTCCACACCTTATTGCGGCTGACATCTTGGGTCTACAACTACACAGAGCGTGGTTTTCATTTTTTCCCAGAACGATAAATGGAGCTCAGCGGCCTGCGTCGCTTATCCAGATACCACTCTTTTCGGTTGATGCGATAGTGGTTTCCTGGGCCGCGCAAAAACGTGCCATCGTCACCAAAATGCAACTCCTGCCTGATGATCTGATGACGCCGCGGCGGATGAAGATGAAGATGAAGAACGAGGAAGTTATGGGGTCGTCAACGTTATATTTGCCTCAGACCGTAAAAAAAATTCTGCGCGCATTTTTTCGCGGCGCAAAGCTAGTAAACCTGTGCACGCTAGTGAGGGGCTGACTTGAACGCGGTTTGTTTTACCTAGCTTGTCAGCAGCAGTGCTCCCTCTAGTAGGTAAGTGAGTATTGACGCGAAGGGGGGCGGGGCGCTGGGGGTTCTTCTGTGGCTGATGTTTTCACCTAGAAAACGCCGCGCGCAATATTTTGTTCCGTTTTCCGGATTGCTCTCTCCGTGCACCTATTTGCCGCTATGGCCTGGGTCAGCGTGTGAGGCTGGAAACGCCCCGCGAGATGTCTACACAGGCCCTGGCCTCGTCGTCTCTAGCGGGCACTACGCACATATGTTGGCCGCGAAGGCCTTTCCGGAGCCCTTCCAAAAAGGGGGGGCCGGAGGGGTGCCCGGAACCCTAAAAAAAAGCCTATTGCTTTTTCTTCGAATCACGATGGTGCTACCCCTCCCCAAAAGGGGTCCCGGAACCCCTCTGGGAGCTCTTCCCGGTACACGCGCGCGGGAACCCCTCTGGGGAACCACTCTGGGAACTCCCCAAAAGCGCGCGCGCCTGCCGGTACACGCGCGCACAGCTGCGCGACATTAGAAACAAGGGGAGGCGCAGCCGCGGCCGGTTCCGTTTGCGCCCTCGACTCCGACCGACTTGCACAGATTGAGGCCCATTGTCTAGCGGCTGGACTGCAAGAGGACCTGCTGCAGCACCTCCAGGCTGCAGGGGTGCTCCGAGGCAAGTCCGTGGAGCAGCAGCGCCGGATAGCTCCGTCTTTAGCCACTGAAAAGCGTTGCGAATAAGCTAGCTAGTTCATTAGGTGTGCAACATAGTGGGGGGCTATACGTCTGCAACGTGATGGACATCAAATACAAAAAAAGGCGCGCGGAAAATTTTTTACTGCTTGAGGCAAATACAAGTTTGACGACGCCATCTCCTGCCTGATGATCTGATGACGCCGCGGCGGATGAAGATGAAGATGAAGAACGAGGATGATCTTCCGGAGATGAAGTAGAACCTCCAAGACGAGCTGTGCCTCCTCGACGAGGACCCTGCTGATCATGCTCGTCTTCTACGACCCGTAAAAATTGCAGCTCACGTGCTACTTCAGGCGGCGTCTCGCCCTGCTGTGTCGCGACGACGCGCAGGGTTTGGTCATCGTCTCTGCTGGGCGGGTTGCTGGTGCTCTCTTCCAACATAGAAGAGAGATCAAAGAACCCTTCGCCGTTGTGGTGCCCAACATTGTCCAAGTTGACGCGAGAAAAGTCGTGGCTGGCATCACAACATGAATGAGCACCAAAATCCTCGACAATGTCCTCTATGATGTTCACGACCCCCGCAAAAGGTAAAAGAAGTTCCGTTATGAGTCCGTTGCCTTCGGATTTATCTTTCCGCATCCACCGCTTTTCGGCCCGGTACCTCTTGTCTCTGTAGAGTCGTAGAATTTCGATCACGTCGAGTTGGGCAAACAGCTTGACCGCCCAACCCCGAACTTCTTGCAGTAGGAGGGTGCCAAAGGATTTCGTCTTTTGGAAGAAAGACAGGTCGTCCGTGCTGACAGCGAGCTTGGCCTGCTCGAGTTTCTGCTCGGCTGCGGTCAGCTTGCCTAGAAACTGGATGCCCGTACGAAGCAACTCGAGCACTAAGTCGTCCGAGAAAAATCGGAGCACGGGCCGCACCAGAGCGGCCAACCGCCCCACCACCGGAAACAGGTGGAGCGCCGCGTCCGCAAACCACTGCCAGAAGACCAGAAACTGGTCCGTCAATCCGCGGATGATGATCCCGCCAACTTCCTCGGCCAAGGCCTCAATTTCGTCCTCAGCGGCCGCAAGCATTTTGTGTCCCTTGGCCTCCGCTGTCAACGGCTGCCAGTGCGCCTCGTCCCACGTGGTCATCAGGCGCTGCATCTCCGCCCCCGGGATAGGAGGCTTCCCCACCAGCTTGTGCAGCAGAAACGACAACTCGTTCTGGTGCACGACGTCGGCAACCATGTCCTGAAAGTACCCCAGCAAGCTGAAACCGACGGTATCGAGCCACTTCGGGAGAAAATCGTGGACCAGACGGCGCGGCAGCGGCTCGAGCACCAGCGCGGCAATCTGCCCGACCACGTAGCGGTCGATCAGCTTCTGCATGGTTGACATCTTTGCCGGAAAGCTGGTCCGAATTTGGTCAACCACCACCATGCACACGTCGAGGAAAAAGCTCAACACCGCCTCCTTGCACGACTGCCAAATGGTGGACAAATACCTCGACACGAGGGTATCCCCGATCCAGATGATCATCAGTTTCTTGGAAACCTCGAACAGTTTCCCCACGTTGTCCCAAGTTTTTTTTCGTTCCTCCAGGTGCTTGTCGTGTTCAGGCTTGTGCGCGATAGTCCTCACCTTTTTCCCGTTGAGGGTGAGGCGCAGATCCGCATCGATTTTCAGGCGTGAAGAAGATTTTTCATGATCGGCATCGTCCAGCATCCGTGTGGGACTCCGACCGACTCGGTCGTTGAAGCGGGCGGGTGTGGACACGCGTTTCATCAGCTGCTCCCCTGCGGTCGGGGCCGCATCATCACCATCATAATCTACGCCAGAGGGCCACTCACATGCTTCGCCGTGCTTGTCGTTGGTTTTTGCCGCGTGTTTCTGTTTCTTGTGCTTCTCTTCGTGATCATGTGGATGCTGTTTTTGATTCGTCTCGTCCTTGGCCTTCCGCCGAAGAAGTTCCGCCTTTTGCCAAAGTTTCCAACCCCGCGCTTCCTCTTTTTCCTTCTTTTCACGCTTCACTGCTGCGTTGTGTCTGTCCTGCATCATCTTCTTCAGAATTTGGTGGTAGCGAGCAGGACTAGTTTTTTTTCGGTTCTTTACGTTTCTCATCAGGTCTTTTCCTTTTTGCGCCAATCTTTCCGCGCGCGATGGTTTTTTGTCCTCCCTGCTCATATTTTTTTTCTCAGCCGAGTGGTCGTCGTCTCCTTTGGAGGTCTGATGATCGTTTGAAGGGTGCTTTTCAGGATGATGCTTCTGAAGATCTTCGAAGTTAGGATGTTTTTGGTCATGGGGATGATGATCATCATCATGATGACCATCAACCTCAAGAGGGGGTGATGATTTTTCATGTCCTCCATCATGATGAGCGGGTTGATGATGATGCTTGTGTTGCTGCTGTAGAGCATGTGCATGTCGCTGGGTTCTGGAGACTTCCAGCAGTGTTTTGTCGGTCGCGTCGTGGATCGCGTTGGACGGCGCAGCCTCTGGCAGCTGCTCTGGCGCGACCTGTGCCATGCAAAAGTATCGGAATCGGAATAGTAGTACAATGTGCATGTTGATGACAAATGATCGTCGGAAGAACAAAAACGCAACTTTGCATCATGCCAGTTAAGGTACTAGAAAGCTCGGCTCGTCGTGGTCATGCATGTTGACTGCAACTACTACAAGTACGATGCTTGTTGTTTTCCAGATGATACGGCCTCTTCATCCACAACTAGAGTAGCAGCTTGTTGCACCCCTGGCCGCGCAGCCCCCGGACCATGATCTTGCACTTCTGCCACTGCCACTGCGCCTTCATCTGGTTGGGCATAATTTTCCACGCCTGTAGAGGACATCGCGCCGCTCCCGGTGGCTCTCGTAGACGTAGTCACTCCAGATCTACTTCTAGAAGTTGCTTCTGTATCATGGTTGTTGCGACCCGGACTCTCCACCTCGCCGTTCTCGTCATCCTCAAGGACTTTTGTCGTCGCCGCTGAAGAAGAGGACGGAGATGTTCTTCTTGCCCGTGCGAGGACCTTCTCCACAGCAATAGAAGTAGAACAACCATCGGCCGCCCCGAGATTAGCATCCTCTACCTTTTCGGAGTTGTCGGACGAAGAGTCTACTTCTTCAGCATCCTCACTGGAGTTGTAGTCGGGCGAAGAATCTACTTCGTCGCGCGACCATTCAGGCTTTCGCACTACACTGTAATCTTCGCGGTTGACCCCGACTGAGTCGAACTTTTTCGGGTCCAGCTTATCCCTCAACCAGGGCCACAGTTCGTAGCCATAAACCATCTGTTTGTTCGCATTCTGTCCGTAGTCGTGCGACACTTTGTACGCGGTTCCCGGTGCCACGTGTGGTCGATCTTCGCTCGTTGACGTTGTTGAACCCACAAGGCTCTCAGTGTCGTCGTCGTCCTCCTCCTCGTCGTTGATGTCATCTTCTACTTCAGAGTTCGACGAAAGGTGAAGGTCCTCATCTAGTACTCTCGCATGCTGTTCTTGTTGTTGTTCTTGTCGTTCTTGTAGAGGACCTGATGCACCACCTCCACTCCTCAACGTGGTCTTCACTCGAAGCTTTTCTAGCATGCTGCTCACGTCGATCGCCTGCACCTCCGTAGCGTGGCCGATCACCTCTATACCAACGCGGTTCCGAAGGTCTTGGAGCAGCTCTCCCTGGACCGCTCGGGTCGCGGCGCGCTCGCCTTGCAGCAGTTTCCGTTTCGTCGCGTGACCCATGTAGTCGTGCACGTCCTCCACCTCCTCGTTTCTCCCGAACTGCGAAAAAAAATTGGCGGAGGACGACGCCCCTTCTTGTTCTTCTTGTTCCGTGCAGTCTTCAGTGTAGTCTAGTGCTGTTGATGATGCTCTAGTACTTCCCTTCTCGCACAACTTGTCTAGCTTTTTCTCTTCCTTCGCCAGCTGCAGGCCAAGCTTGTGTAGCGCCTCTTCGTCGTCGTTGTCGTCCCGCCCGAAGATGGTATCTCGAACCGATTCCGTTAGCACGTCCAAAACCTGTGTGTCCATGAACTCCTCCATGATTTCGTGCAGCTGTTCGCCTTTCTCGAAAACTTCCACAAAAATGGTCTCTAAGTTCTGGACCACAAGCGCCAGCTCCTTGTTGTTTTTATCATCCAGGGCCTTGCCAAGCAGTTCCTTCGCGCCGAGTTGGAGCAGATCGGAGAAAAACTTCGCTGCTGACGCGGAGACGCCTGTTTTGAAGTGCAGCACCGTCTCGTGTCCGGTGATGAGGCGGATCGCTTGTTTGCAACGTCCATCACCCCATACAGGCTGTGGGAGAGTTTGTCTTTCAGTGTGTGCTTGATGTAGTGCCACATGTCAGTGAAGGATGTTTTTGTCGTCCACGAAAACGTGTCGCCAAACCATTTTTTTGCATCCTGCGAGATGTGGCCCGTGGCGTGGACGGGCGCTTTGACGGTCTCAGGCGGGGAAAGCTTTGGCCCAACAAGAAGTCGATGGTAGAATTTTTGGTGCTGGAGCTGCAAGTCCAGTAGGGACGAAGACGAGGCCGATGATGTCGTCAGCATTCTTGTCGAATTGTCAACCAAAGTCGCAAGAAACGAAGCGGGGGAGTTCGAGTTGTAAGTGGTCTCACGTAGTGGTAGATCTTCCATGCTGCTCGTTATCGCATGTCGCCGCGGAACCAAATCAAAATGAGTCACTTTCTTTTGATGTCCCGTAGAGTGTTGCTCTAGCATCTTCATCACCGCACTAGAAGGCGAGGGTCCTTCAATAGTGTGGCTAAAAACTACGTCATCTACTCTACTACTTTCATCAGCGTTGACAGACGTAGACGATGAAGCTGCTATGCTTGTAGCCCTTGCGCCCGACGAGGAGGACTTGTTTTCCTCTAGCTCGTGTGTATTTTTAAGGTAAACTGTTGCTGTCGCTGTGGTTGTAGTTCCTCCATTGCTACCTGATCTTGACGGGTCGCTGTGGTTGCTGTTGCTCTCCTCCAGCATCGTGGTCCCCAGAGAAACTTCTTGCGCACCATCGTGTCCAAGAACTACCGAAGCCGCTGATAGACGCCACGTTTGCTCGTCGCTGGCTGCTGCTTGTGTATGATGTTCATTTTGCAGCTGTAGCTGTAGGTGAGGCTGCTGGGGCTGCTCCTGTGAACCGACATGCTGCTGCTCAACATCGTTAATGCCCAGGCCGTCATCGGTAGCAGAGACGTTGTGGCTGCCAGAAAAGTCATGATTTCCATGTCGACGTCCAATTGCAGCAGAGATGGCAGGGGAGGATGTAGTTTTTAGGGCGAAATAAAAATGAAGAAGCCGGTGAGGTGACGCCGCTTGCCCACGACCTGCGACGAAAAGAAGAACAGACCCGGTCAGCGACCACTTCCAAAGCGAAGTACTTCTGGTCCTTCTGCTCATCTTGTTGGAACCGTATTGCGACATGCGCCTGGAGCGGCGCTACCAGTGAGGACGCAGGCCACTGCGAGGAGCGGCTGATGGTGCGTGGAAGTCGTAGTAGCGGTGCCCCATACGTCGACTCGTCGCGGGCGAGAAGTCTGTACTTATGCTTGGTTGTTTCGTAAATAAATTTTCGGTGTGCACACGCACAGGAAGGCCGAGTAGCGTGATCCCGAAAGTAAATGAAACTATCTCTCTAGCACGAGTGGCATCTTCTACATATTAAGTTCCTGGTCTACGAACGAATTTTTTTTCCCGAAAACGTCTAGAGGACAAAAACCGCTCTTGATGTCCCGCCCAGGACATCATTGAAAAGCAGACCCCCGTTTTCGTTTGCAACAGAAAATGCGACTAAATGAGGCATGTTATTTATCAACCTGCTATCCCCTTCTTTTTGTTTTACTTTCAGCTCTTTGAGCGAATACAACGATATTTTCGTACGCTGTCCGACGTGCAGCCTGCAGCTGCCGGCCCACCCCCTTTTTCCTTGATGTGGCATTTTTTGCGAGCTGCACGACAAGTTGGGAGAGCCTTCTTTTCATTCCCGTTGTACTAGTATAGTCCGACCAGCAACGAGAACGAATATGACCCTGTGGGTCGTTGGAGAAATACGATTACGAATAGGCATCAGAAGCGGGACGAGGCCTGAGTACCAGAACCTGCCTCGACGAGCAGTAGCAAATGCGACCTGGAACAAGCATAATTGCGGTGATGATCTTCATCGCTACGATGTAAAAAGCCCCTGCAATCAATGAGTAAACAGAAAAGTAGTAGTATCTATCCGACGCACGAAAGCTGCCATGTACAACGTCGATTGATTACCGACCAGCGTCGACGATTTTGATTATACGAGTAGAATATCCTATCGTCTTCGACGGGCATACTTATCAATATGATCTTCTCGACCGAGAACGGATGAGCGGACACACCACGAAGACCCAAGACCACGGATGGAGATAGAAGTTCCTTGTCCAGCACATGGGACGAAGCACTTACAGAAATCAGCATGTTGGTACGTCCTGCAACAGAAAATCGAGACCGATCATAGCATAAGTCCTTGTCGAGTTTCAAGTTCGACGCACTGGTGCGTTTTTTTTTTAGTTTTGCATTTGCACTGTTAAGCAAGTCACGCGTATAAATTCTGATTTTTATTGTTTGGGTGCGCTTCAGTCCTGATAGATTTGCTGCGAAGGAATGGTAAGGTTTTGATACTTTTTTTTTCTGAGCCAGTGGCAGTACCAGTGTTGCTTTTGAATTTGTTGATGTCCATTTGAGAATTCACACATGGATATGCCTATGGAGGTGCTGCACCCTGACCATACGGCAAATTCAACCACTGGTGGCTGCCGGCACTGCCACTGCTACTGTTTCCTTCAGTAGCACCATTTCGTTTCGTTCCTTCCATGTGGTATCCCTAAACCCGAGCGGCCCGTTGGACCGCGCCGTTGGGGCTGGGTAAAGCGTCCTGGGCCTACCTCCCAAAACCGAGGCCCAGCACGCCTCACCACCAAACGTCTGTCCGGACGAACCGGCACGACGTATACGGCCACTCGGGTGGGGGGGTGGGGCAAAAATTCACCTAAACCTACGTCCCCCAGACGCACATATCGATGACTCTACATCGCTCCTCCCCACTCTAGGGGAGGAGATCGCAAACGTGCAATAGCTTCTACGGATCTGCCAGCCGATATAGTGCGAACGGGGGACCCCAAATCCCAGTTACTACACGAAAAGGATCTACCGAGGTAGATATGTCTTTCGTTTCGTTCCTTCCATGTGGTATCCCTAAACCCGAGCGGCCCGTTGGACCGCGCCGTTGGGGCTGGGTAAAGCGTCCTGGGCCTACCTCCCAAAACCGAGGCCCAGCACGCCTCACCACCACCTTGCCAAACAGGGCAAGACCCCTCAGAACCCCACAGCAGGTGGTTGAATGAGGGGAGACCCAGCCCCGCCCCAATTGCCCTCGGCAAGGCCCTACGCCGAAGTGGAACAAACGAAATCCCAAAGCGAGGGACAAGTAGACACGGGAAGAAACCCAAACAAAACCGCCAGTGGTAGAAGTGGGAACACTGTTTTCTGAGTGGGATCACATGACAAGCCTGGGCCCGCGAAGCAGTAAATCGCATACCCAAAGGTGGAAAATGTATTTGAAGAAGAGACGTCATACCGTCCAGAAACATCTGCACACTGAGTCCACAGGCGGATCTCAAAACAAAAGGGTACAGGGCAAGCGCAAAAAACATCGCGGAGTGGCTCAAACTTGAGCCAGCAACTCCTCAGCCGGAATAGAATCCAGCAGCTCACAAGGATCTTCAAGCGGGGTCGCCACCGTGGTCAGGAACCTCTGAATCTCATCCCCCAAAGCGACACAGGAATGAAGCTGCACCCTAGCCACCCGACAGAACTGCGCCCAAAGTGCATCGCGGGTAGTCGCGTCAGCAACATTTTCCCCGGAGGGGAGCCACTCGAAGTACGGCACTATGGCAAAACGGGCACACAAACTCCAAAATAAAGCCGCTACCACCGACAGGTGAGCGCGCTCGCCCGATCGACTCCGCAAAACCCCCACCGCAGTGGTGTTGTCCAGAAAGAATACGACCCGCTTGTGCGACAAGGTCGGGCCCCAGAGCATCAACAGAATGACCGGTGTAAAACTCTCCAACACGTTGATCGGGAAAGACCCCCAAGAGGCGGATGGAAAATTATCCGCCCGCGAGACCGGGTGGCGGAACGCCTGGAAGGCACCCTCCTGCAGAAGACGGACCCCGCCGAGAATACCTCGCCCCCGCTTCCAACTCGCGTCCGAGTAGCACACCTCCACCGGGAGGCCCACTCGTAAGAAGGAAATCGGAGGAAGGACCGGGAGGCAGGCCGCCATGAAGCGTAAGCTCGCCGCACAACCGGAACCCAAGGGAAGGCAGGTGGCGCGAGAATGAAACAAACCTCCACGCCGAAAGACCGGCTTCAGCAAGCCATTTAGACGCCGGCCCACCAGCAGTGAGAAGGGGAAAAGGAACTTCCCGGAAAGGGTGGAAGCCCGCGCGGGACTGAGCTCCCCCGCCCCCAAGACTTCAACCAGGGCCGCCCGAAGGGTGGCGCGCTTCACTTCCGACAACTGCATCGTGGGAGGCGATTGCGACACGTCAAAATCCAAGCCCAAAACCCGCAAAGCGGTGCGCCCCCACTTGACCTTCTTCGGCTTCCAAGGAAAACCCAAAACCTCCAACATGTACACAATGGCGCGCATCAGGAGACGGCGAACCCTGCGGGGCGCCGTGCCGGTCATATCATCTATATAGATGATCAAGGCCACGCAGAAAAGCCACCGAACGCAGAAGGCCAGAAACTGCCCAACAATCAACCACTCCGTAACGGAGTGAATGTTCCCAAACAGGAGCGTGAGGCCGCGGAAGGCTTTGTAGGCCTTCGCCTTGGGGTCGAAAACCCCGATCCAGTTCGTCGCGCTCCCCGCCTTCGAAATGCTTACATTCTTGTAAGCGTTGGCAATGTCGATAACCCACTGGCAGAGCCCCGCACCCTCAGGGTCCGCACCATCCTCCGCTGCGTCGAAGTTCGGTATGTGGTCCAAAGCCGCCCAAGCAACCTCCCGCCAGCCCGGGTCGGACGGGCGGGCATCCGGGAAAGGATCAAAATCATACTCTTCACAGGCCAGGGGGTCTGCCCGGTTGCCCCCTTGGTCAAACACCCGCAAATCCCGCCAGAAGTCAACCCGCGGCGGGCCGCCTTCTTCTAGTAAAATCGCCGAGCTCGAAGCAAGGGCGAGAGCATGATGAACCGACGGAATCGGCATCGACGACGAGATGTCGGAGCAAACATTCAAAGGCACACCATTGTCGCAGAGGCGGATCTTGTCCGCCTCATGGTGTGCAAAACGAGTCAGAAGGATGCGCGCCCCCTTTTCCCAAGCTTCGTCCAGGGTAAAAGGACCCTGGAGCCAGCCGTCCTCGGTTTCTTGGATTGTAGTATCCCAGCAGTGCTTGACATCTTCACCCGGCATCCACGATGAGCTGCGCTGCCGCAGGCGCGAAATATTTTCCGCACCCTCAACCGAGGCTGCTAGGTCCCCCGAACCGGAGCCGGTAGTTGGGGCCGGGGGCAAACGTCCACCCTCCGACGCCTTCATGAGTTTCGACGGCCAAAAGTCTTGAGCCGCAGTGGGGCCGACCGATTCCCCCCCGGAAGCTAAAACCCGCCATACATGCGAGAAACCCGAAAAAGCAGACTCTCTGCCAATCTTCTCAATAACCCCGAAGTTGAACTTCGACCGGATTGGCCTGGTATCCTTCCAACCACCTGCCAAGACCTGCTCCGAGCGAGAGACGGTCGCTGGGTCCGCCCGGGCACAGGCCAGCCAGTAAACGCCCGCCAGAATCCGGTCCGAGAAATCCCCAAAGGACGAGCTGTGGCCTTCGCGCAGGCACTGTTCGTTGTGCCGCGAGATCAGTCGCCGACCCGAAAAGGCCGGGTGGCTCCTGTCCTGCGACAAACCTGGTAGAAACCTGTCCCGGTCCCGCTGGACCCGAGAGAGAAAGGCAGAAACCTTGTCAGCCGGCGAGGACTCCATTCTGATGCTGCACTACGCTGGCGAGCGCGACTCTGTGAAACGGAAGTAAAATTCTCCCTCAAAGGAAAAAGGCGAAACCGTCGCTCGCGACGGTTCCACAGTAGAGTGTGGGGGGTGGGCCCAGATAGCACCCACACCCTGTGGTGTAAGCGACAAGAGAAAAACCACCAGAATGTGAAAAACAAGAAAAGCGAGTGTACTAAGTAGCCAACCTGGGCGCGGTCTCGTGTCAGCACGGGAACTGAGGGGTGAGAAGAGCATGAGCATAACGATCACAAAGTACCGCGCCGCCAAGGAGGTGAGTTTGCAAGGGTAACGGATTGGTTACCGCCAGTGCCAAACAACCCTCATCCCCGTGGCAACACGAGACCGACCGCTGAGCATGTCTATGCTACACAATGAAAGACAACCCACGGGGGGTGAAGAGCCACTCTCCTCTCGACCGAAGGTTAACAGCTCACAAACACCTCGTGAGCACAACTACCACTCCGATCTCGGAATCTAACCGGCATCTACACCTAATCAACAGAGACGGAATGCAGGGAGCAATGTAGACCGAGGGCAACAAAGGGAACACCCCGCGAGCCTGGCCACGCCAGACCGCGAAATAAGTACCAGGCCAAGGGGGCCCGGAACGTTTCTAATTTCCACTCACAACAATCACACTCACATCTTGTTCTCACAACAGAGCAAAGCTTTCGCTAGGAGCTAAAATCCAAGAGCAACCAGGCCAGCATGGATTTGTTCATGTAGGAGTAGTAAAAAGCAACACGCCGACGGACCCACTTGGCCGAAGGCGAGGGCCAACCTCTAAAACTAAACTGCACATGCTGCAGTGCCTACTTCGGAGGCGCTTGCGCGTCCCCTCTCAAATCTTTTATCACAAAGGGAGACCGCAACACGTGCGGGAATCTGCAGCTGCTTCCGCGATTACAGCGGCCACGAAGAAAGTCGTGGCAAACAATCCCCACGTTGGAAGTAGTAGCCAAAATTTCTTCACCTCTCACCGGATCCCAGACCTTAGGGATTCCGGAGGAAGAAGCACGCCCGGGCGGGGCAGGACCCGGACCCGGGGGACGTGGAGCGAGTTGTTTAGGCGGTGCCGGGATCTGTAAAGAGCGAATCTGCCCAACGACACGGGCCCCGAAGCCCTGTGTGCCCCCGCGCACTTCGCCGTTCAGGATATCGCGGTACTGAGCCGGATCCAGCCGGCGCGACTCCCCCAGGGCAGTCAAATCATGAAACTCCGCCTCTGAAACCAGGTCGGAGTTCCGGAGCACTTTATGTGTGTTGCGAATCAGCATAACGTTAGTGGTAGGCGACCCCTTTTCGGCTTTGTAGTAGGACGCCAGATCCTCGAGCGGCAACCTAGCATCAATCTTCGCTCGTACCCCGTAAGCCTGTTCAGTGAAATGGTCTGCAAAGAAAATCCCGAAGCGAGTCGTCTGCGCGGTTCTATGTTTAGGCGCGGACGACAAAATCATCTTCACTTCGGCCCGCTCCGAAGCATTGAGGGCCTTGATGCCCTTAAGCGCCTTGATCTCCACGCTACTGCAGATGTGGAGCGACCTAACACCGTTGTAGTCCAGCACAGCTCGTGCCAGGCTCTCCGCGGGCACATCTACCGAGGACAGCGAATCAAGTGGGGAAGGCTCCCGCTGGTGCGCTAATAATTCGGATCGCGAGATCCCAAAGGCCTCGACCTCACTGTCACTAAAATCTTGCACGGCCTTCCGCTTCTTCACCGGGGGCGGGCCCTTGCGGGCCGGACCCGCCTCGCCCTCTTCCTCCGCGAGAAGAGCAGCGCAAATCTCATCTTCTTCAACTTCGGGGGCCGCCATCGGCGGGGCTTTCACTTTCGCAAACGGTTTAGCGACCGCCTTAACCGCTTTCGCCTTGTGGGGCGGCGCCTTCCCCTTGGGCTTGGCCGGAGCTTTAGCTTTGGCCGGGTGCTTCGCCTTTGCTTTTGCTTTCGCGGGCATCTTGTATCTGAACCTAAAAGCGATGCTCAATGTGAGTGTGAATGTGAACTAAGTGGCAAGATACACTTGCTCGTATCTAACGTGGTCCCCTGTACGTGGAAAATAAGCGAGAAGAAACCGGTCTGAACCCAAAGTGGGAGGGGGGGGGAGGGCCCAGATCCCATTTACAAGCAGCGTCTCCTGCTGCGATCAAAGATTTTCCCATACCGACCTAAACATACTCAACCACTCGCATTTCGTATCTGTCAAGAAAAATCGGGCTAGCCCTGGGCTCAAGATCTGACAGATTTTAGATTTGGGACCAACAAATTTATGTAGCAACAATTTCCGAGCGACTCGTGCACGAAATAGAACAGACCGCCACTGGACAAAAGTGAAGCAAATATATTTCTGCGCTATGCGGACTCTGGTTTTTTAGAAAACGATTTGGAAGTTTCCAGCTGTGCAGTGCCTGTAGCTCGAGCTGAAACATAATGCACCAGGCGTTCACTCCAGGTCGTCCTCCTCCGGAGACCAGCAGCATAGAAGCTGCTGCTCCTGGTCAGAGAATCGCGCAAAGTCATCACTGTATTCGAAAAAGGACAGGCTCCTAGCCTGAAGAGACCAGCCCTGCCTATTGGAGACCACCGCCACAAGCTTTTGCCGAGCTTTGGCGGCTTTCTTCCTATTCCATGCTAAGCGCGACGTGATCGCACACGTACGACGTGGCCCATGGCCACTCGTCTCGGCTAGCCTACAGGCAGACATGAACTCGCACTTCGATATCGGAAACAACGTGGCCCAGTTCTCAACTGAGCACACCGGGCAAACATTCACCCGGCTCTTCTTACACATGCAGAGCACCTCCATGCGGCGTAGCTGCGAGGTTTTGTCCTTGCGGACCATCAAAGCTGCTGACCGGGTCACACCTCCCTGCCTACGCAGGAAGACCTGCGAGCGGCTAATCGCCGTCAGGGTGTCGCCACGGATCCCTAGCGCCGAGGCCACTACTAAAATTTCTTTCTCCCGCTGTGTCATACGGCCCAGGGAAGCCAAAAAGATGGGCGTTGCCTTCTTCGGTTGAAGGTTCTGCGATTTCAAGTACCGGCCGATTGCCCGCTGCAGACCGAGGAGCTGCCGGGGGAATAAAATGTTTTTAATTCTTCCCGCCTCCCCTTCTAGCGTCACTGCTGAAGACAGGTAACCCGCCGCAGAGGTAAACCCCTGGGCCAAAAGAAAAGCGGCAAACTGTCGAAAATCCGCAATCCCAACTTCCCGGGCCTGCTCCAGGCCTTTCTGCACTTTGAACGCCTGCCATGCTCTTGCGTGAGAAGATTGCGGAGAACGTGTCCCGAAGACACTGGGCGCTGGCCCTCTAAATGAATACGTATGCGGGCGGCCCCGAGCCATGTTTGCAATCAAAGTTGTGATAGACAAGGTAAGACAAATCCACACATCGCCCTAACGGCACCTACTGAGACTTAGATCTGGAAAGGAACGGACCACTATCTGCCCTCAAAAGCACTACAGCAGCCTGGTAGTAGAAGAGAAAGAGAGAAAGGTTGACTTGGCGCGGGGCCTCAGAAGCGACCTAGCTACCCGAGCCCTACATCTAACATTCCGCACACTGTCGGATCCAATTTCCGATCTAACACTCTGAGCGCGTATCCTTTGTTTTTGAAGACCTTCCTTCATTTGAGCAAAAATAAACAGAGCCTCAAGCTCTTCAAAGACAAGTACTCACCTGCCGCGCAGTTGAAGCATGAGTATCAGAAAACTTCCATGTCTCTACGAAGACATGGATTGAAAAAGAAATCGTAGCAACCTGCTGTGGCCTTGCTGGCCCTAACTCACAATGGCTTTCGCGCCCACGCTAAACTGCCCCCGCTGGGGCCACCCTCTATGGTGAGAAAAAAGGAATAAACTCCCCCCGCTGGGGGATGCCCTCACTGGCGCCACCTACTTCGGTGTAGAACAAAAGGGCAAAAATTCACCTAAACCTACGTCCCCCAGACGCACATATCGATGACTCTACATCGCTCCTCCCCACTCTAGGGGAGGAGATCGCAAACGTGCAATAGCTTCTACGGATCTGCCAGCCGATATAGTGCGAACGGGGGACCCCAAATCCCAGTTACTACACGAAAAGGATCTACCGAGGTAGATATGTCGATATTATTACAGCCGGCACCCCCGCCACTAGTGGCAGTTGCGCATCTAGTGTTCCGTTGTCCCCGCGACGAAGACCGAGAGCGTCTCCCAGTGCCACGGGCAGTTCGGGGAATGTTATGTCAGGTTGTAGTTCTACTGGCAAAATATTAGAGTCGTGGCGCCCACCTTCTAAGTAGTTGCCCGCAAGGCCCGCACGACGGCCGAAATATGTTGGGTCGAACGCGGGCAGGTGCTCCGGGGAGGACGCGGCACTTGAACAAGCTGAAGAGGTGAGCGCGTTCGCCGACGTTGCTCTGGACAGGAGGGGTGACGCCTGGGTGCTCGCGGTGGCAGAAGTGGTTGTGCAGGCGGCGTCGGCGAAACGAAAATGTGGTCCTCCATATTTCCTCTGAGTGCAGGGCACAATGCGGATCGGCGACCCGGATGGAACTCCGGGCCTCCCCTGGCACGGATGCAACAGCATGCGCAACCGCAACTTCCACCAGCGCGCCGCGCTTTGCCAGTCCACGCTGGTGATCAATGAGAGCAAAGTATCCTGTGTAAAACCACCCGCCCAGACTTGTCAACGTGATGCAGGTCTGCTCAAATGTTTGGCATGCGCAGTCCCAACTACCCATGAGGAACAACATTCAGTAATGCACATTTCTTGGGAGTTTGAGTCATTTGTCACTCGCTCGAATAGCGACTAGATGTAAAAGTGACTACTTGTCCGGCTGCCGCGTGGCTATACAGTATGACACTGGGAGCCCCCGATTTTCTCATGTGCAAATTATACAGCCAAAACTTGTTGATTTGTGTAGCAGATTTTCCATTTTTACTCTGGCCGGGTGGGCGGAATGCTTTTACTCTGATACAGAGAAGAGAAAAAAGCCACTCTCGTGAACCACATCGCTGTATTGCGGGCGTGTTGCGGGTTATGCATTGCAAAACTATCGCACTGCTAGAACTACTAGCATAGTTGGTTTTCTTTACCAGAAAGAAGAATGAAATTTGTGATGCACGTTCAGGCACAAGAGCGGATTTATCATGCCGGACTTCTGCGGCTTTTACCTTTACGAGCGCGGTACTTTTGCAGAGCATACGGATCGCGGAGAAAGAGTTCGGTGGTTGCGATCAGGGAGGAGTTGGTCGTCGCTCTTGTAGCAGGAGTACAGCATCTACTGCTGCCCCCAGCAAGAACAGCTGATGTACTAGTTACATTTGCATTCATTCTCCCACAACTCAGCTCGCACCACTGCGCAAACCATTCCACCAGTGCGAGAAGTAAACAGGCACAGGTTTTCAGCCCTTTTTTCGACCGCAGAAATCCCCCTAAGCGGCTGCGGACCCACAGTTTGTGCAGTAGTTTCTCCCGCCGGGTTGGGCAAGTGAATTTTCTGTGTAGATTTCTGCAGGTGCTGCTAAGGATTCTCTTTGACTGCTCGCAGGCGACGAAGGTTTCGAGGGTGTCAACGTGGAAGAAATCTTGGTCCAGGACGTGGCGGGCCGTCGAAGATCTGGTTGGATGCAGGTCCGTGTGATCGACTTCCTTTGTCCTGCTAATTGTTACGCTGCAAGCTTGATCAGATGGTACGTCATGATTTTCGAGATCAAAGTGCAAGTCCGCCTGTTCCTCCCGTGCGTTCATCCTGGTGCTTTGTGCAGCTACAGAGCAGCTGCTCCGGCACTTATTTTGTAGGCAAGCCAAAGCAACACCCCGTGGTCTTGGTGATGGCGAGCTGCTACGCGGCCGTTCACGGAGCGGCGATGGATTTACCACGTAAGCGACAGCTTCACCTTTAATTCTTGCGCGCGCGCTAGAGGCACTGGTTGTAGCATTTTCCGCGGACGACGCACAAGCGTCAGACTTTTTTCGGGCAAAAATTGCCGCCGCCGAAACTGCAAGACTGGTAGTTGTCCTCGGAACAATCGTAAAAGCGGTCGGGTCCGCGACTGCGAGCAGGCAACAAGTGCGCCATATTACCGCTCGAGAAATGGACTGCAAAGTAGGTGTTCGCATATTTGGATTTGCAGCTGATGTACGTGAAAATAAAACTCGCATCAACCGAGAGCGAGAGTGAGCTGCGCCTGAAAACGAAAAATTAACCAATGGAGGAAATAGATGACTAGGACAGGAGAGCGTATGCGCATTGATCAACCGAAACTGCTACCGCAACTTTGGACGATCTTTTTGTCATTTTTTTGCAAAAAGGCTAGAGCCGGTGGCGCGGTACTGTCACTTTAGCAAAATGAGGGGCCTTATGCTGACGAACGCAGGCTTTCCTTTTTCGTCACCCTCCACAACAAAGAAAATCGCTGCGCACGACCACCATTCTATGCTATTGGTTGCGATATGAAAATTCAATGCAGAAAAATTATAAAATTTCTCACCACAACAAATCTAAATACATGAAGATAGATTCACGACTGCAAGACGACATTTCTCGTACGACACTAGTATTATCCCGGCCGTAGAATCACCATGAAATCAGAAAACCATAACGCTGTAGATTCTGACTCAACTACAATCAAAATTGCAAACAAGAGAGATTTAGGCCTGAATTATAAGTACAATACCAACTGTTTTTTGTCCCATGAAAAATTTAATGCGGATGAAAACTGAAAACAAATGAAAGCTACATCAAACTACTGCGATCCGGCTGCTATCGACGCCATCCATAAATTTGCAAGAGTAATGAATTATGCGAAATGGAGTTTATTCACCTCACGGACATGCTGGAATTCTCAATCTGTAGTCACGATAATGATACACATGCTAAAAATCCGGAAAATCGACAAACAATGCAATAGAAACAAATCCTGTCAATGTCAAAGTCAAAATGTTGCTCACAATTATGCTATTGTGTACTTAAGCTACAGTATACAAATACAATTACATCATACTTTTAGTTTTTCTTTTTTCTAGGAAAGAGTTCAACTGCCGTACCTACTGTTACAACACAGTGCGCGTAAGATCAAGAAGGATGCATTACTCAACACTGGCCGTCATGAAAAACTTTCTGCGATAAGCGGTCTTTTAAGAACCAAGTGAGAGTGTGAAGAATCGATGGAGTCGAAAATTTCAAAACTACTTCTACAGTCTTCAGAACAGAGAATGCAAGCGGTGAAAATAAGGAGCGCAATAAAATGTCGTCTCAAGAGATGACTCACGACATGATTCTCCTCCTGCGCATCCTCCATAAGAACATCCCCTACCTTGATGCGCGTACCGAGTGCGATGCCCACAAGGAGGAACTCCCGCCGTTCCGGCCCCCGCTCACCATGCTGGCCGGGTCCAGAAAGTGACCCTTCTGCGGGCTCCCGCGGCGACGCGAATCACCCAACTTGTTGGGCGAGAAGCTGCCCGCCCAAGCTGGGGTTTTCATGATGTTCGACCCCAGCTGATTTAGCTGCCCGTTATGTCCCGCCCGGGACGTCGCCGCGGATCCACCGCCGGCCACCGCGCCCCCGCTGCCCGTGCCCACTCGGGTGCTGTTCGCCCCGGCATACAACGCCTTCGCCGAGTGCGGTAAGTGCTGCGGGTAGTTCAGGTTCATATTTTTATTCGGACTGCTGGTCGTCGTACTTTTGCCGAGGGGTGAAGGGTGGGATGATGTTGAACCTCCTGGCGTCGATACAACGACGCCAGCTCCACCTCCAAGGTGGCCAACACCGGGACTGCTGCTGACCGAGGTTACCTGCATCGGCATTTGGGAATGTGGACCCTGATGATGGTGCAAGTGACTGGCCTGCAAAGCGCTGACGCCGACACTCTGCAGCGGGGAAGCGGAAGCATTCCGCGTGGAACTATCCACCGTTCCACCAGCTCCAAGGCCGACGCCCCCGCTAGTTGTGCTACCAAAGCCCAAATTGCTGCCGTTCGCCGCTGCAGGCGGGGGCACGACCATCGGCTTCACAAAGTTGTGAATCATCTGGGTTTTGCTCATCGTTCCACCCGCCAACTGCTGCTGCTGCTGTTGCTGATCTCTATCGGACAAGATCACACTGGACGAGGTGTTGGCCCTCAGCCCCGTTCTAGTGCGGTTCGCGGCGTAGTGCAGTTGCGGGTCCAGAAAATCCACCGATGCGGAGTGGTTGTGGTGCGATGAAGTAGATGAACTACCTGGCGGATGCTGATGGTCTGCTGTAGTACTGGTCGAAGTAGTGTTCGGCTTGATATTCCCTCCCACACCAGATGATCCACTGCCTACGACAGACGCTAACGTCTGCTTGTTGCTGTGTTGTTGATCGGGCGGCGCAAGCACGACGCTCGTCGGAACACTACTTCCCTGGTGCTGTGCAGCAGTCGTGCCGTTCGCTCCGTTTTTGATGACAGCACCCGCAGCATTTATTTTCTGATTGCTCCGCACGCTTGAGACTAACAACCCCGCGCTGGTCGGCGGGGCTTGGCCGAAGGCCGGCGCGGTGCCGAAGGTAGCGTTGTCGCGCCCGTGGTTATTTGATGTTGTTCCGCCAACATGATTGCCCCCGCCGCCCAACTTGTTTGACGCTGCACCTCCTGGCGTCCTCGGTACCATATTGCCGCCGCCCGGCGTACTGTTTCTGTCGTAGCTATGGATGTGTCAGAGTTGAAATCGACAAAGTTGAAATAATTTGCCATCCATAAAATGGATGCCAGTTGGAACCCAGTTTCCAAGTGGCGCATGACAAATTTCGGCGCTCCCTAAATCCAGTTTGTCATGCTGTTTAGGCAAAGAAGAGCGATTTTCCCATGCTACTTTAGCAGCTCGAGCTGTAACCCCAAACAGGCTTACAATTGGCCTCACTTGCCTGCTCTGCAACACACGCACCTCGGGTCATGCATTTTATGCATTACAAATTATTTCAACTTTGACGATTTCAAACCTGACGCTTCCATAGTAGCCGGGGAGAATTTTTTGCAGGGTGTTGATCCGGCTCGAGTTCAGCACGGACGCCACTTTGTCGTGCAAGCGCGGCATCACGTCGTGCATGGTTTCCCCGTCTTGGAAGAGAATGTCCAGCCGTCCGTTCTCGAGTTTTCTCCGCACCACCACTTTCTCCCACCCCAGGTTCGTCAAAACTTGCACGACGTCGCCCATTTTCAAGTGCGCGTAGCGGTAGGTTGCTTTCTTCACTGTTTGCTCCGAATTCTTGTCCGGAGACCCGGAATTATTCTGCTGATTGTTTTCTCCGGAGGAAGAACCGGTGTCATTTTTATTCCCCGGAGCGTTCGCCGTTCCAACGCGACTGTTGCTGACCGAAGAACCATCGTTGTTCGCCGGCGCATCGACGATGGAAAGACCCTGCGTTTTATCACCGGGAATAAAAGCGTTATTAACGGACTTTGTGATGCAGCAATGTTCTATGCAGGAACACGGACGGGGCCGTGAGACAACCACAACTTGCTTCTTTTGGTTTTGCATAGCAACCAAAAATATACTTTAAAATCTTTGTATGCAAATGACTGGTGGAATCTTCATCTTCTGTGATAACCGTTAAGAACGATAACATGCTTTTGGTTGATACGTTTTCAAAATGTGCTCGCCGAGATCTCCCGGGGGGTTTTGCAGCAAGTTGTGATAACGATATCCCTGCATCGACTGGGTCGGAACCCCCCCGGACGCGCCCACCGAGGCCGGCTGAATCAAGGTTGCGATGTTTTGTTGATCGCTTTCTCCTGTTGAACCGGTCCCATTTGACGCGCCTTGCTGCCCACCACCGGACGAGGCATTGTTCATCGCTCCAGCAGCGCCATTCATCACTCGGCCAATCCGACTTCCCATGCTGTTCCTGAGGCGATCCGCCACCGCGGCTGCAATCGCCCCCGGCTCACGACTGTGCTCGTTGACCGAGTCGTAATTGTTTAAGCCACCGCCTCCGACGCCCTGCCCGGCAATCGCGAGCGGACGGTCGTCCTTCAAACGGTTCAGCATTTCCGTGGTGGTTGGAGTCGACGTTGCATTGTCTGCTCCAGAGTTGTTGTTTTCGCTCATCCGCGCCTGGGGAAACATTTGGTGATCGGCCCCGGCGGACTTGCTCGAGATCAGAAGTGGGTGCTTGCTGTCCGCGTTTTGATGTCCCCCGCCGCCGGGGAGCAAGGAAGCCACAGTACGGGCACGTGAACGGAGGTGCTGGGCGCGACGGTCTGTATGGTATAGTGGAAGCTTTATCGACTTGGTTCTGGTACAGAAGGAACAAACGAAACCACTAATGGATTTGGATGCTATGACATTGTCATAGCATTAAATGCAAACTACAATCAGTATGTCTTTGTTCTTCGACTACTTTAATTATTGTGTACTTCGTGCTTATAAACCGGAGTCATTCAACATTTTCATCACACTTGGAGTGTCGTAAGGACGGACGAGACGAGAAGAGTATGTAGAAAGATGTAGTTCGTGTAGAAAACTAGTTCTAAAAATTCATCTATACCCAGTTCCTCCTCCCCCTCCGCCTGTTCCCTCTCGAGTCGGTCCTTCGCCGATTCCCTCGGCAACAAGAAGCTCCGTCTGGGCTTGCTCTTTTTTACCGCCGGCTGTTCGGTGACCTGTTTCGGCTTTCGGTCCTCGATCCAGTCTTGGCACCGGTACCGCCGACTGGTCGACCCGGTCAGCGTTTCCCAAATATCGAACGCCGTGTCCACAAATTTTCCGTAGTGATTCACGAACTCTTCAATATCCGTTGGGGGATACAACTTTTTGAAACCCGTACTCCCCTCGATCAAACTGACTTCCTCCTGTTCGCACCTGGTGAGCTCTCGCACAACCGGCACAGCCACCGTTGGGTACTCCTGCTTGTGCACCTCTTGATTCTGCTGGTTACTATTTTGGGCACCGGCACTTGACGTGTTGGTGGTGGATCCGAAGGCGGACCGTTTCTTTGCATTCACCAAATTGTGGCTGTTGTAGGGATCTCGGTCGTTGCTAGAAGATTTTCCGAAGGCCACACCGGGCTTCTGCAGGCTATTGTTTATCTGGTTGTGGTTCTTGAGTGGTGAAGCTACGGAAGGAGCCGGAGCTGTGGACTTATTTTGCGCAGTAGTTGTCGTGGCACTACTAGCAGCGGATTTATTGTTGCTGTTTTCCTCCTTGTTGTTGGTTGCTTGCTCAGCTGCAGGTGTGCTGGCTCCTTCCGTGGTTGTGCCCGCGCCACTGACTCCACCTTGCTCCTCTACAGGTGCCGCCTGAGTAGAAGCGCTAGCAGATGCCGAGTCCGCGCTCGCCGGGGCTGATCCCCCGTCCGCACTCGCCGCTGCAGCTCCCCCGGATTCGGAAGCTGTGGTTGTAGTAGACGAAGTCACGGTGGCCGCATTGTTCGACGTCCCAGCAGTGGCAGTCGCATTTCCCGACACCGCTGCCTCCGCACTAGCTGTTGACGCTGCTCCCTTCCCGGGAGAAGAAGCAGTGGATCCCCCGGCAGCTCCATTTGCATTTGCGGTCCCCTCCACCCCGCTCGTAGTTCCGCCGTTGATCGTACTGTGCTGCGCCGCTTTCTCTCCCTGCCCGGACACGAACTTGTTCCCCGTCAACTTGCCGCCCTTGATGACGCTGGCGCCCATCACCCGCGCCTCCGCGCGTTGCAGCATCTCCTTCCGGTATTTTCGCCTCCTTTCCGGGTTCAGTTGCAGGATTTGGAACGTGTCCCGCAACACGTTGTATTTCGCGTCTCTGTCCACCTCGGACTCCGTGGCAAAACTCGGCGCGTGGTTTACCTCGAGGAGCCAGGGCTTGCCCTTCGCGTCGATAATAACGTCGAAACCGAGGATCTCGAAGCACATGACGCTATGCCCTGCTCAGCTGAAACTACAATCGTCCCAACTGGAACGACATATGACAAAGGCGGATCTTTGACTTCACATTAAATCTAAACGTATTTCAATGCGGCTCCTCTGAGTGTCACTACAGATCTGTCCTTGTAGTCTAGTTCATGACAGCTATACAGTTCGTCGTCATCCGCATACATTTTCTTGATCTTGTTGCATCACAAATTCATGCTGTTCCATCTTCTGAGACTATTCCATTTGTTGAGCGGGCCATAGTCGTTTTTATCCACATCTTCCGGCTGGCACGAGCGGTAGACATGGCGAAGCGAGGGTTGAATTGAAATCAAAGTCTTCACGATCAGCTGTAGTTTCGTTTTGTTTATTCCAATTATTATCACCATACTCGCAAGAACGGCATCAGGATCAGCAATCGTCTGTTTATTTCTGCTCACGTTTATGAACAGCAACCTTTTCACCAAACCAAGAAGATTTGAACAACATACTGGGAAAAGACCGTCACTCTATTCTTTGTAGAAATAAATGCTGACGACAGTCATATATCAATATACCTCCTCAATTTCTGCAAACAGTTTCTCAGTGTCCACGTTGTACTCTTCCGCCAAATACTTCACCACTGCGGTTAAGCTCCGCTTGTGCCCGCTCGCACCGTCGTCAACGTCATCGTTTTCCAGGAATTTGGGATTTTTCGCGTTGATGCTGTAGTTGGTCAAGTGCACCATCTGCCGTTCCAGATTTTTCGACTTCGGCGCCACGTAACGCTCGCTCGCGAGGCGGACCAGACCCTTTTCGTGCAGGTAAATGCGCAGTGGGTCGCACCCGGTGACCAACACGTACAGCCGCAGGTCGAACTTGTGCCCATCCAGGAGGAAGGGCTTCGCAATGTACTTCTGCGCGACCAGCGGGGTCGTCATGTCGATGTGCGTGGGCCATTCGCGCGTCAGAAAAATTCCGCGGCCCTGGCACCCGTTGTCCGGCTTGATGATAAAAGTGCGGTTGCGGGACGCCTGCTGCTGGAATTGCGCCTTGAAATCCGACATATCGGTCGGGAGAATCCACGTTTCCGGGAAGAACTTGTACTCTCGCGGGTAGTACTTTTTCATTCGGAGCAGATTCCGCCCGAGATTGTTTTTCCGGGTGATCGCGCACATGCCGACAAAGTGGTTGATTTTCTGGGACTATGCAGCGCAAAAGCAGAAGGATCGCACAAAAGAAAACTAGCGAAAATCGCATCACAAATGACTTCAACAGCAAGAAGAAAGCGCAGCTCTTTGCCATGCTGATTCATATTGGGTAAGATATTTGCAGTGCATGACAGGTAGTACTACAGTAGTATTTACTACACGACTTCTGCGATGCTTGTTTGGAGTTGCATAGGTACGACTTCAATTTCGTGAACCGCTCTGCGGGAATGGACTGATCCGACCAAATCAGTTCGGCCAGCGCGTCGGAGTGCACCTGTTTCCAGTTACTGAAGGCCGCGACCACCTCCTGCATCACCGGGTACTTGGTTTCAATATCCTGCGCAAAAGTGCAGTACCCGTACTCGTATTGCAGTCACGCATTACAAATTTCTTTCTCAAGTCAAATCCGCATTACAACTTTTATTGAATTTGTCATGCATTTATACGAGTACGATACTTTTGCAATCCATATTCAAAATACGCTAGCACCTTGTCGGCGTTTTTGTCCACTTTCTTCTTGCGCTTCACCAACTTCGTACTTGGAGACTGCGACTCTCCGTCCTCGCCGCGGACCTGGGAAAATGGGGACAGGAAATAAACGGTGCTTTTGGTTGTATACTTTCAACACGACAGGAGCAACAGCCGGCGGCACAGCCACAGGAGGTGAAAAAGGCCAGCGCATTGACACTGTGCAAATGTCGGACGAAGAAGATGAAAGCACAACCTACCAAGCGTCACCAGTGATCGTTGTTTCGTCCTAAGATACGTTCATGTAATTCCACGACGACCAGAAAACTACACAAGCACAAACACTAACAACTACTTCTACGTACAACAACAAACGAAATCTTTTTCACAATGAGAATAAGAAATAGAAATCTGAATCTCGATTACTTAGTAAGTACCCTCCCGCCCCGGCCCAGCAGCTGTTCCGCGGCCTTGTCTTTCTGCTGTTGCAGTTCTTCGGCGGTCAGAATTTTGACGGCGAACCGCTTCGAATCGTCGTCCTGCTGTTTTTTCGCCAGCATTTGCGCGACGAGCCGGTCTACCTGCGCCAGGCGCTGCTCCGTTTCCGATTTTTCCTGCTGCTTCTCCAGCATCTCCTGGTCGTGCTTCAGAATCAAATGCAAACGTGTCCGGGTCTGGAACATTGCCAGGTTTGTCATGCATATTTTGTATGGTCCATGATGCCTGTAATGCATGATCTAGCATCACAGATCCTTAGAGGGCTTCCTAATGCTTATTCCGCATGAGAAATGCCCTCCCCGCGTATACACATTGCTGGTCATGCAATAGAGATTTTTTTGAAATTCAAAGACAGAATTACAAGTTGCAACATTCGCATTCCACACCCAGACATATTCGCAAAGCATATTCAGCTGCATGTCGCGAATTTGGCTCGCCAACTTTTCCACGGCTTGCTGGCGCGCGGACCCCTGCTCCAGCAAGTGCGGCCGTTTCAGCGCCTCGGCGACAATTCGGTCCACCGCGGTCTTGCAGCTGGCAAGCACGTCTGTAATAGAAGTGGCACTGTCCGCGGCGCCCACCACGGGAACTGTGGTTGTCGTAGACGGTGTTGTCGTAGAAGCAGAGCCATCAGCAGGACCAACTATTGAAGAACCGGTGGCACAACTGCTATCTGTTTCATTTTTATCAACGCCACTTATGCTGCTCTTGCCGCTCTGCGGGGTGGACTCTGGTAGCTTTTGTGCACCAGCTGGCGAGATTTCCGAGACAACTGTGGTTTCCTTTATCCGGGAGAGGCTGCTGTTCAGTTGCTCCAAAGCGAACACCACCTCGTCGGGCTCATCAGGAGCTTCCGCCAACATTTGCAGCTTCGTTTCACTTCCTTGCTGCCCCAGGTGTTCTCCCGGTCGTGTGGTCGTTCCCTCAGCCCCTGCTGTGCCAGCACTATTAGCGGAAAGCAGGTTTTTATTGACATTATCTGCAGCAGCTTCTAGTTCTACTTCATGATCGGAAGTAGTGGTCCTCGGTCTCGCGACGAGGTGTGCTGGTGCGGCGGAACCCGTCGTCGCCCCTGGTACTTCTGCCTTCGAAGCTGCTGCAACTGCGCTAATGCTTCTTCCACCGGTGGCCGCCGGCTGCAGCTTCGACATTCCCTGCTGTTGAAGAAGATGTTGCCCAGTCGGAACTGTATCCAGCTCCGCGCTGCTGACCATGTGCTCCGTATCCTGCAACGCCTTTTTGATCCCTTTTGCGATGTCCGCGATGCTGGAGACCGTCTGCGACGCGCATCCAAAGTAAATTTCCCGCGCACAACAACGCACAAACCAAAATCAAATGCAAATCCCGTTCCTGCATGATAAAACTTGCATTGCCTTCGATAGTCTCTAGCATGAAAAGTATCACCAGCTCTCTTCAAGTGGCGAAGTCTGTTTCTGTGATGCATTTAATTTTGTACATGTGCGTAAATAATTTTTTTTGTATTGCATAAGCCCGACGCAACCCCGTCATGGTCCACCTGGTCCACCGGGCGGCGCAGGCTTTTGTCGGGGTCGGATCCCAGAAAGTAGTCTTGGCCACTGCTGGAAAACCGGGGGTCGTAGCCCTTTTCCTCGGCCTCCTTGATGCGTTGCTCCACATACGTGGCGTTGATCTTCATGGACGTGGTGCTCCACCGGTCGGAGAGCTTATTTTTCTTTTTCTCCGCCGCTGAGTTTCGGCTGCTGCTTTTGGAAGCCTTGTTGCTGCCATCCACCCCAGTCGTGGTACCATTCTCCTCGTCGTCGCTGCCCTCGTTGTCGTTTTCCTCGTTCTATCAAATGTAAAAATGTCTGGGTCTGGAAGAATGCCAGATTTGTCATGCAGGTTTTCCATGACCCATGAGGTCTGGTATGTAGGACATAGCATGACAGATTCTGTGAGGGTTCTATCATGCCTATCCTGCATGAGAAACTGCCTCTTGATTAGGTCAAAAGTGGACAGCTTTTGGGAATCATGCAACACAGATTTTTACACGATTCAGATTTAGCATGACAAGTTGCTTTGTTCCAGACCCAGACATTTTTGCATTTGATACGTTCTCAGAGCCGCTGTCGCTCTCGCTCTCGCTATCCTCGTCCTCATCATCCGACCCGCTGTCCTCTACTTCATCCTGATGTTGAGCAGTGTGACGCTGAAGATGCCCTGCAGCTCGCTCTTCCTCGCGCTCGACACCACGGCTGCCACGGTGCTGCTGCTGCTGCTGTCCCAGAGACAGTGCGGAAGAAGAAGTTTCTTCGATCATGGTTCTCGTTCTGTCCTTCGTCTTGCTCATCTTCCCTGCGGCCGAGGTGGGACCAGTGCCATCTGCTGGCTCTTCGGTGGTTGAGCAACCCGGCGTGGCTTCCGCTGTTGTACTAGCGAGCGGAGTTCTCGTTTGGTGCAGATCTTCCACGCCGTCGTCTGCCATGGTGGTCCCCTTGCTGTAGTTATTTTTCGTCGTGGAGGTTGCAGAAGATTTATTCGGCTTTGATGCATCGCGGCCTGTCCTAGGTAGTACAGTGCCACTTGTTGTATTGTTCGCATCATCGTTCATGTTCCGCTTTTCGTTTTTGTTTTTGCCAGTATTAGAGGCAACTGCATGTTGTGCACCAGAAGGCGCTGCCCCTGCGGCCCCGGAGCCGAAGTTCTGCACTTCAATCTCCAGGTCTTCCTCCGCCAAAGCCGGCAATTTCACCGGGCGCGCTTCCCGGCGCTGCTGCAAGCTTGCGAGCTCCGACAAAACTTGCGCAGATAAGTCTTCATCCGTGCAGGTTCTTTCGTCTTCTTGTTCATGAAGATTTCCTGTAGAAGTTCCATCGTTCATCTCCATCCTGGACAACATGGCTCCGTCGCCGGTCTTGTTTCCGCTAGCGGCTCGCGACGGTAAAGACGGCACGGCACGCTCTGAAGTCCTTCCAGGAGCCGACGCGTGATTAGCAGCGCTACTCAGAGGAACTCCAGCTTGACCTTGCAGTTGGTGCTGCTGCGTGTGGTTCATTTTGGACTTGCTCAAGACAGCACTGTATGCATTGTAAAAGTATCGTGCTTGTTCTAGTGGGAATTGCACATACAACATCAAATTTCCTCAGCGTGGTCAAGCCAAAGACAACTGCTAATGCAGCTCCTCAGGAAGGACATTTATCATGTATGAACATGATTGCAAAACTGCTACGAGTACTACGATACTTTCTTACACAAGATCATACACTGCTCATGTTCAACACACTGCGTAGTTTCTCCAAGGCCTCCTGCACAATGGCCGCCCGTTCCTGCTCCACCTCGTGCTCGTCCCGCTCGCGTTGTTGGTTTGTCGAAAGCGAGCCTCCACTGTGATGCTGCGCACTATTGTAGAAAGAACCTCCGGCAGCAGAGGACATCATTTGATTTTGATGCTCCTGCTCATTGTCTTGCTGCATTACCGCGGCGTCCGCGGCCATGGCGGCGATTTCGTCGGAGACGTTGACGTATCAAATGCAAATGTGTCTGGGTCGTCTGGAATAAACTTGTGCTGCTGGTAGTTGGCGAATCCTATAGGACGTCACAAGTGACAGCTCGTCAGCATGACAAGTTTCTGAGTTTCTAGGTGTTGTCTTTTCCCCTGCATGACAAAGTGCGGCTCTGCATGTTGACAGAGGAAAGAGGGGGCTTTTGGGTAACGTGCCATAACAAACTCTTTAGTAATGCTAGCAGGGCATGATAAACCTCTGGCTCTCCTCTGCAGTCTTCCACAGTATGACCAAGTCATTGACTATTTGCAGCGGATATGACAGGCTGGTGCTGCCGAAACTGGTCAAACAGCTGCAGCTCCAGCGGGGCCGCCGCATAGTTGAAATCACCATCTGGGCCATTTCCTCCAGCCAAAGAAGTACCATCCGGACCTCCAGTAGCACCGCTTGTAGCTGCACCTCTGACAGCACTATCCAAAGTGAGTTTTTTTACCGAACACGAAGACGAAGTATACGTGCTGGCATACTTAATTGCATGACAAAATTTCTCGCCGTGGGCAACAAAAAAATGCAGTATGACAAGTCTACTCAAGCTTTCGCCGGTAGTAGTTGGCAACATTTGTCATGCACTTTGTACGTGAACGTGTGCAGTAAACGTAAAAAAAACTTTGTATTGCATAAGCACCAACAGCACTCCCGGCTCCGAACCCGTCCACCAAGGTCGTCCGTAGGTGGTCTCGCAGCGGGGAGGTAACGATCTCGTGGTTGGTGGAAGGTGGGAGCAGGCCGACATGATTTGAGACTGCTGGTGGCGCTCCGCCGGCTCCGTCCGACGTGCCGTTACTTCTAGTGTCGGCTTGATGTGGTTGGCCGCCGCTTGTTGATGTCGCACCAGATCCTGGTCCTATGGATTGCAAAAATGTCTGCGTCTGGAAAGATCTGAACTTGTGATGCGCATTTTAGAACACAGAAAAACCTCTCATGCATAGGTAGCAAAAGCTGCCCACTTTCTGTCACCAAAATGGGGGATTTCTCGTGCGGGTTCAGCATTGCGGAAGCTTGTCGAAACCTGTGATCCTAGAGCTTCCATGCCAGACCTGCTGTGTCATGCAAAAACAGCATGACTCTTCTAGACCCAGACATTTTTACATTTGATAGGTCCAGCTTCAGATCCATTGTTCGTCACGTTCGGCGAAGAGGAGGGTTGGTGTTTTGAATTAGTTCTGTTGTTGTAGTTCCCGCCTCGTCTAGTCGAAAAGAGACGGCGGGTATCGTAGGGGAAAATCAGTCGCAGCGGGACGACCCTCCATTTGTATGCCGCATCCATTCGTGTAGTACGAATGCAAATTTATAAACTTCTTGCCGACGACGCAGTGTACATTCTGCATGGTGCAATAATTATCATTATAGCAAGCATGGTGCATTTTTTCTTTTTCAAATTGAGGACGACGACACAACTGACGGTGATTTTCTTCAGCGTAAGCATCCTCATCGTAGTACCCGTCTTCTTCAGCTATCCCGTGTGAAAACGACCCCCGACGAAACACCCCTGTTGTGCTCAACATGTAGCACACTCAACTATGCTACACAAGTTTAGCTTTAGTTTGAGACTCTCTGCGACTGCGAGTCGCGCATGACAAGCTACTAACTTCTGCGGCTACGTCAGAAAATTCATTTATTTATAGCCAGGTTCTCCTTCTTCATTGGATTATGATTTTCAAGAACCAGAACGATCTTTAGCAAAAGCTTCTTTTGGGCGGCCCCAGCAAGCTGCGCGAAATAATGAACGCGCATAGGAGAAGCTCACCAACTGGTACTAGTGTACTACATGCTTGATCTCTACTACCCTACCAGGTATGGGGTCGCCTGGGAGCAGGCGTTTTACTTATACACGACAGGTCGTGTACCACCATATCTGCCAGCACGTCTTCGTCAACCTCTTCGTACTGCCCGTCCTCGCCGACGGTGTCTGCTCGAAACAGCTGGTTCAGCCCGATCTCGTCCAGAGGATTACGACTTTTCACGTTTGACATTTTGTTGTATTTTCCAGTATTTACTATCTATTGTTCCTACAGTCTATGTTCGTGCCAGGAGTTTCTGCAGTTGTTCCTGGTGCTGCATGCAGTCCTAGTGCTACTATACTTTTCCTCTTGTCTACTCGTCCATCTACCCATCTACTCGAAAGAAACAAAAAAACAAACGAAAATAACAAGTAAACACACTATCACTGTAACGTCGTTGGAGACCACAGACAAGAAGCACAATGTTTACAATTTTGATTTTTACCGTGGTACTATACAACTTACATCAACATCCACTAGAGCATACAAATACCTCACGAAGGTGAAGCGAATGAATAGGTAGAAAATGAGGTAAAGACCACGACTCCGTACGAAGTGGATTTTTATTGTCGATGTCTAGTTCTTCGGTCTACGTCTACCAGATCGTGCAACGAACGACAGGAGCGAGTTCCGGGCCAGCGAATCTTTCACGCTTCAAGCGACAACGAATTTTTTCTTGCCCAAAGCCGATGTAACTAAACAAACTACGACGTGCAATTGCATATTTATACGAATGATGTGCTGCTCTTCTTCATCCGCCCGCAGTTGAGCTGTAAGTACACGACTGTTGTTGTACTATGTTGACCACGATTTTTGTCAAGATAAACTCATGTAATATGTTGGCATTGATGACGACCCACACGAACGGAGCGCGCAAAAACACAAATGACGAGAAGAAGAGACGACTTTCCTCTCTTCACGAACGTTTGTTCATCTTGATGCCAAGAAACGGCGAGAGAAGAGGGTGAAGAGCGAGTATTTCTTCAGCGCCACAAGGTCGCGCGGCCCAACAATCACTTCTTCGGACCAGTGCTTACAAAATCCTTCCTGTACTAGATGCAGGCTCGAAGCTTCGTTATGGTGCAGCTATGGCATTTTTCTTATCTTGTTTCCTAATTTTATTCCAATACATATACATTTTCTGCATGATAAAGGTAAAGCTGTAAGTAGTAGAAACCGCGAATATAATGTGGATGCAGTTTGTGTTTGTCTTCGTAATTCACAGTGTCATGCTCTGCTTGTTCATAGTGTGCAATTACTAATTTCAAGTTGATTCAATTGGCCCTATATCAGGGGTCCATACCTTCCAGCTCATTCCCGTCGTCCACATCCATTGAATCCAACTCGTCTTCCATCCCGACTTGGACTTCTTCCTTGCCGTCCTGGATTTCCAAAAAATCCTCCATCAAAACCTGCTGCGAGGAGGGACGAGAGGAAGATGTTGACGAACCTGAGTGATGAAGATGTTGGTATTTGATTCAGCGCTACATTCGAGATCGAAATCATCACATCGTTCAAACATGATCAGGACCGCAGCATCAGCCCCGCACCGTCACAACCATGTTGATCGAGATGAATTACAGAAAAACTAGAGTCGTAAGTACTTGATTGGCAAATCGAAATCTGTATAGCAAAGTTACCAGCTTGTAGTTCCTGCGTCAGTCCCACGTCTTGTTTCGACGTCCCGATCTGGGAGTCCTGCATGTGTTGCAGCGTCGTAGTTGTTCTGCTCATCGCGTTCTTCATCCCATTGGTCGTGTGTTTCACTTTGTTCTTCTTGTTACCGCTCTTTGTCTGCATCAAAGTGCTAGTACCGGAGACCGAGGACTTTCCGCGAGTTGATCCTTCCGCGCCGAGGTCGCCATCCGCGAGCAGATTCACGTCACCACCAGCAGCGGGGTCTCGGCCTGCCTGTACGGAGTCTTGCGACCACGTCCACTCTTCAGCGACTTGGTCCGGGTTGTAGGTTCCGAGGTGGTGGACGATTTCCGGCGATTCTTGGCCGTTGTACTTCATGTCCGGATTTAGATTCTTTTGCTGGCTCCCACCTTGTTGTTTCTGCGCGACCCGCGGAGAGGACGAGGTCTGCAGAGTCGACGAGCTGCGACTTCGTGACCGGCTCCATGGTGCTCGCGGCAGCCTCGACCACCAAGATCGGGATCTGGATTTTGTCGCTGCTGTCGGATTCGACCTGCTCCTCGGCCACCATCTTTGCCACCATCGTTTTGGCTTTTCTTCGTTTTGGCTTTTCTCGTTTCGCGTTGGCATTTCTCGGGCGAACATGCTGGACCGCAGTGCCGCCAGCTGGTTTGGTCCGAACCAAGTTGCACTCGTTGACCCAGTTGCGATAGTGGACGGCTTCGACACAGTGCTCTCGGTCTCTGCGCGATCAGGTGGTGCTGGATACGCCTGCGGACCTTCCTGCACCGTCTCGGCGGGGGGGGGAGGGCAACATGCGTCTATACACCGACCGCAAGTGGCTCCCACGATCTTATCCCCGAGCGTGTCCTCCTCCGGGCTTAATCCGAGCTCGTCCTTAACTGTGACGTCGCAGTTGCAGCGCTCACACCACGAAAAACACGAAAACCAATCGACCGGCTTGAAATCGGTCGTTGGCGTAGGCGATGCTTTTGCTAAGGTAGTAGCAATAAACGAGGTTGACCCACGCGACGCACCAGAGACGAGATCACCCCCACCATGAAGTCCCTGCCGCCCTGCAATTTCTTCTTCGTGCTGCGCTCCGACGTGGTGCCTGGTGCTGCCCATTGCGTCGACATCCGCGGATGGCACAAGCAGGTTAGCGTCTTCGGTTATGAAAGTTTCTTCAAGTAGTTGGAAATTGACGAAGTTGAAGTAAATTCGTACTGATAAAAAGTAAATGCCACAGGGACGCACGAAGTCGGTCCATTACCACAGCGCGAGCGCAGGAGGACACAGGGAGGCACATCAGAGCAGTCCAGCTAAGAAGCAACAATATAGGCTGCTGACAACTAGCACGACACTCTTTTGCTGTGCCCTAATCAGCGTCGTGACAGATTTATCGACTCAGCCACATCAACAAGAAAAAACCGTCATGCGCCGATTAGAAACTGTGGGTCCAACGGCTGCAACTACAGGTATCAATTTTACGCACTACAAGTCTATTACTCAAGTAATCAATTTCGTCAATTTCATCCAACCTGGTGACACTACCGTAGCGCTCGGGAGCACCCACAGGGGTGTTTCAGTGTGATGCTTCACTTTGTTCTTGCTCTTTGTCTGCATGAAAGAGCTAGTACCAGCAACCGAGGCCTTCCGCGATTCGTTCCTTCCGCTCCGAAGTCGCCATCCGCGAGCAGATCCTGGTCAGTACCAGCAGCGGGGTCTCGGCCTGCCTGTACGGAGTCTTGCGACCACGTCTACTCTTCAGCGGCTTCTTGGTCTGCGTTGTAGTTTCCGAGGTCGTGGTGGACGATTTCCGGCGATTCTTGGTCCTTGTTCACGTCCGGATTGAGATTGTTTTGCTGGCTCGTACCTTGTTGCTTCTGCGCGGCCCGCGGAGATGAAGACGAGGTCTGCAGATTCGATGAGCTGCGACTTTCTGACCAGTTCCTCCATGGTGCTTGCGGCAGCCTCGGCAGCCAGGATCGGGATTGGGGTTCTGTCGCTGCTGTCGGTTTCGAGCTGCTCGGCCACAATCTCTGCCACCATCGTATTCGGCTTGGATTTTCTTGCTGCTGCTGCCAGTACCTTCGGCGGTACCCTGCGACCCAGTTGCGGCGCTCTGCGCATCCCAGGATTTCTGCGACTCCGATTCCGAGGTGAATTCCCGTGGTAATACTACTAGTAGGGAAACACGCTTAGTAGTATATGAACAATCTCGACACGAATCTGATGCAGCCGTTCTATGCAAGGAGCGCTATGGCAGCTGCTCAAATGGCCGGCCATAGTTGCGCATCGGTTTCCAGTTTGTTCGCGCTTCGCTTCCGTCGTAAAGCGTCGCTATTCATAACCTCTAGCCTTTTCATAATTCCATCACGGTGCCTCATCAACAAACTTGGTCCATATTATAGAAGTTTGAGTTTCCTAGTTTTTTTTTTCGTGCCTGATGCTGATCGTGTGCTGATTCGTTACACTACATCTTGATCTCGAGTGGTAGATCGATAGGGTCTTCGTCACCCAGGTCCAGCTCCGCTATAGTCTTCCCCACTCTTCCCCGACCCGGAAAATGTCCGATCCGGGCCGGGCCCGACATCGGTCCACTCCCCTGGCCATTTGCTCGCATTTTTTCTTCGAGCGCGGTAACAATTAAACCATCTAGCTCAGAGCGCCGGGTTAGTCGTCTGGCTGGCCGAAACCGGGCGGCCGGACGACTAACTCGGGACTGTAAGTCGGAGACATTTTCTGTATAGCGACTCCGGACCTGACTACCCCGGCCCGAGGCGTGTTGTGAAAGCGCCCGGGTACCATATGAACCATAGACACGTTTTGTGCAACATGGTTTTTGTGCTTTCCAGGCTTTCCGACCAAAGACAATTTTAATCGAAAGCCGTCGAAATAGCATGCACAAAATTCCAGAAGTTCGCCATATTTTTTTGTAGACGTCCTCACAACATTGGCTGGGCCAGATTTATGGGGGGTTGTCGCTTGCGAAATCTTTGTAGAGAAAAAAACTCGCCGACCTATGATCCCAAGTTAGTCGCCCGGCCGCTCGAATTGATTCGAGCGAGCTGCCGACTAACTCAGGGATCCGATCTAGTTGGTTCAATTGTTACACTGCGCCTTCATTCGATGTCTTATTTGCTCCTGAGACAGACGCTCACCAATCGGTGCTTCCGCAGGAACCGGTCCCGGCGGTTCTGCTTCTCCGAGTGATATTATATTTTTACGTCGCAAATCCCCGCGCTCGCGCCCGACGCTTGGAGTACCCAGCTGTGAACCCGTCGTGGAAGACCCCGCTTCGCGAGTTGGAGCAGGTGGTCGGGTTTTCAAGAACGACTTTCCGCTTTCATCCACCGCTCCGAAGTCGCCATCCGCGAGCAGATTTAGGTCAGCGTCTTCGGTAGAGACGTCGGTTTCCTCCGCGACCATGTCCGCGTTGGTCGCCACTTCTTGGAGGACTTTTGAGGAACCAGACGCGGGTCGAACTGTGGCCGCGAGCTTTTCCTTCGTAGTAGCAGTTTGCGGCGGTGGTCCTTCTTGCATCGTCCCACCGGTGTGCCCCGGTGCCTTCCCGGTTCCCAGTCCTCCGTCATTCCCCAAAGGAGCTGCACCACCACTGCGATTTTCAGTTTGTTCCGTCGTGGCCGCCATCTTCGAACCCGACACAGCCCGCAGGAACGCGGTGGTCTCATACTGGTGGTGCCCCACAGACGCTGCCCAAAAAACTGCTCGAATAAACGCGACCGGGGCGGGCTGCAGAGAGGTACTACGGGGGTAGAAGCACCAGAGGCCCCGCCGATGTCCACTTCTCGTCATATTTGTCATGCTGGTACGTACCCGCGACAGGACTGGTCCGCTGCCGGTGCCGCCGAGAAACGTACTGAAAGCTCGTGCCCGCGAGCGCGAGCAGCAAGGTTAAAATGCACTCGACCTCTGCTCCCACCGGTACGCACGGCCGGATAGGCAATCGTGTCTCAACTACGTGGCGAAACAAGCCGAAACTCAAGATTTTGTCAAAATATTGAGGCCCTCAACATGTCCACCTCCCCGACGAGAATACTATACTTTGTGTTCGTCGTACAGCTAATATCAGCCTCGACGTCGCTTTGAAAAAAATCTAGATGTGGGAGAAATTTGCACAGCGTGCCGTCGTCGTGTGAAATTGAAATTGTTGCAATCTTATCCTTGTATACAGAGATGAATTACTGATGTGTCTACGACGAGAGAATTCGCGATGTGCCTACGACGAGCACAACGACCCGGGAAACGATTCGCGTGGTCTTCCGCGTTTGATTGCACGAAGCCACGACACCTCCAACAAGCTAAATATGATCGCAACGCCTTTGTTTTTCATTTTCTTTTTCTTGTAGTACACGAGGACCACGACGAAAATTAGCGACCTTCTTGATGAAATGGCATCCACGAAGAAAAAGAGCCCCCTGCTATGCGTATTCGTGAAACGTCGATAATGAAACGATAAGGTGCGCTTTCCTAGTATATTAAATGCTGTTGAAATAAAAGAGAAGGAGACGGGCTGAAACAAACCGAAGCACTCTAGTGGCATTTTCTCAACGGGGGACGCGGAGAGGCGACAAACGAGTCAGCCCATCTTGTCGCTTCTGCTGCAAAAAGCTATGCTGGAAACCATGCTCTTGCGAGGTCGTTTGGTAATCGCCTTCGTGTTCGACCTTCGTCCGACGTTTCCAAAAAAACTGCGACAGAAAGCTCCTTGCTGCAATGTTGCATCTGGGCCGCAGCAGGGAGATGTTGTCGGCTCTCTCACACATGTTTGAGTTTGACAACTTTATTTTACAAATGATTATATGTGTGGGTGAAACTGAAGAAAAAACCATCTGCAATGATAATTAAAGGCCATATCTTCTACCTTCGATTGCAACGAGGAGTAGAAGCATGTGCATCCGTTCCATTTTAGTGGTGTGTAACATTTAGTATGTGGTAAAAAGCTCAGACAGCAGTAGCGACGAGCAGGTTTATTTTCCATTCGAGTTTAGCAAAGTTCTCAAACAAAATATTTTATTTTATTGAAGGTGCACTTGAAAATGAATTGAAATTCAAAGAAGTACAGCCAGGCAATTACTCTTGATCATTTTATTGATGACTTTTCGCTACACATACTGTTCATCCTCGTACAAGGACAGTCCGAGCAGCCGCACCGGGGTCCCGTCCATGTAAAGCTCGCTAGCTCGCCCACTGAGAGGACTTGTACTTCCCGTCTGGTTTTTTATGCTTATCCCCATTTTCCTCTGCGGACGCGTCGCCGGTTGCGGCGGCAATAGGGGCGACTTCTGCGCCGGATAAAGGTTTACGTTTAGCATCTGCGGCTCGCGGTCGTGCGTTGGGAAGCCCTTTTGTACGTAAGTGGTTGATTTCAGCTTCAGGAATAAGTTGCAATTGCAAATGAAATCACAAAAAATGCATGTTTGTCAACGTGATCAATGCCCAGCATGTAAGTAAATCTATCATGATGATCAGATTCTTGACCCAAAAGCAAGACGAGCAAAAAAACACTCATACCGTCGTGTCCTCCTGCTCTCGTCTACCACCCAACAACTTTATGCTTGCGCTGCTTGGCCCACTGAAAGAGAGCAGCGAATTCCTTGTCTGCAAAGCTGGCTCCTTGCGCCTCGGCGGGCTAGACTGGCGAGGCACCAACGCCGGCGACGTCGCGGCCCGGGAGTTCTGCAACAGAGTGCGTTTGTCCATCCTGGTGCTCGAAAAGATCATACCCTGTGCTACGGGCGAATGCCCCCACACAGTATCTCCTGTGGTCCCGTCTGCTTTCGAGTCGCCTTGCATCACCAGCAGTGAGGCTCCTGGTGTCAGGCGGGTACTAGTAGACGATGTAGTTGTAGTATTTCCTCCCATCATCAACGGGGGAAGACTAGCGTTGGGAACGCCGAAGTGGTTTGGGTTGGTGCCGTTGCTTGGTGAGAGACTACTGTGACCCGGGTGGTTTGCTGTTGTTGTTGAGACTGTAGTCGGTCGCACCATTGGCGAAATGGAAGACCTGGATCTCTGGGTGGAGCTGCTCCGACGACGTGGCGCGAGATCCTCTAGCGCTGCTGGAAGATAAAAAGAATTCAAGGCTGTAGTTCTTGTGTCAGCAACTACATTTGATGCTAGCGAATAAACTCCGGGCGGAAGGTCTAGCTGGACCGGCGACGGTGCCTGCAGACCAAAGGTGGAGGCTGTACCTAAATTGAATTTGATGCAGGTTCATGGATGATCAACGACCTACGTGAAAAGGAAAACTTGGTTACATTTGCAAGAAAATACACACGCAGCCTGTGCCTGTCCCGACGGTGACCGCATCAAAAATAAGCTACAACATCGTCGGAGGTGGGATCCGTGATCGTGGTGACTCAATGGCAGCGCCAGCGGGTGTGATATAGTTAACACGCAAGCAAAATAGAGTCCTTCACCTTACCTGCGCGATTCACCATTCGTAAGCTGTTTCTTGACACGTGCACGCCTCGTGGCGGCGAGATGCTCGTGCTTGACGTCGTCGTCACCACTGGACCATCCTGGCTCGCAGAAGCTGCTGCACCAAATTCCAACACTTCTCCGGGCCGAGGACCCGCATGAGAGTTAGTAACTCCATCTTGATTGCCAGTCACCCTTCCGGTTGAGCGCGCAAACTGCTTGCTTGCTGGTGACGTCGATGTGGTTTCAGTTTCTGCTCCTTGATTTCGTTGATGTTCTCGTAGCCCTTCAACCGGTTCACCAGATGCTTGTTCGCTCCCCGCAATGCCGATAGTACGGTCTTTCATCATCGGATTCGGCTGTTCCTCAGCTCCTGCGGAATCCGTTTCCTTCGTGCCCACAGGAGTTCCTGCCGTCCCTGCGGCTATTCCTTCTCCAGAAGCTGCAGCTGCTGCTGCTGGAGCGGTACCGCTAGCGGTAGCCACCCCCACCCCAGCTGCCTCCCGAATCCGCCCGAGCTCGCCTTTCAGGGTATTCAGGTAATTCTCCAGTCTCTTGTATCCTGAGCAAAAACGTCCCCACACCAGAGTCAAGATGAGGATTTTGCAACACAAACGTAGAAGTTTTGGGACTCATGCATCACAAGTTCAAGCCCGTACTGTAGTGCAGGTTAGCAAGGGCTAACGCATCACAAATCCATCTGCTTATCCTGGTTACAGCATTACAAAAGCCAAAACACGACTAGAAATTCCGCTCATGGAGATGCGCATTACAAATGTGCCTGTCAGTGCAAATCTGCATGACAACTCTGGGGCGGGGACGTTTTTACACATGATATCTTCTTTTCCACGTTCCATGACGCCTCGGCCTGCAGCCGCTGTAATATTGCAGTTAAAAATGCCCCCACCCCCACAGTCGCAAAAATTTGTGATGCGAAGTTTCCAAAGGAAAACTTTTTGTCATGCATGAAAGGAGTATGAATCTTTCTAATGCAGGGTCTAGGCGTATATCGCATCGCTTGCACGACAAGCGCCGCTCTTGCTGGGATCGTTTGCAATACAAGTGGTTTTTGCTATTCACGATTGGAAATCTGTGATGCTGATAGATGCAAGAGGGCGAGTGTTTTTTTTGGAAAGGTTTGCAATGCAAATACTCCCAAGTTCGGGGGTGGGGGCATTTTTCATTGTAATATGTAACTCGATCTGTTTGCTCTCGGTCTGCCGCTCCCTGTGCTCCCGCTCCTCGTCGTGGTGATGACCTTCCTCCGGCACTTCCAAGTGGTGCGGGTCCTCGGTCGGGAGGTGGAGTTGCAACAAGTCGTTTGATTGGAGCAAATCCCGCTCCACCGCTTCCAACCGTGCCTGGATCTCCTCTGGGCTCATACGCGCAAATACTTTTCTTGAAGACGATGATGTCGGCGCTCCAGGAGCAGCAGTAGGCACCAAATTCAAACCGCTATTCGTTGCAGCATCTTCATCCTTACCCAAGGCCTGCTCCGCTCGTGGCCAGTAGGGGTGCAACAGCATGCCCGTATCGCTGCGTAGTTTGTCTTTTTCCTGGATGATGGAATTTCTCGCAATCGCAGCGGCCGAGGGACTGTTGGAGACCAGCAGGCCACCGGTGCTGCCCAGCGACCCACGGTTCGTCCTATAGGAGCCGAACGGAGCTGCGGTGGCGGCACTGAAGGGTATGCTATCTTCATCCCACTGACGAGCGGGCGCGCGCCCATCGGCCGAAGATCTTTTCGCAAGACTCTGACTCTCTGCGGACGCGGAGGCGGTCATAGTTGCGGCAGCTGCATAAAAATCTCCTGTGCTGGTGTTGTTCTGCATCTCATCTGCGTGCAGAGTATCGTCGAAGTCGGGATCAGCTTCGTGCGCGAGCCACCGATATGGATTGCGAAAGTGTCTGGGTCTGGAAGATTCCGGGGTTTGTGATGCATATTTTGTATGATCCATGGCGCATGCAATGCATGATCTAGCATCGCAGATTTTTAGAGGGCTTCCTGATGTCTATTCCGCATGAGAATTTCGCTCTCCGCGTGACACAAACTGGATTCCTGTTGCTGGTCACGCAATACAGATTTTTTTGGAATCCAAAGACAGCACGACAAGTTGCAATCTCCCAGACCCAGACATTTTTGCAATCCATAACCGAATGTCCCCGGTGGTCACGCGGGTTTTCCCCGGCGGGGAGATGATTAGCGAAGACAGTTGCGCTTCCGCGGTCGTCGCAAGGGATTTGGTTATTTTCGCCGTTCTTGTTGTACTTAGGGGATCCGTTGTTTGGCCACTAGAACCACCTGGAAGAGTCTCCTTCATATCCACGTTTACCAAGCCAATCGGCTGCGACATCTTCGTGCTCTCGTCCTCATTGTTCAGCTCCACCGTGACCTGCTCCTGGTCGTTGTCAAAGAGTGACCCCGTTTCCTGCTGTAGGAGTAGTTCCTCACCCGGCGACATCCTTTTTTCGATCATATCCTTCGCCTTCGTTTCGTCAGAGATATTTATCGTGGCTCCCAGTAGATCATCTTGCTCGACTGCAGTGCTGTGAGCACGGACAGGCACAGCATCAGCATCATCTCCGCCCGCAGCCAGAGACTCCGCGACTGCCCGGTCGGCGTCGGTGCTGCGGTTTTGCTCGTAGGTGAAATTGATGACGCTGGTGCCCATGATCGGGGGAGAAAAAGATGACCCAGGCTTGTTTCGCTCTTCCTTTTCCGCCCCTGGGGAAACCGCAGCTGCTGCTGTGGGCGGAAGCTGATCTGTTGCAGATCCGTTCAACAGTGTGGTCGAGTAAGTTGCACTCGCTGGACTACTTGCAGCTGTGAAGGAAGCGTCATACGCACCGCCATACAACTCGTAGCTGTGCTGATTGTAGTTGTACCCTCCACGACCCTGCTCAGAAGTTGGGGGTGCATAAGCATTTTCCAAACCACCATCGGTAACGTTAGCGCTGTAGCTGTACTGAGCTCCAGCTGCAGTGTCATAATGCTCGTATGCGTACGGCGCAGCTCTTGCAGTTGTACCATAGGCCGCGCTAGAAGTTTCGTTTGTTCCGTTTATGGTTCCTACGTCAGTTCCTCCTGAGGCTACTGCGCCAGCAGTTGCAGGAGGTGTCGTAGAAGTTGCTTCGCCGTAGTATGCAGCGTGCGCTGCGTAGTGATCAGCAGCTGTGGTGGTCGAAGATGCAGATGCTGATGATCCCGCAGCTGCTCCATACGCCTCGCTAGTCGTACCTCCGACAGTATACGCGTAATTGTTGGCGGCCGTGTTGGAATTATCGCTATACTCAGCCACCACGCCTCCGCTGGTTCCAATCGTACCTGAGGCCGTTGGAAAATAACCGGAACTAGATGTAGTTCCGAGGTAGTTAACATCAGGGGGAGCAGTGCTTCTTTCTGTTACTACCTTCTGGCCCTCCTGGTATTGCAATTTCTTGTTCTGTTGCTCCAAGTAGTAAGCCGCGCTCTGTCTTGCGCCACTGGTCGTGTTTCGTAATACTTGGTATCCACTGGCATAGGACGAGGCTGCTGCTCTACTTGATGATGATGCGCCAGCGGCAGCGGCTTGCTTACCTTTCATCATGCCACTAGTACCTGCTGTCCCACTTGCAGTTGTGGCGCTGGTAGAAGTAGAAGATGCACTACTTCCAGGTGGAGCGACAGATCGTCGCGATGCGCCGGCTGCGCGTTCTTGCTCCTGTGCAGGAAGAACTTTCCTATCACCACTTCCACTACCGCTCGCACTCGTCGTCTTGCCTACACTTGTTGCCGGTCCGCTCGCGGCGTTTCCGTCCCCCTGCTTCCCAGCACCTGCACCCCCTCGTCCCCTCAAATGCAGGAAGTTCGCCGCGGCTTTGATCTTTGCGGCCCGCTGTCGAGAGGCCATCCGCGCCGTCGGAGAAACCGGCTTGACTGCCGGGGCGGGCACCACTTCTTGGTGATAATCTTTATCTTTCTCGTTATGCTGCTCTTGATTGTAGCTGTACTGGTGAGGATCGTAGTACGCAGTGGCAGTAGAATTATTCGTTGCCCTCGGGGCATACGCAAGTGGCGGATTCGGCGTTTTGCCAGCGGCGTAGTAGGAGTCTGACGTTGGACTTGCGCTTGCTGCACTGTAACTTGCTGCTGTGTTGTCCGCGTTGTAGCCGTAGTAACTCTTGCTCGCTGTATAAGACTGCTCAACCTGATGTTCGTTCGTAGTTACGCCAGCAGATATGCCTGCGGCTGCGGCGGCACCCGTACCCGCAGCCTTTGGTTGTCCCTGCTCACGATGCCCCGCCCCGTCGGGGCTGTAATCGTGCTGCATCTTCATGAAGGTCATGGCCGCTTTCAACTTCGCACGTGCACTCCTCTGGGGAGAAATCCTGCGGTCCTGCTCGATTACAGTCTGGCTGACACGGGTGCGAAGACTGTCTGGACTTGTCGTACCGTCCTCCGCCCGCACATTGCCACCGCTTTTCCGCTTTACAAGTAATCGGGTGCTGTCTTCAACTTCATCTTCATCAGCATAAGGCTCGTGCTGGTCGTGCTCTTGTTGCGCATTGGTAGTGTAGCTATAGACCGCTGACGCTCCTACTGCTGCTGCTGGTGTCGTGTCGCCAACAGCAAACGCTGCTTGGTCTGGATCTGGAATTGCGTCGTGTCCGGGCGTGACAGGATGATGCTCTTGATCAAACGTCTCTGCCGCTGCACTAATGCCCTCGTTCGCGACGTAGTTCTCTTCCGCTTTCGAGAACATCCCGCGCATGCTGGAAAACTCCGTGCCTTCCGGATACTCATTACGAAGGTAGTTCGTCGTTGCGAGCGGGCGGAGGTCTGTTTCGGGTCCTGTTTGCAGGTCGTGTTCTTGTGCATCATGTGTAGGTATTGCAGAAATGTGGGCCGCAGCCGGACTACTTGCCTCATCAACAGAGCCTGTTGCTCCACCGTCGAGAATAGAAGACGTTGACGCAGCAGCGCCGTCAACTGTCATGATCGCAGCTGCGAGTCGTGCGCTTGTTCCACCATTCGGGGGGATTTGTTCCTCGTTCGCTTCAACTTCATGCTGTTCCGTCTTCCGAGTTATTTGTTCAGACAACTGATAATTGTTTTCTTCCTCGTTCTTCTGATCTATCTCTGCGTTAGCGTTCATGTTTTTCTTGAAAGTGTCCTCCACTTCCACCTCGCGCGCAGACAAAGCACCACTTGTTTGTGGTTCTACTTTTTGAAAGTTATTCTTATCCTGGACATCATCGCCATCCGGATCTTGAACGCGATCGTCTTCCTCGTCGTCGGGGTCCATCACGCTTGTGAACGCGTCGCCGCGTTCGAACAGGTCAACAAAATCACGGTCTTTCTCTACTTTAACAGCACCACTGTCATTCGCAGCTGGCGCTGGCGGTGGAGATCTCGTGGTTGCCGGCTCGTCACCAGCTTGTACCTTATTCTCAGCACCACCGGCGTTAACGTTATCCGCGGCCAACGAATTATCAGTAATATGCTCCTCGTCTTCGGTCTTCGGCGACAGTACTTGCGGCGTTTCTCCCTTTTCCGGAATAGTCGGAAGCTGCTGCTGATGTGCTGGTGCGATCATGGCGATTTTGATGTCACCAGATAAGGTGACAGCATCTGCTGCATAATTCGTGCTGTTCATGATCACTCCTCCTTGTTCATCATGCTGCGAGACCACGATTTCATGATCCTCGTCGTGATCGTCGTCGTGTCTAATCTCGTGCATAAAAGAATCCTCTTCTGCTCTCCTGATGTCGTGCGTCGAATCAACAATGTCAGTGGCACTACTTGCTGCTCCTGCCGTGGTCTTCAGGCCCGTTCCAACATCTGGCTTTGTGCCTTTTCCATTTGCAGACTGCACCTCGTCTTCACTTCCTCCTGCTCCTGCGGGAGACAAGCCGCTCTTATCCTTACCCCCATCTAAGATTGCGCTCGAGCTCTTCGCCAATTTTGCCTTGCTCGCCATCCGTTTCGCTTGCTTGTGGAACAAGGTAAGGCCGTACGCCGCTGCCAGCACGTCCATATCCTCGCCCGCGACCGCATCGCCGAAGAGCGTCGTGTTACTGCGCCGCTTTTCCTTCTTGGAGCTGCTGGGGGAGCGATGCTTGGTGCCCAGTTCCGGACGGTCGATTGCGGTACTGGTGGGGCTGAGCTTGCTTTTATTGGCAGCGCTCGTGGAGGTGGAAGCAGATGAGGACGAAGCATTCGCATTTTGTAAATCTACAACTTCCACAACAGGATCAGTTGCGCTAGCAGCCGCCGAGGACGCCATTGCTCTTCAATTTTTCCGTCGGTGAAGTTGTTCAAGTTCTTCGGGGCGAGTAGAGCAGCTCATACCACGACAAAACTAGCACTGACTGCAGCTACTTACGGACCTGCAACATGATCGTAGAGTTCTGAGATCATTATAGCGCTAGCATGGCTTGGAAGTTCAAGTTGAAACACGCCCGCCACGATGGAGCGGCATAGCCTAGTGATCAAGATCATGTGTTAGAAGAATATGACACGAATGAAATAAGACATCAGACAGCTACCGCCCACACAAATAACGCGTCACGATTTTTTCATTTTTCCTGATACTCACGACCATGATTCCACCCACCAGAATCGGTTGAAATCGCAAAAGCTACGACCTGAATATACAACAAGACGATAAGGACAACGATTCTACTACTTAGAGCTGCAGCAGGTCCCACGATGGCGATTCATTTCTTCACGATTATAATTTAGAAGAGCACGAAAGACGAGTTTCAGGCGCGTCTAATGAATATCTAGAAAACTGTCAAGGTCATCAAGGAACTGATCGTCGCCTAGCACCGCGACTTGCTGTCACTGAGAGCGTACCGCACGTAAGTGGTGAACGAGATGACGACGGACATAGTAAACCAGTCGACGAACAACAAGTACAGCTGCGGTGCCACTATGTTCAATTTCGACCAGCAGCTGAATGCTCTTGCTGCTTCTCATCGTATTCATCAGGAGCAGTACAGGTTCAGCAACACTTCTACAACTGAGTTGTGAGTCAGTTTTCATTTCAGCAGCACAGTCAAGCAATGAGGTAGAACTGCGAAGCTGCAGCAGCTGCAGATGTTGTGACAGTGCGACGAGTCGTGTCAGTCATGTCTCAGAGGAAGAAGAGGCTTGCGCTCTATGTATAGTATCCGTATCACCAACGGATAATGAACGGAGGAAATAATCATAGCTACGCATAGCGGGGCCGGGGCGGCCTTGTCCCCGCGGCGAAACACGACGAGAATTGAAACTCATCCGGTGTTCCGACACGGCGGACACTGTTTTGTTTTCCCACTCAAGCTCCAATACACCCGTCCGCAAGTGACGCACTTCATCTCCACGTGCTGGGCCTGGGTCTGCTCGATGGCCTGCTTCTCCGCGGGCTCCGGCTTTATTCGCGCCCGAATCCGCTCCGGATCCGCGCCCGGTTTGTTGGCTAAGTTTATGGTTGCACCGTCCTCGCTGTAGCTCTGCACGGATGTTGCGATCCACGTGCGCATGCTGGAGGAATGGTAGTACACCCACGTGCCCAGCGGCCACTTGCTCAGAATTCCTGTTGGTGTTGCAGTAGCTCCACCTGTGCCCGTGGTTCCCACGGGCGACACCTGCATAGCGGGCGCTTTGATTGTGTTGCTTGACGTAGACCCACTCGCACCACTACTACTGTCGACCACGACTCTGAGCAAAAACTGCTCGTCCGGTGCGAGCGCTTCCACCACCGCGGACCGCCACGGCTCGTAGTCCGTTTCACGGTAAGAACAGGCCATCCCGGGCTTCAGAATCGCAGACAGGGCGTAGAATTTCTGGGCCTCAACGTCCTGCTGTGGAGCCGTCTGCATTACCGTAGTTGCAGGAGCGTTGTTCCCTGTATGCACTGCAAAAGTGGCTTGCTAGCTCTAGCAGCAATCGCATCACAAATTTTCTGAAACGGAAAGACGGAAATTGTGATTACCATGCAAATTCAGATAACGAAGAAGAGTAGAAGAGTTGTAATATCGCAAGATTGGTGCTGTTGCCACCTCCATTTTTATGATTTATTGCACGAGTACTACAAGCACGAAGATACTTTTGCACCGGATATCCTGGAAGCTGCTGCAAAACGTCGGTGACAGGGGCGGCGGAGTGACGGTTCATCTGTACCACTGCTCCTCTTGACGGCGGTGGACTGTCCTCCGGATGCAGAGGTGAACCGCCAGCAGCGAATCCAGCTGTCGTCGAAGGCCTTTGCGAGGCGTTGGTGGAGCTAGAGGAAAAGTTCTGGTTGTTATGCTGCCCACCTCCGTATCAAAAGGAAAAATCCCCCCTCCCCATATCAAAGCGGAATTCTGTGATGCGGGCGTTGTGTACACAAATCAGATCTCTCTTGTAGTAGAGGACTGCACGCAGATCGCAAGCCTGGGCGGGGGCCTTCTGGTGTAGGCGTCTAGCTTGGCAGACGTCTGCCCTGTAGGCCTTACAGGATGACAAATCGCCTGCATGGCGCGGCGCTCTCTCTCAATTTGCCATCCTGCAAGACAGACAGGATTTGCATTTGTGGTCACAAATTTGCATCACAAATTTTCAGAGCGATACGTTCTTAATATGGGGATGGGGGATTTTTCCTTGCAATATGCCTAGTAAGTTCTGATTCTGGTTCTGCAACTGTTGGTCCATGCCAAAGGGGTTGACCAATCGGCCAACCACCTCGCCGCCCTGCTGCCCGACCACGTCCTGGAGATGACCACCCGAAGGACGAGCCCCGGACGTCGTCGTCGAGGTGTCCCGACGATTTGAAGATGCTGTTGCTGTTCCGACACTTAGGACACTGCCTTGCTGTTGGGGTGCTGGTCCAACACCGCCGAGTTGCTGAAAGAGTGATTGATCCTGGCCTGCTGGGGGAAGTGGTGCGCCGGGAATGCCACCTGCTACCGCTGCTCCTGGTTGGAACATCGTGGTGGTGGTTCTCTCTTCTTCCAGATCACTCAGCTTCACGTTGCGTATTCTAATTTTGTCCACTGTGGCGCGCTGCCGGACATCCAGATCGTAGGTACCGTCGTCTTCGTTGTATCTGTCGATGACCGCATCCAGGTAAGCCTGGCTCGAGTCCGACCAGTAGTGCACCAGCAAGTTCTTGCCCCACGCGATACTCGCGTTCGGTTCGAACGGCGGGCTGATCCGGTCCCAGTCGGCCCGTTGCTTCAAATCCAGGTCGTACGTGCCGTCGTCCGGGTTGTGTCTCTTTACCGTGCCCATAAACCACGCCCCGTGGCTGGCGCTGTTGTAACACACCTGCTGCCCTGGTCGCAGGATCTGGATGTGATTTTCGTTCCTGAGTTTGCTGATATGTTCACCACCAAGTTGTTGCACCACTCCCCGCTGCGGACTCGGATTTGGCTGCAGCAAGCTCGGTGGCTGCTGGAATATTCGGTTGAAAAAATTCCCGAGGCCGAATTGCTCCGAAGCGCCGGAGGAATTGTTGCCACCGTTAGAATTTGGTGGATCTACTACGGGAGGCACAGCACCATGTGCAGCAACTTGTCCTCCACCTCCTCCCGCGTGCACATTGTAGTCCGTTGCGGTGATCCCCGGCCCGGTTCCCGTGGCTACTACCTGTGCTTCCAGCTGGCGGATCTTTTCCGCCATCCGCGCCTTCTCATCCGCATCCTTCTGCGCCGCTTCATCGATCTTTGCCTGCAACTCCCGGTTGTGGTCTTTCAGTTTCCGCACCTCGGAGTTCGACAACACGGGTGAGGAGCTCGAGGACAAGCTGGGCCCGAGTTGCTGGTGCGCTCCGTGCCCGTGTCCCCCCTGGAGACTCGAGGTGTTCGCGTTTTTGCTGTACGGCTCAAGCGTGAACAGCGGTTTGTCAGCAGCGGTGGGAATCACCGTCGGACGACTGGTGCCCGATGAAGCGGCCCCGGAACCGTCCGCACTTGTTGCGGGAGTATGCATAGGAAATTTAAAATCAGGACCAGGATCAAGCCAAGCAGGAGCCACAGGAGAAACTTTTGGCCTTCCTGAGCTCTATACCACGTGGGTCAGACCGCGGCGAAATGGGAACTAACACCTCGTCAATTGAATGCTTTGATGCTACGATGCAGGATTGAAGTGTAAGAGACACCAGCACTACTTACACATCTACAACTTGCTTCAATTTTGCTACTTGACCTGACACAGAATCCACCGTTAAGTACCGCCATACAGCCCACCTTTGGACGCACTTCTCCCTGCTTCGATCTTGTCTCGGATCTGTTTCGCGTGCGTCCCAAACCACTGGTCCTGCAGAGCCTGTTTCACCGTCAACCGGCTGCCGTGCTCTCGCGCCGTGAGGTTGTCGCAGAGCCGCTGGGCCGCGTCGCTCCACTTGGACCCGGCCCAGAAGGAGCTGTTCCCCCGAAACTGGGGCTGGCCGCGGAGCAGGCCCGGCAAGTCGAGCGAGGAGCCGATCATGAAGGGGTGGTCCCCGCCGTGCAGGATGCACCAGAGACAGGTCCCCGCCGCGAAGAGGTCGGTCGGGAAGGAGTAGCCGCCGGACCGGGGTAGTTCGTGCTGCTCCGGCGACATGAAGGCCGGCGTGCCGCACTTGTCCTTGAGCACCGCGTACGGACTGGGGAGCTGGATCGCCAACCCGAAGTCGCTCAGCTTCAACACCGCGTGCACAAAGTGGTTCGAGAGCATGAAGTTGTCCGGCTTCAAATCCCGGTGCAGGATGGATTTGTCGTGTAAAAACTCCAACGCGAGTAAGATTTGCTTCATCCAGTACGCCGCTTCGTACTCCTCCAGCACGTCCCGCCTCTCCCGCAACTTGTCGCCGAAATCACCGCCCTCGCAGTACTCCAACGCGAGGTAGTGCGCATTGCTGTCCTATCCACACAAAAAATAAACCAATCCCCATGATCCACTTTCTGCACGACAAATTTTGCAAGGCATGCGCATGCGGATGCTTCATGTTTTGCATGACAAATTGGATCGGGATCGGTTTTCTTCAGGGGATATGTCCTCGAAAGAGTCCCGCAGCTCCGTGATGTAGGGGCACCCCACTGCGGCGTAGAGCATTTTGATTTCCCGCGCCATGTCTTCGGGCTGCACGCCGCGCTTCTTCATTTTGTCTTTCTCCACCACTTTCAGTGCGATCACTAGTGATGTCGTGCGGTCCATCGCGCGCCACACCGTGCCGAAACTCCCCTCCCCCAACTTCACCTTCTGGATGTGGTACTTCTCGTGCAACTTCGAGGACTCCCAGGACTGGGAAACAGAGGAGAGGAGAAACTTGAACATTTTTTCTTCTGCTTTTGGCGCCGGCGCGGGGGCAGGAAGTAACGATGATGAAGTCAGTTAGGATTGAAATTGATGTCCTTGAAGACTAACCAGCAACACCCTGCTCTTGAGTTTTTATGTATGTTGCCTAGCTGTTGTCCATAAAATTGAAAACGACATCAAGAAGACTGGTTCAAGACGTAAATCAACCGGCACCATTCCGTTGTATTCTTAAAGTGAAATTGAAATAGGAGTGCTACACGAGCACGACTTTTTTAAGTACAACCCGTGCATTTTTTTTCTTGACCAACTCCAACCCTTCGCTTTCGGTTTTATTGTTCTGCGTGTACTACAATGCAGCTACTTTTTCTCACTCGGAGTCGCACTGATGTCGTCTGTAGACGACGTTGCCTCACCTGCACTTGAAAGAGACGCACGACTAGCACACACGTTGTTCCTGGGGCGAACACCAACTTCGTAGTTCATGATCGCCGGAGTAGATCGCATCGCAATCCATCGCAAACATCATGGTTTTATTTGCGTGTAGTAGTTTTCGCTTCTTGATTTTGCATACATGTTGACTTCACAAGTTTATGATCAGACTTGAGCAACATGATCAGTTCTTTGCTCCGCATCTTCGTCCACCTGTGGTGCAGCACAACTATTCAAGTCCTTATCATACCGTCCGCTGGTGCTCAGATAGGTCAGCATGTGTTTGTTTTTCTCAAACACACTTTGCAATTTCGAGTACTTTCCCGAAAGCTGCTGCAGACACTGCAGCAATAACGCTTGAATCTCCCCAACCTGCACCTTCGCGTTCAGTAATATCGGGTCCTGGTGCTGCTTCTGCTGAATTTCGTTCCCCCGGTGGCCGCCGGTCCACTGCAAAAACGTGGAGATGTGCGTCGTGAGGAGCGTTTCCAGCCAGACCACGTGCTTTTCTATGCTGGTGCTGCCCCAGCTCGGGTGGAGCATGCACGTCAAGAAGTGGATCAGCGTGGGCAGCAAACTGGCGCCGATGGACTGGCACATCAGGGAAATCTCCTCGATCGGGATGCGCTCGTACACTTCTAGGAGAATCCGGGCGTCGTTCAACGCCAGGGAGAGAATGAAGGCCTTGGTGAGATGGGACGAGCCGGAACGGCGTACTTCTAGCGGCCCTCCTCGGGTGGATGAGCTACTAGAGCTCCTACTGGTGCTGGAGGATGATTGCAACGCTGGCGTCGTTCCGACAACTTCATCTCGCGGCTCTTCTTCTTCATCTCCGCTCTCCTCCCTCGCCCAACATCCTCTGACTTCCTTCTCGTGTTCTTGCAGGGCTTTCAAAATGTTCGGAATGGAAACGTTCTCCGTCAAGACGGCGGGCTGGAAGGACTCCAGTGCTGTCCCGTAGGACTGGAAGCCGTCTGTTGCAGACACCCCAGAGTCGATCGCGTAGAGCATGAGGCCGTGCGACGTCGCGACCGCGAAATTCTTGCCGTCCAGGGAGAAATCGCAGCCCCAGCAGTGAAACTGACTCTCCTCGTAGCTGTGGTTTGGGATAGTTTAGGATAAAACATTTCTTCATAACTATTTTTTGCAGACACGTCAAGAGCAGCACCCGAACAACGTTCCGTGCAATGATCATGTGAAGAAGATTGTAACGATCAAGCATATAGAAAGTAAATACGCTTTCGCCGAGTCTCCGACCTTCACCCCTGGTAGCGCGGCGTTGTCTCTGACTCGTCTCCGTTTTCTCTCATAGTCGTCTTGTTCGCTGTCGGAGAGGTCGTATTCCGCCAGGGTCTCGCCGTCCACCACCGTTTTGCCGGCGTTGAGCAAGACTTTCAGTCCGGATAAGCTCTGGTTGTTCGTCAACGTATACCTGTGGACCAGCTCAAAGGCCGTGGTGGAGTATAGGCACACGTGCGGACTGTTCCGGGAACTAGCGAGTAGGAGAGAGCCACTCGCGGTGTAGGCGATGGACCCGAAATGTTGATTCAGGTTCACGTGCTCCAGAGAGTACTTGTACTTGTCCTTTTTCGATTTCTTCCCTCGGTCGTTCGCGGCGGACAGACCGCCCTTGGCGTCGCGACCGGAACAGATGTCACGGATACCTGATGAAAGTTGTGGTCGTGGTGGGGGTTCGTACGATTGCAATAGAGAATTTGCCATGTAAAGTAATTTCAGACCGACGAGGTTGAAGTGGAAAACGAAAAGTCAGGAAACTGAACACGATAAACAATGATGTGAGCTGCAATTTCATGATCATGACAGTAAACATCTATTCTCCTACCTTCCACAGTCCCCCTAATCTGGCCGAATTCCGTGTCCCAGAAGATGATCTGCCCCGCCAACTGTGAGCACGCGATCATGTTATTTCCCCGCGGGTCAAACGCGAGCGCGAGCACGGAGGCGCCGCACTGCAATTTCTCCGGACTCGATCCCCGCGCGCGCTTGAAAATGTCGCTGACGGTCAAGTGCCCGTCCCAGCACCCAGTCGCGAGCTCGCCCGGCTTTGCAGGATTGGGGGAGAACGAGAGACAGGAAACCGGGGCCTCGTTGCCGGAAATGGTGTCCAACAATTGGCCGGTCTGCAGGGACCAAACCAGCACGGAGTACACGTCGCCCTTCGCGGCCGCCGCAACGATCTCACCTCCCCCGTCCACGGCCACGGACTCGAACCCAAAAACTTTCTTCTCCTTGGGCGGAGACACGAAAGTGCGGAAATTGCGGTACCTGGCGGATTGTGTTGGGAAGAAACAGTAAATTTTTCAATCATGATGCATTTGCAAAAGGACTTATTTCATCGTTCCCTCACATTCGTGATCCCAATCTCGGTGATGCGCGGCGAATGTGTCAGCTACAAAGGATAGCATAGTCATTGTCATCTTCGCGCAGACTGTCATCAAAGAGCACTACTCGTAGCGTTAAAAGGGAAAGGCAACATCAAACGCAATCTGTGATATATAATCTAAACTTCCTACCTGAGCAAGTCAAACGCCCGGACCGTCCCGTCCACACTCGCGGAAATGACCGCGTTCGCCTGGGGTGTGAAGACCAAATCGCGGACCTCCCCGGTGTGCTCCGCAAAGGTGACGAAGTTGAAGCCGGACACCGTGTTCCACAGCTTCACCTTCCCGTCGTGCCCGCCGGTGGCCAAAACCGCCTGGTGCAGGTTGCACAAATTGTTCCCCTGACCCTCCGCGGTCGCGCCGGACTGCTGTTTCCCGCCGGCGTTCCGCAAACCGCCAGACGGCGCGAACGCGCAGCAGTTCACGCCCCAGTGGTGGCCCTGCTGCTTCAGAATGTAGGTTTCCGACTGCCACTCCCAAACCAGCATCTGTCCCGCGGCGGAGGAGCCCACCGCCACCCACTCGCCCGTGTTGTTCAACCGGACGTGGTCAATCGGGGACTGCCCGATGGACAGCGTGTGGAGCACGGACACGGTCGGTAGCAGTTCGTACAGGGAAAAAACGCCGCCGGTCAGGCCGACGAGCGCCACGTTGGTCCTCACGTTGAAGTCGGAGTCGGTAATTTTTTGTCCGGCGGGAAGGTTCATGAAAACCTTCGACGCGCACGTCCACGTGCCGGGTTGGAGGAGCAGGTCTTTTTCTTGTGCCGGTTGTTTAGTCGTGGTTCCGTCCTCTTCGCCGTCGTTTTTCTCGTGCTTGTTCCAGTCAAAATCCTCAACTGCGTCTACTGCGCCTGATATTCTTGCGCGGCCGTGACCACTCTCACTCTCTACTGCAGCCGCCTTTTCGTCTTTCTGAAATCTCCAGGTCGCGACAACGCCGTCCTTACAAATGCAGAAGACGTACTCCTTGTTCTGGGAAAAGTAGCTTCCGCGCACCGGTTGCCTCAATTCCGCGAACAACACGGGTTTGAACCCCCCGTAGCTGCGGGTGGACTTCTCCCCAGTGAGCTTCCCCAAGCGGCCAAGCCTCTTGGTCGTCGCGTCCGCATGATCATCTTCTCCAGCAGCGGTGGCTGACTTAATATCAGCTGCGGCGCCGCGTTTCTTCGACTTCGTATTCCTCTTGCCGCTTGGGTCTACTGTTTGCTGTTCCACAGTTCCCTCTAACGCCGCGCGCCCGTTGCCAGCCTCTTCATGGTCCAAGACAGAATACAATCTGACTTGCATGTCGTCCCCGCACGTCAGTAGATACAAGGAGTCCTGCGACCACGTGATCCGCCGGATGTCCTCCCGGTGCCCCCCTAGCGTGCGGTACTTCTCGAACTGCCAGCCGGTCTCCACCGCCGGCGCCCGCCACAGTTGCAACAGCCTCCCGTGCGTCACAGCGAGCCACTGGGAATCCGGCGACCAGACCGCGTCCCGCACCTTCGTCCGGAAGTTCAGACGGTGCAAAATGGTCGCTTTGGCGAAGTTCACGAGTAAAGAGTGGCCATCCACGTCCACGGAGAGAAGCAAGCGGTTATCGGGGGACAAAGCGAGCAGGCTGATGTCCTTCCGGTTCTCGGGGGCTAGGCACAGTGACCGGTTCTGCTTCAGGTCAAGAATTTGTGTCCGGTTTCCCACCGGATTCAGTAAGCAGTTTCCATCCGAGGTAAACTGCAGGGAACCACCCCTGTAGGTGGAACCCAGCGAATTCTGGTACCGGTAGGAGAACATTCTTGTGGCGGTTCGGTTCTTCGTGAGGGGTCTTCGTCCTATGGATGGTGCGCCATCAAGCGTCCACGCTGATAAAGAAGTTTATTAGATCTGCATCAGCAGGCGCAGGAATGAACTTTCTAGCTGTATAAAATCGAAATCTTCTTCATCGCCATAGAGGACACGTTATCCGAAATAAGACCTGTGGGTTTTATTCTTGTAGTCGTAAACTTACAGCAATAGCATCAATTGCGTCAGACAATTTTTCTGGTCAGTCTAGCTACCAGGTGTAGTTGAGGAGGTGCACCACAACTACTTACACTGGTGTCTACAAGAACTTGCGATTTTCCAACGATGCAGATTTCTTAAGGTCATCTTCTAGCGATCACAGCCAGCTTCTCTGTTGTCGTGATCCATTTGTGAACAAGAAGCTGATCTTTTTTCATTTCGTGCCCATTTGGTTTCCTTCAGAATCAGATCCTCATTCCAACTTTGAAGATTGGCGCAAGGGCAAGATCGAATGTGTTTTTCTTTTTGATCTTCTTTTCCGGTGTTACGTGTTTCCATTGCACGGAAGATTTGTTTACTGCACGGAACGAACGAAATCGATCTTCGAAACAAATATTGAGGATCTGACTCCTGACACTGCATGGCGCAGCGCCAGCGAGTCATCAAAGAACTACATGCTCAAGGAGCCTGCAATTTTTGCTTTTGCACCTCAAAATGAGTGATCTTTGTCGCAAGATGAACTACAGATCTTGCTGTACTCTCGTCCACTGGAAGCCACAAAACAGACACAACAAGCCACTCTGCGTTCCTCCTGATGTTGTCGGGGACGATAGCGCTACGACCGCGTTGCCAACGCCACAGTTTCCTTGGTTGTTTTGTTTGGAGAAATAAGGTGGAGCAGGTGAAGTTGAAGATCATCCCACTGTAGTACGTACGGGTAAGGAAGTTGGTCATGTAGAAACACCCCAACTAACGTCGAACCAGCAGAGCCTTCGCCGGGGCCAAAACTTCGACTCCTCGTCGTGGTCCACCCAGCTCAGGAAAATTACCCGCCGGCGCCACTTTGTTCTTTATTTCCGAAAAAAGCTCGACAACCTTTTCCCGACGTCCTTTACCTGGCTCTTGGCCTGCGTCATCGCCTCCGACACTCTTTCCTTAACCTGGTGCTCCTCTTGCAAGTGCGCCGCCCGCTCCGAAAGCCGAGTCCAGCCGGTCGCGATCCCTTCCTGCACTTTGGCACCCGCTTGAGAGACACGTTCCTTCACCTCGTAGTTCTCGTCGATTTCCTTCATTTTCTGCTTCACGGCGCTATCCCGCGGAAATAATTCACCGCGCATGTATTAATTTACAAATTCAAAAATATGTCGCCTCGGCCTCCGCAACACATACACAAAATGAGCTCCCGGAGCCTACTACCTGATTCGCCATATTAGATAGCCAGTGCCTGTGAAAAACGCACCTCAGTCGCAATGACAAATTTGCTTTTCTCGAGGTACATGCCGGGAGCAACGTATATATAATTTCCGCTTCAGTTGTAATACGCGCACGGTAATGTTAAATCTTCATTTATCCTTTGCATAGCTATCCGCCCCGGCCTTGACTTTTTCACCCACTGGGTCCAATACCTTCTCCGAGATCCTAAATGTCTCGTCGAACTCCTGCGCCTTGGTTTTCACCACCTGTCCCGCTTTTTCCGCGCCCTCCTTCATCTTCCGCCCGGTGCTCTCCACTTTCGCCCCAAAGCGCGCAAGTTTGTTGTAGCTCGCCGGAATCTCGCCGACACCGAGTGCGACGCAAAACGCGTTCGCGAAGGTACAGCAGTTTTTCCGCAGCAAGTCGTAGTCCTTGCCCAGCCACTCGGGCATCAACGTGTCCCGAAGCAATTGCATCACCTGGTCGGAGGAAAAGGCCGTGGACTGGGGCATTTGGTACCGCTCCCGGTATTCGTGGTTGTCGCACTGCCCGGGAGCGCATTCGAACACCCCGGTCTGGGTCGGGTCGACGTCCGCATTTCCCCCGTACGCCCACTCGCGCCCGTACACCTCAACACCGATGTGGTAGGCCCCGATAGTGTCCGTGGTTAGCTTACCAATCAGGTCGTTGAACTGCTTCACCTCTTTGCGGTTGGTAACATGGTAAATGTGAAGGAAAACGTCGCCGAGCATCTTCTGGCTCCGATATTTGTGTTTCTACGTGTTCTTACTTTGATGCAAAGATGAAGAAAAAACTCGAAACAGAATGGAGGTTCATACAATCATCGCTTAAGAATACAGCCGCATTGCGAAAAAGAAAAGTCTTGGATCTATAATCACAGATACCGAAAGAATTTTTTTTCTTCTTCATGATCTTCAGCCCTTACCAGGCTTGTATCGTAGCTCCACTTTCTCATTTCATACTACTTTGAGGATGTTAAATATCCTCCTCGCACAATTACGATTTCAATAGATATAGTATATAACCATCAAAATCAATGAGGGTTTTTTTACTTTTGCTTCTTTTATGTATTTCTTGTTGTTAACATTTGAATATTCTAGGCGATTGTAGCGGAACAATAGTGATTTTAATCGTGCAACTGCAACCGCGACGTCCTTGCTGTCGTGACGACGAAAACAGAATCGAATTGGAGGTGAGAAAGGAGGGCGCGGCACTGATCGAACTGCATCTGCGTGCTTTCGCAGAACTGTTTCAATTGTTCGCCATACAGCTGCTTTTTACGACAACGAATGGTCATGCCAACCTGTCTTCACGTTTTGCATTTGTTCGAAAGCAACCATATCGATCCAATGAACGAACATGACAAATATTCGATCTCGGTTCCTTGATGAAAATGAAACAAATCGCTCGTCTCATCCGTAAGGATTGTAGCGAAGAAACAAAGCTTCTGCTTTTTATTTTTCAAAAAATTGTTTTTTCCACCTCCGCGCCCGGGCGTCAAGACGTATTAATTAGGGATGTTCACGTCCTTCTGTGCAGCTCTTTTGCCTTGCTGTTAGCCGTGCGCTCGCGACATTTCTCCGAAGCCGCGACGAGTCATGTTCTAATCCGTCTATTCACAATCCCTCTTTATTCACGTTCGGATCCGTCGCAACTCTGTCTTCATGCGCATTCCGAGCGTATTCCGCCGCTCTGTCCCATTCCCTGTGATGTCATAAATAAACGAGGAGTACTGGCACTCACCACGATGTCTCTGGGAGGGCTAAAATTTGCTGCAATTACATCTGCCACAGTCTGGCACGTCATTTATTTTGAATACTACAATTTTTGTAGTTGGGATTCCTGTTGCACCAGGAGCGCACACACAACTACAGTGGTGTCGCTCTCGCTGATATGCTGGGCAGAAAAATAACATGTACTGCATATGAATAGAGTAAGCCAGGGAAAACCATATCGAAAACAGGAAGTTAAGCCGGCTTCCGTTCAGCTGGTCCTGATGCTGAAATCTGAAGAAAAAATGCAGATATTTCTAGTTAATCAAAATTCATCAGCCAAGTACGCGCGAATTTGCTCCGCGGTATGTGTGTTAGCAATAGTATTCTCCGTCAGTTCGTTTTCTCTCGAGCCAATGACGATCTCCTGGCTTGCTTCGTCGTCGGCCATTTCCCTTGCGGCCCTGATAGACAAGGTGACGCGCGTCAATGTAAGCAGAGACTCCTCATGTCTAGAACTTGCTTCGAGCACATTGAATCGCTACGGTGTTCGAATTGTGCATTTGCATGAGCATCATAGAGCAAGAACCCAGAAGCCATCTACCTACCCGGTGCAACACCACCACATCGGGCCCGACCGCCACCATGCCAACCCTTCGCTTTCGGGACCTTCTGTCAACGCTGGCGGGGACGCTCCTGCTCTGCCACTTGTCAAATCGCCAGGTTCGACATGCGTCATTTCGGTGAACGACGAGCTGCCTCTGCGTTTTGCTGCTGACTGGCTGCTGCAATGCTGGTCGTACTCGGGGAAGTCGAGTTTCTTGTCCTGGTTCAGGTCCGCGGACAGCGGGCAAGTGCCGAATTCTGCCCCTTCGAGGACGCCATTGCCATCCGTGTCCAAGGAGCTGAAGTATGCAATAGAAACATGGTGGTGCCGCTACCTGCTCCAGGTTGTCATGCGAGACATACAATAGTGGTTCATCGAAAGCGAAAGGAAACCAGAGTTGTGCAGCTGCAAGTGGTGGAATATCGAATGACTCTGTTGCTCATCAAGCGTCCCTTCGCACGACAAATTTTTTGTATCTGTGTGGAGTGGGTGGGAGCGGGACCATGATTGCAGTACATAGAAAGCGCGCGGCGTTCAAAACCGTCATTGGCTTGACATTGTAGTACAGTGCGAGGTCGAGTACGAGCGTTTTAAAATGCTGCTGGGAAGCAGTTTATGCATTGCCAAGCAACAAGACGAATCAATGTATCCTAGGCAGGGCTACTGGCTAAAACCGCATGACAAATTTTGCCAAGTCGAAAAGCGCTTTGCGATTGCGAAGCTGACTCAGCATCAAATGTTGACTCAGCTTCGCAAAGCGCCTTGTCTTCGTCATGCAATCCTGCAATTGGTACGAGCACGATACTTGTTGCTTTGCACTGCATACCCGTGCGATCTTCTCCGCCTCCTTTACCTGGTGGAGACGGCTCTTGGCGGAAGTGAACAATTTCTGCAAACGAGCCATGGCAGAGGTTTCCGAGAACGCAGACGGCGGGGAGGTTTTCCCTGCGGCTGCCGCTGGTGTACCTGAGTAGGTTGATGGTTTGCGTGCTGCTTGATCTTTTTATGGTGGAAAACGGATCTTCGATATCAAAATCCAGGTGACATCAAAATTCGCATGTGGTAGGTGCGACTTGCTGCAAAAGCAAAACCAGAAGAAACCTTTTTTGTTTTTGCAAAATTCAAGACCAGCAGGGTAAAGTTGAAGTACGTTCTTTTTCGGCCTTCACCGCCCCGCCCTCGACAAAGGGATCCAGAGACGGGGGCTCCGCATTGTACATTTCCGCATCATTTTCGATCGCCACAGACTGCTGGACGGCGTCGACGATCCCAACAAGCAGCGGAGAAAAGATGATGAGCGGCCGCATCATGATGCTGGTCATCTTGTTGAAGCAATGGGGCTGCTTGCGAGGTAAACCTGCTGGCGCTGGACCTAAGGCGTTATTACGTAGTTTAGAGGTATCGTCATCGCGTAGAAGTGAATCAAATAAAGTCGTATTATCACTTGAAATCGACATCGAGTACGATAACGATGAGACTCATTTTTCACTGTCTTACACCGAAAGGAAAAATGGGCAACAGCACTTCACGCAGCTGATGACACCCATCTCTTGTTCCCGCACTCACCTTATCAACACAGACAAGTCACTCACACAACATCTTCTAACGGAGTCTCGCCTTTCAGCTTTAGTGATTGAGTATTTGTGCGCGAAACACATGCTCCACGCTTCCGTCGCTCTCCAAGACACAAATCGTGTTGCTCGGGATCTCTGCAGCTGGCTTTTCTGCATCTAAGACTATGCACACACATCGAAACGAACTTCACTCACAAGTCTCATTTCCCGGCGGAATGACATCGCCGAAAACAGATTCGAAGCGACGAAGAACGCAAGAAATGATCTTGATTTGTCGTTTAAGCATGTCGACATTGTGCTGCGTCTTGTCATCGAGCAAAAATGCTCACCACACGAAACCGTAGGTGTCGCGCGAACTACTTTCAACACCCTCGTGAGGAGTCTTTCTTGGCGGCACATAGTTTTCTTTCAGCGACTACACTTCTAAAAATTCTCAAATTCTACTCTACAAGCTCCTCCACAGCGGGAGCATCTAAAACCGCTTCCGGCGACGGTGCATCATCTACATCTGCTTCTGCATGTTGAGGAGTGCTATTCATATTCTGGAGTTTCATAGTCTTCCGGTCTCTCATGTCGGAAGCGGGACTGTGCTTCCGGTCTGATGTGGCACCATCATCATCTTGAGAGAGTGGACTCTCTTCTATTTTTACTCGTCCTGCACCTGCTTGTCGTTCATACTCCTCCGCATGCTGGTAGAAGTCCTTCGTGATAGACGTCAAACCAAACGCCCTCCTCATATCCTCGACCACCATAGGGTAAATGGTTTCCTTCCTCATATCCTCCACTCGCGGCCGTACACCTCAACACCGATGTGGTAGGCCCCAATAGTTTCCGTGGTTAGCTTACCAATCAGGTCGTTGAACTGTTTCACCTCTTTGCGGTTGGTAACATGGTAGATGTGCAGAAAAACGTCGCCGAGCATCTTGATCTTCTAAAAATTCATCATATGATGCGAAGCAAAATGATATAACAAGGTAAATCGAAAAAATCCTCCTTTTTGCATCATCAAAGACAGTGACAAAAAGCGAGACAATTATTCGCGCTTGAAAACACCGGCATGGTCGGGCGAGCGGTAAACTAAAACCGTACAAATCTTTAAAATCAAAGACCGAAAAAATGTTCTTCTTCATGATCACGTTGATGCTCTTGTGGTAAGTATGTAACTAAGTACCTCCCTCTGGCCATCCTATAAACAGCGTACAACGTCGGATCAACAAAATTATTGGCAGCTTTTCAAGCTCCGGAACCTTTTTGCTTTTACGTCGACCTATTTCTTCACACTTGAATGTAATTTGTACCTGCGCTTATCATACAGGCACGATGATAATCTTGCGACTGCGAGGAAACGGGTCTTCCTGTCGCAACAAAAACTTCTGACGACGAAAACACAGAATCGAATCGACAACCAAGAGCGCGGCACGACGAGGAGAGAGTCGGACTCTAAGAACTGCGTACTGTCGCTGTGCTGTGTCCGTGTCACTTCCCCGCGCCATGAACAATACAGCACGAAGTTGTCACAGCTTTCGCGATAAGTTTTTTTTTGATGGTTTGTTTTTTTTTCCCCGCTGTTGTTCTTTTTTCTCGGCTACACTATCAGCTCCTCCACATTGGGAGCATCTACCGCTTATCCGGTAGTTGCACCTAGTCACTCGTACATTCGAAATCATTTTTTTTGAAATGAAACATTCGAAATCATTTTTTTCTCTCGTATGCATTTAAGTACATACTCGTTCCAAAGCGAACAGTTTTTGCAGCCATGCCTGAACTACCAGAACCGGTCAATGGAGTCCTTCTAACTTCCGTCCCGCAGGAGCCGGGCCCTCTTTGCAGCGATAGACTCCTCCTCTTGAAATGGGATCCCCGTTGCCCCCTGCGACTGAGACGCAGCGGCCGACGGGCCTCGCCAGGCGGGGGGGGCATCTGCTGCACTTGGAACGTCGCTGGTCGGTTGCGAAGGAGCGTTGCTTTGATGTCGTGACGTAGAAAAAATGTAGCTATGGTCTGGCTATCGTCAAAGTGATGAGAAAGAGGACAGCAGCACTTTTGGCGAGATGATGTGGCCAACAGGAGCGTATCAGCAAAATGAAAAATTCTGGATGTGCGTACCTTCGTCCCCTTCGGCTGCGTGCAATTAGCATTTCCGGCTCTTGGAAAGCGCTTGCCCCATCGCAGCAGCTCGACAACCACCAAGGCCAACAAGATGAACTCATCTGGAGAAATGCCATTTCTGTGGGGTTCTTTTCCGGGGCTGCGGTTCCCGGACCAGCAGGTAGATTTACTCCGCCAATTTTCGAAACACCGTCACCGTCGCCCGCCTGCTCTTGCTGACTGCTGCAATGCAGGTTGTACTCGGGGAAGTCCAATTTCTTATCCTCATTCAGGTCCGCGGACAGCGGGCACGTGCAGAGTTCCGCGCCTTCGAGGACGTCGTTGCCGTCCGTGTCCAAGGAGCTGAAGTATGCAATAGAAACATGGTGGTGCCGCTACCTGCTCCAGCTTGTCATGCGAGACATTATACAAGAGTTGTTCTGGTTCATCGAAAGCGAAAGGAAACCAGAGTTGTGCTGCAAGTGGTGGAACATCGAATGACAATGTTGCTCATCAAGTGTCGTTGGTGTTGCTTTGCACGACAAATTTGTATGTATGTGGAGTGGGTGGGAGCGGGACCATGATTGCAGCACATAGAAAGCGCGCGGCGTTCAAAACCGTCATCGGCTTGACGTCGTAGTTCAGTGCGAGGTCGAGTACGAGCGTTTTGAAATGCTGCTGGGAAGCGGTTTATGCATTTCCAAGCAACAAGACGAATGTAACTTAGGCAGGGCTACTGGTTAAAACCTCATGACAAATTTTGCCAAGTCGAAAAGCGCTTTGCGATTGCGAAGTTGAGTCAGCATTAAATGCTTACTCAGCTTCGCAAAGCACTTTGTCTTCGTCATGCAATCCTGCAATTGGTACGAGCACGATGCTTGTTGCTTTGCACTGCATACGCTTGCGATCTTCTGCGCCTCCTTCACCTGGTTGACACGGCTCTTGGCGGAAGTGAACAATTTCTGCAAACGAGCCATGGCGGAGGTTTGCGAGAACGCAGACGGCGGGGAAGTTTTCCCTGCGGCTGCCGCTGGTGTACCTAGGTCGAAGATGGTTTACGTGCTTGGTCTTATATCTTGTTGTGCAAGCATAATCACGAAGCGAAATCTTGAAAAAAGCTTAAACTTATGAATGTCGGTGAAGTTCTTTCAGCTCGTATTTGTAAACTTTTGAGGATTCGACTGGCAAAATTCAAAAAGAACAGAGAAGTATCTATCAAGTACGTTCTTTTTCGGCCTTCGTCCACCCCCCGACAAAGGTATCCAAGGGCTCCGCACTGTACATTTCCGCGTCGTTTTCGATCGCCACAGACTGCTGCACGGCGTCGACGACCCCAACAAGCAGCAGAGACGAGATGATGTGCGGCCGCATCATGGCGCTCATCTTGTTGACGCAATGGGGCTGCTTGCAAAGTAATAAGTCTGGTGGTGGTGGACTTTAGGCGTTTATTTCGTAGTTTAGAGGCGTCGTCATGACGTAGAAATGAATTGAGTAAAG